TCTAATTATAAATATCGTTATTCATGCATTAAAAACACGTTTTTCTTAAAGCAAATCAAAATTTTAGCTTAATTTTTAGAAAAAAAATGTTTTCAAATAAGTAAATAAAAGATTAAATGTCAGGAATAAATAATTAAATTAAATATCTGAAATCCCAAAATTAGACCAGGGCGAATCTGTCGAAATATCCCACATTTTGGATGTAAGGGGAGGCAAGCTATTTTTGCTGGAATACCTTCAGTACAACTCACATAATAAAAATGTAGATCCCTAGATCTGGGCGAGGTCCGGAACATTTTCAAAATTGCAAAAATGTTTAAAAAATTTTAAAAAATACCTATTTTACATGAGTTTTTTACTTATAACTTGGAACCTATGCATTTTGGAAGAATATTGAAGAGGAAAAACAGTTTTAGAATTGAATTTTGCACAATATAGTTCAAGTTAAAAATATTTAAATTTATTACCGATGTCGCAAAATAGCAATAATTTATGAAAAAAGGCAAAATAATCAAGTTTCTTGGATAATTTTTTTTAAATGTTTTAATTACTCCGAGGGCATTTTAATTTTGGTAAAAAAAACTTTAGAGTATAATAAAACAACACACCAGATTTCATTAACATCGGTTCTATAGTTTTGCAAAATAATTTTTTGAAAAATAAATTTTCAAATCTTCAAAATGTTGCGCAGACTCAAATAAAGCATCTAGATACTTGAAAATTTTTTCACATAGAAAAGACCGCTTAACTTTTCAAGTGGTTTTTGAAAAATTGAAATCGGTTGATTAGGACGACCACAGTAAATTTTTAAAGTTAACACTCTTTTTTTTATTTTTAAACAATTAGATTACATTTATCAATTTGCAATAATTTAGAAACAGTGACGAAATTTGAGATACCGAGTGCTGCAGAAAGTTACTACTTAAATCGATGGCTCAGACTTTGCGTAAGTGAAAACATTGATTTTGGTAAGCAGGTAGGCAAAAAAATATTTCTAATACATCATTTTTTAGTAGAAATTATTAAAATTTAATCTAAGAACAAGGATACGCTCCCTTGTGTTTAATTCTCTGACAAAATTTGATATCACTGCGCACATGATTCATAGATTTTACATAATCACAAAAACTAAATAATTCGTAAAACATTACAGAATTATCAAAGTAAAGCCTCAGTAGATCGTTAGCTTTTGCTTGGTGAACATCAGTTGTAGTAGTGTAGTGTTTAAGTTTAGTTTTAGTGGTTAAAATTGGTGGTTAGTGTTTTAGAACAATTTTTATAGTAATATTTCATTTAACGTATTAATTTTTTAAAAATTAAGTGCGTTTTATCAAAATTTTGTGCATAAAGCAGATTTTGTGTAAGTACCTATCAGTTTTTCCAAATTTTTAACCGGTGCCTTTTTCTATAACCAAACACTCTGTATATATTAACACACCCTTCTTGATTGCACGTGTACCTTTTTACTGGGCATTGCATATAGGGCAGAGTAAGGGCATTAACAATACATTAAAAGGCGCAAAGCGTTAGACACTACAACCCCATGGCCATTCATTAACTTGATAAAATACAGGGTCAGTGCCGTAGGCAGCCGAGCAGTAACTTTGTTCTGTTTTTAAATTTTTTGCAAATAAACTGTCATTCATACATCAGATACATATTAATAGTTCTACGTTAATTGGTGGTAACCGCTGATAAAATTGTTCGTGGCTTAATTAACGATTTCTTCAAAAGTTAATGAATGAAACAAATGCGTGCAAAACAAACCTTTACATACATTAATCCCCGTAAAATAACGAGCTTCTTTCCATAAAAATATTACTAATACAGGTGTCTTCTCCTTTTATAACTCACAATTCATTCACAAAAACACCACGCGTTCCAACTTAGCGTCACCGATTGTAATGATCACACGTACCGGTAACAAAGATTAATTTTTGTAAGGCGCGTTCACAAATCTTCCGATTTATTTCGTTACTCATCTATAATTAATTTCATAAGCGGCTATTATTTGAATCATCGGTCAAAATTGATATACGTAAGCGTATTTCAGTTATATAAAATTTTAAGCATTTTTTTGTAACCGACAGACTTTTTTCCAGCCTTGAAATTAAATAATAGATACCCTACGAAAGACAAGTACCTAAGCTTTTATAGATATAAACTTTCCTGATGTTTTGAATATTACGCTTGTGTTTCTCCACGCCTATGAATCGGAACATCCGGACACCTTGACATTAGCGAGCTAACCTAGTTTGCATTCAGCCAAGATAAGGGTAGCTCTACGTCAGACTGTTCTACTTATTTTGCGTAATGAATTTGATAGTTTTCGGTAACATAACTATTTTTCAAGTTATCCAAGTTAGGTACGGTATAGAAATGACAGAGAATAATATATTGGGTGTCCATATCACTTTTTATTTATTTAATCGACTTTAACTAGCTTTTTGTTGCATGGATGTCGCAAGCGTGTAAAAATCACGCCCTATTCACAATTAGTTTAAAGTTTATAGGCAACTGTGACTATTTTTAGATATTTGCAGTTTTTAAATGTTTTTTGCAAAATTACAACTTTTCCAAAGCTCTCGGATGTATTGTTTTAATTCAGTTGAAAGCCTAGACAGAAATTGGTATATCTGGGTTTCAAGCTGCCCTAAAAAATCCCTGACCACTTTTGCACATATAATAATGGTTACAGTTGGCCATGACCTTGAATTATAGGACGCACTTCCGCGAGGTCTATCTGACAAAACAACAAATAAAAAAGTTAGGGGGGTAGCTAATCCTTAAATAGAACACACTGTATGGTCTAAAAAACCAATACATGTTTTGGGTTTTCCATAATTGTTTTTGGGAACTATATATTGAAAATATTCAAGTTAATTTATGCATGATGTTTATTTTGTCTGTCTAATTATACAACTAAACAGTTTTATGAACAGCCTGGTAACATAGTAATACATCCGTTTTATTATTATGTTATTGTTTGAATTTGAAACCCCTGCATTACTTAATTCTGTGTTGGTACATCAAAACAACTATGGCAAAAATAACATACATACAGCACACAGCAATGATTTTTGAAAGCCACAAAATAATGCAGCCAGTTAATATTTCAATTTTTTATTTCGCAAATTTGCAAAATTTTTTCGCCACGACTATTGTCTGTTCAAGCGGAAAGCGCTCGAAACCTCACAAAATTTGTTAAAAATGTTAAAAATTGTCTGCTTCACACAACACCGAATTGTAATTATTTAGAACACTATGTAGTCTGAAAAAACATTCTGAGTCGTCATACGTCTCATTCGTCAATCATCTGAAATAAGGTTACTAAGCACCGCAAACTTATTTCAGCAAATGGATTAAAAATGATGTCTGGTGAAAAGAAATATAAATATTTATATTTATTTCAGCTTTCTGTTCATTTGACCAATAAAATACTTTGATTTAAGCTTAACTTATGCTTTTTTTAAATAGAAGAATGAATGAATGAAATTAAGTTTGAGATATTACGTATTTAGTATGAACATGTAACATATTTCTCTAGTAAGCTGTGAATCGTGGTATTTTGTGAAAAAATAATTATTTTTCGTGGTATAGGAAAAATCGACGTTTTCAAAATACGCAATATATCCGAAAAAATTAAAGATATGTATCATTTACAACATATTTTTCCAGTAGTGTAGAGATCCACAGGGTGTTCCATTAATAAAATACGTAAATTAGGTGCATCAAAAACACAATTTTTTTCGTATCTCCATCAATAATAGAGAAGGAGGGATCAATTTTCGGTTGGATTAATTTGTTTTTAATTAAATAAATATAATTTCGAATCAAATGATAATTCCAATTCTCTAATCATTTCTGAGTAAAGTTAAAGTTAGGTCTATGTCGAGATAAAGTTAGGTTAGGATAGGTCAAATTGTTTTTATAAAAACATTAAAGTTGAAAAATAACGTAATTGGCAACATTAAAATATAACAATATCAATATGTATGTTAATGGTCAAATGAAGATAAAAGTTAAATGAATATAAATGTTTGTATTTCTTTTCCCTTGACATCATTTTGAGTGTATCTGCTGCCTCTGGAAATAAATTTGCGATACTTAGTAACCTTATTGAAAATAACAAACAAACAGAAGAGGTCCGACGTCATGAAACAGAAATCATTTTCCCTGAAATTATCAAATCTGTAATGACATGTGATTTCGAACATATGTTTTTTCTCGACTACGCAAATCTAATTTTGTGAGTTTTGGGGCATTTTCCGCTAATATCCAGCGATCGCCGCTGGTGTTTTGGTAGTTTTTGTGTTTGTTAGAAATTTCGGAGGGTTCGGGGTGGAACCTAGAACGGCACATGCAGTTCGTAGGAGCGCGGTGGCTGGGGTAATGAGCATCGGTGGTGGCGTATGGGGTAAGTCGATGACGTATGTGGTGTACGGATGGTCGTACTACGAAAACACTACCCCATGGCAGCCGGTGAGCAGCTGCTTTTGCTAGCGCGTCCCTCATATTAAAGGCGACGCACCGGGTGCCTTGCCCATTCGAGGGTAGCGAGCGCGTGAGTGCATAAGCCAAACGCTCTAAAGTAAAGTAGTGCATGCATACGTATACACGTACGGCGTACAGCGAGCGTAGGACTTAGAACTCGGCGGAAGCACTAGTACCCCTTAGAGCGCCCCCCTCCACGCCAGCAGACGCTACCGTACCACACGGTTGAGCGTTGAGCCGCCGTTCAAGTTAAGCTCACAGTCAGTCTGCATCAATCGTTCGTGTACGCTGTACCGGACACTGCTATCCCAGGATATACGTGTGCTGTGTTTGTGAGCCATCGTTATGGGGTGTTTTAAAACTTAATGTACACTAATACGATTTTTAACCATTGCATGTGCTGTGTTTTGTGGATTTGCCCGAGTGTTTTGGCGACGCATGTTGCTTGTTAGTGAACATTTTAGTGTCTGAAGTGATTGCTGATAGCCTATGGCGCGGTGTTGCAGATTACCTCTGAGGTAACAGCACTTAGAAGCTGCTGATATCCTCTTCATAGGAGAGCGTCGTTAACAAAGTCACCATGTCTTGGATACTCTTTACTCTAGTCGGCCTCCTGGCCCTCCATCAGGTAAGTGTTTACCGGCGTTTCGGAAGGGTACGCATTTCCACGCGTTTTCCTCTGGATGGCGCGAGACAATGAAAACACTAGTACATGGTCAGTGTCTCGAGCTCGTTTATGTTTCCCTTTCAAATTCCCGCGACACTTTTTCCGAAATGAAATCTAAATTATCCTAACATTTCCAAACAAAAAAAAAAAATCAGACATTCACACCGCCAATCCGATGTGATTCACGTTCTCAAAATAACCAGAACTCGCCACACAAAAATTCTTTTAACCCACCGTTCTCAATTTAAAAACACATCGTGAGTACAGGGTGTTCTTCCATAGGCTAAATCATCCGGACTATTTGAATTGCGACTGATTTCATTTGACAACGAGGCTGGCAAAGACGATTTAGGGAAATGTTGCACCGGAAAAACCAAACCCAACTCGGACTCGTGCGATGGAGTTTGTAGACCACGATTCAGGGTTTGCCTGAAGGAGTACCAGGCCAAGATCGACGCCACTTCTCCCTGCACCTTCGGGGATGTTATCACATCCGAACTGGGACCAAACCCCGTCACTGATACTCCACAGAACGGATTCTCAAACTCCATCGCTTTCCCATTCCCATTCACTTGGCCGGTAAGTCTCTTTTACTGCCCGATCAAAGTTGCCAACTTTTTACGTTCTAGTACTATGCCTCGCGAATTTACTACACTTCTGAATAAACACCTACTTTATTTATGTCCGACCATTAAACATTGTTGCTTTATTCGTTTTTTTAAATTAAGATAAAAGAACTTTCGGTATAGCGTAAAACACCTTTAAATTGGCGTACGGTAATTATCCAGTACAGTCATTCCAAATATCCAGTCATTCGCTTTGCTTTATAACTAGAAAAAAACTAAGCCCGTTACAATTATATTTATAGTTTGTGAAAAAGGCGATCTTTGATTTATTTCATCGTTATTGAAAGACCGTTTAAGATCTTCTATTAGTTTTCAATGTATTTCATTAATAACAAAACAAAAGAAAGAGGAATGTTTTGAAAGAGACGGCATTTGATGAATACCTTAGTTGTTAGTAGGTAGCATATTTTACCACCTGCCTTGCTTGAAATGCGGGTTACCCTTAGCTGAAGAACTACTTTTTCCTCGTCATTAAAAAAATTGCATGCCTCACATGCTCTCAAAAATAATTTAAATACTAAACGAGTAACCATGCACTAAGTTTTATTTAGAAAAGTATTTACCTATAGCACTTTCAGTTCCTTAAAAATATTTCGAGAGATTTATTTACTCCAGTCATTTCCAAAGTGGCATTAATTTGACACTTAAGCGTCTCTGTTAACCGTCATCCCTTTTGTGAACTGTTGGTGTTACTGTAAAAATTCCAACTAGCGAATATCTGCCTAATTTCGGCAGTTGTTGACATTTTAACAATGCCAGGTCTGTGCAGCAATGTGCATCGAATAAATTTGTGAGAAAACCAGCTCTAGGTATCGGCGGGTTTTGTAAAAATTGCTGCCGAGACTGTACTATTTCCGCTGAACGATTTCGAAGCATCTTATACTGTCTCGAGGCAGGTATCTTGCCGTGGGAAAAGCACTGCACAAATTCAAAATTAATTATAATAGATTTATTGATCAGACGTAATGCTGTTTATGTTGTCTTGTTTTTAGTACTTCGCCGGTTCTTATTGAGGTTCCCACACCGTGTATTTTGGCCTTAAATGGCCATAGATTTTACAAAAACTCTATCTACACAAAAATCCCTTTGTCTTTTTAATTATAATTCACTCCTGTCATTTTTCATCTTAATCTTGATGTTAGGCGTTTATTTATCAGTAATGTTATAAAATATTTGTGGGTCCAGCAAAAGAGCAACGTGCATTTGTTTCAGTGTAACCAAAAGTTATAATTTCGCATAGTTTTAATGTACAGGGAGTTTGAGAATTAAATGGCATAACTTAAAATTTGAACGACTGAGTAAATGTTAAAATGAGACAAGAAAAAATACATTTTCTAAAATATCTTTGGAGCCGCATTAAATATTGAATTCCTTAAGAGTTTTTTCGATTTATTGGAACTGTTTATCGAATAAAACGGGAAACATTTTTTTTTTTTCAAATTTTAAGTTCGGCCTATTAAGCTGAAAGACCCTGTAGAAACATTGTATTCCAGTTGCGGCGTTACAAATCCATTTTTTTTTTAATTGATCGACGCCTGGGGTCGCCGTATACCGTATTTATTAATTAATTCGTTATGAGTAAAAGTTGGCTGTGATATATTCGGAATTCAGAATTTCTAGCGGTGTTACGCTAAAAGCGTTAATTAATATATTTTCAGCGAGTCTATAAAATTGGAAAGCGTAACATGTTGTGTATGTATTTTAAAGAAGATATTTCCGCGTTTTCAAATGCATTCTTAAGGCAGCGGCTTTTTTCGTTATCGCCCAGTACTGCTTGTAATGAAATCAGTCTGTTGCATATCGCCTTAGTCATTATACTTTTGCGAACGACTAATCGAAGTTGCGGTAAAAAACTTGTAAAACGCTATTTTCCCACAATATTCTCCGTGCAATAAGTATAAACGTCAAGAGAAAGATGCTTGTATACTTAACCGGTTTTATATTGTTTACCGCGGTTTGTAGCCGACTGCGCAGACTCATCTCTGGATACTGGGATAAATCGTGAGCTTGCCTGAATATGGTTCGCCGCATTTTATTATCAATTATAAAGCAAAGGTCGCCTTTTTCTTTTACTCTCGTTTATTATAGTCTTCAATTTAGGATTAATTTTTCACCGTACACAGCTTCCCGTGCACCTTTCTTATATTATATATAAACGCGCCGTTTCCTTTAAAGTACAATATTTATTGAGTACTATGGGAACAAACGCAAGTGCATCGTACTGAAATGAACGTAAAAAGGTGATCGCAGGATTGCATGTAACGTTAACCATCTTCTTAGTGAAAGTTGTTTTCTCTTCAAATTAAAAATTTACAGTTTCTTGTTTATTTTTTACAGCGTACGTTCTCGCTAATCATAGAAGCATGGCATGGGAATCAAACATCGCATTCTGCTGGTAAGTTGCGAAACCACCATACGGGGCCGCCAAAAATAACTACGTATTTTTTTTTCGTAAAAGTAATAGCGGGAATGCAAAGCCGAAGAGTGATGCCGTTATTCTTGGTTTGCCCCGTATATGTACGTATTATAATTTCGATGTAAACAGAAGGCACCCAAGCAACAACTTTTAGGTGTATGAATACAGAAATTGCGTTGCGTGCTGGCGAGATGTCCCGTTCATTTTCTCAAATGTCATTGTCTCTTTACAAAGCAATTTAGTTCCATGACTTTATATAGTCTATTCTATATAAACTCATCCCTAATAGTTTTTAGCTCATATCCTGAGGTGTGTATGAAAACAGACTACGTTCTAAAACTAAATAAATATCTTACGATATAGCACGTTATAAGAAGCCACATGTATAACAGCTGTCAACTCTTAGCTTACCAACAAAACCAGCCCTCTTTCCGATAACCTAAAAGGATGGCTCTTCCGCTACTAGCGATATTTCCACTACGTTTTTCTTCGCCCATCTACGACAGATACCGACGCCCATTCAATTTATCCTCCTCTTTCTCCCCCTAATTATTTTTATTAACCCCAGATAAGAATTCACCCGCTACCAGAAATTCTCACGACTATTTCCTTCGTTCACAAACATTGTAAAACGTTTACACCCCCCCATAAAACATTTAACAAACTTATTTATTGTCAGCGTCGGATATCTAGAATTTTTTTGTTTTTGAACACATTTTGCAGCGCCAAATCTAGTCTCCTTTCGGGTAATTCGCAACTGTCGCCTGTACCCATTTCGTCCAGGTGCTATACAATGTAACCGTTCTTATTCCCCTCACAATTCGGGGTCACCCGAGCGAGTAGTTGACACGAAATGATAAATTAGACGTTCAAACTTGCCCTGACTGATTGTAGCCTAACCCCAGCTCTCCTCGCCGTGTCCCTTTAAAAAATGATTGCTCTTATCTGCTTTGTTTACCTACAATTTATTCCCCCGATCGGTTTCGAATTCTCAGAAGTTAGTTGGGCACCGCCATGGTGTGAAGTTTTTTTTTTTTTAACGATCTTAGCTACAATGGAGTCTGCGTCGTCCAAAATAAATAGCCCGAGCGAGACAGGTTCTTCTTTAATTAACGGACACCTGCTAATTTGAAGAAAGACGTATCGGGAGAGGTCCGAGTTAAATAAGGATGGGAAGCCGTAGTGCACAAGTACGAGTTGAAGAATTTTTAGACAATCATTTTATGGTGAAACGAATAGTGTGTCTCTGCCTTTCGGTGGGGACGCGCATAATTTTTAATTAATGCTTTTAATAAGCGAGATAATGATTCAGAAAATGTTTCCAGCGAGATGGATGTAAATGATTTTTTCCTGGCCTCACAATATGTTATTGTGGCTTTTTTATATTTCCCTGCAACGTGTGAACAAAGTTCATTAGTTAAATAACGCTATTTTTAATGGCGTGGCAAATATTTCGTTTCTGTATCACGTTCGAAATTCATTCCGTTTCGTTTCATGGAAGTAATGGTTGTTTTTATTTTGTACACAATACGCCAAATCCAAACACTAATGCCTTTGTAAGGCCTTTAAAATGGAACGTCTCCCAGTTCAGTTCCCAGAATTATACATTAATTTCATTAGATACCTAAGAAGCGGTAAAGGATAGGGTTATAAAACAACTTGTTAACAACAAAGCCATAAGACGCTGTGTGCAATTTGGAGCACTCGACCGGATGTCCTGTCTTTTTAATGCTCCCCAACTTGTGGAATATTATCTCAGACTTCCTTTCTTACCCTCGTCTGATAAGATTCTCATAACACCTGATTTATAAACTGTTTTGTCGCCCCTTTTCGTGCACTACCGCTAAAATTCAAAACCCACCTCGAAAACTATTACTTAACAATGCAAACGTAAACACAGGATGTTAGAACAGAAAATTATGTCATTCAAATATGTTTATATTTTTTTGTATACGATTTTACGAGAAATAATAATGGTGTGGTACTTTTGCATACAAAGTAGTGGCCCTTGCGTGTTGGTGATTTTTTATTAAAATCCGAGAGTCAAAGGTTGTGAAAAATAAAGGTGTTCTAGTGGCTGGGGCACAGCTTCACCGGATACAGCTGCCTTAATGCAGGATGCTTAAGAATACACCTGCATTATATTTCTCAGACGTCCTATCTCGACCTGCTCAAATTTGCTTTCCAATTTCGTCTACTCGGTCTACCTGTGCCTCCGCCACGCACAGATACGTGTTAAAAACCCATGGGAAATAAAAACACTACTATCGCTTAATTTTTACTACACTTTAGAATGGATTAATAAGGGCCGCACGCAACCAACAAATATACTTAACCGTAAAATAAATATCCCAAAGACATTGAATATCAGAAAGATAAAAAAAAATTATATGGTGCCCTGTGTTTCGATTCAAAATTCCCTCGTCAGCGTGCACCTTTTAAGGCCGAACTTTCTCTTTGCAGTGCTCGTAAGTCGTTTGATGCGGCAAAGGTTTTTGGATGTCGGCGAAAAATGGACCGAAGACTCGCACAGTTCTAAATATTCCACCCTCAGATTTGAATACAGGGTGACCTGTGATTCATACTACTACGGTACCGGCTGCGAGAACCTTTGCAGGCCCAGAGACGACGGTTTCGGCCATTACAGCTGTTCATCTTCAGGTGAAAGGGTCTGCCTAGCCGGATGGACCGGCGACTATTGCGATAAACGTAAGTACCATCTTTTTTTTTTCTAATACCCACGGTTTTTAAATAAATAAGTCACGACCGAAGTTTAAAGAGTTTAAATAATTAAAGTAAAATAATTATTTCGTCTGGGTTTGGCTATTTATTTATCTATGCTATTTGCGGGCGATAAAAAATAAATTGGTTTGGTAATACAGTTGGTTGAGCAAGCTTTTTACCCGCTGAATAAACATAAATAGAGTAGGTATAAAAAATGCCGAATTTTACCCATAAAAGAAGAAAAACATTGACCGCGAGTGCAAGACGTGAGCTCTCAGCTGCTGTCGACTAGCGAGAGCTTCCCACGATCGCACGGCATACCTGTCTGTATACAGGGTGCATTTCGTTAACTATATTCTCAATAAGAAATAATTACCGCAATGTATTGCCTCACAACGACCAGATTGCACTCGGGTGCCTCGTTCACGACCGTCGAGGCCCGCCCGCTCAACAATGCATAAACGGAATTTTACTTTAAAAAAAAAAATTGCGAATAATAATTTGAGATTTAAAAAAAATGTAGACGTACTGTTGCAATTAATATCTTTTGTTACAGCTCAATGTTTACCGGGGTGCGACGAACAACACGGACACTGCAGCGAGCCCAATGAGTGCAAGTAAGTTTCTTTATTTAATACGTTTTGTGATCCATCATTAAAATCACTGCGTCTTCGATTTTGCAACGACGGACTACGTTAACCTTTAAATCCACTAGGTAATTTTAATTCTGTTAATCTAAAAAAGTGTTTTCCTTGATTCGACGTCGTCGACGAAAGTTGAATAAAATAAATATAACTTGTGTACGAGCTTTGTTGCGCACACCTTGTAGGAAGGCCAGGTGCAGAGACTTGTATTTTAGTCGCACGATAATATCGTTTTCTTTCTTATTTCGGTTGTCCTTGGTCCTAGACTTTTTCGTCGGGCGTAGATTCGGTTACTAGCTGGAAGGAGCTGTGCAGTGCGACTATGCGGATTGGGCCGGCGACCCGCAGGTAACCTTTCCTTGACCTGCATACTTGCCAACGGGCAGCGTGGGAAAGAGCTCTGTGGGCGTGTTGCATCCCCCCTAGATCTCCCCGCGTTGCCCGGTCTGCGATCCAAGCTGCAACTCAATGAGCTCTCCTCGATACGATCCGAATACACTCACCTCCAAACACATGATTAGAATAAGAAATATACCTTAATATTGAAGGTACCCACCGACTCCGCTACGGTACCGTCGGCCTCTCGACTATCTCACGGAAATACAGCCGCTACTCCACATTCGAAATTCATCCGATCGCCGGCTAACTTTCATCTAAAATATTTTTACACGGGCTCAAGTGTAACTAATTGCAACAATTAAATACGTATTGATGGATGTAATTACTAAATAAATTTTCGTACATCCCACTGTACCGAATAAATTGAATCATCTCTATTCATTTAAGTCATTGCTATTCCGCCGGTGTTGCTCGTTTCTCATTGACTTGAACCGGCAGTTCATTGATTATGTTACATTTATCTCGGCGACCACGTCAACATAAAAAACTAGTCCGTCGCACTAATTTCCAATGCATACGTACACGAGACGCCTTCGAACGAGACTTTTAAATAATTCATATTTTTACATTTTCCGTTTTAATTATCGTAATCTTATCCGCCCTTTTTGTTGTAGGTGTCAATCGGGGTGGGAGGGTCCGTTTTGCAACCAGTGCCAACGCTACCCGGGCTGTATGCACGGAACTTGCGTGAAACCGTGGGACTGTCTTTGCGTAGAAGGTTGGGGCGGTCTTTTCTGCAACCAAGACCTGAACTTTTGTACCAACCATAAGCCTTGCCGGAACGGGGGTACTTGTTTCAACACCGGCCAGGGCAGTTACACCTGCAGCTGCCCCAATGGATTCAACGGTACCGACTGCGAAATACCCTTGGACGATTGCTCCAGAAACCCCTGTCTTAATGGTGGTACATGCAGTCCCAACGGCGCCTACAACGTTTGCGCTTGCCCACTCGGATTCACCGGACCTAGATGCGAAACCTCGACGAAGACTTGTTCCGAACAACCTTGCAAAAACGGCGGTACTTGCACCAATACCGACAGCGGGTACCACTGTTCCTGTCGATCTGGTTTCGAAGGAGCCGATTGCGAACACCAAGTGAGCAGCTGTTCACCGAATCCATGTAAGAACGGAGGGACATGCGTCGAAACGTCGGGCAGTTACCAGTGTATGTGTCCATCGGGATTCGCAGGCAACACCTGCGAAGTCAACATCGACGACTGTCAGGGGAACCCCTGTCAGAACGGGGGAACCTGCGTGGACAAAGTCAATGAGTTCCGCTGCCATTGCGTCCCCGGATTCGTCGGACCGTTGTGCCAAAACCGCGTAGACTATTGCATCACCAAACCTTGCGCGAACGGGGGAACTTGCTTGCAACTGATCAATGACTATAAGTGTAAGTGTGCTCCCGGTTTCACCGGCAAAGACTGCAGCGAGGAGATCGAGGAATGCAAAGTGAATCCTTGCCAACACGGGGGTACCTGCGTGAATCGCGTTCACGGTTTCGAATGCATCTGCCTGCCGGGTTTCCTGGGTCGCGAATGCGACGAAGTCTCCCCTAGCGCCGCGCCGAGCGCCAGGGTTTCCTCCGAATCCAACCTCACCACGGAACACGTGGTGGTCATCGCTACCATTTCCACTTTCGTACCGCTCGTAGTCCTAGTCGCCGTCGGCGTGATAATTTGCCTTAAGCAACGCAGAAAACGCGAGAAGGCTCGCGCCGACGAAGAAGCCAGACTTCAAAACGAGCAGAACACCGCCAACAGCAGCTTCGCCAAACGTAGCGCTGCCATGTCGGCCGACCCGCATATGATTAAGAACTCCTGGGGGAAGTGCACCAACAACGCGATCAGTTCGAACTTGTCATCGCCTGACGACTGCAGCGTTTCCAACATCAGCGTCAACGACTGTGATGGTTTCCCCAAGCCCCTGCACCAGGTCATCGATGGTAGGCCTGTTTACAGCTTGCAAAGAACGCGCTCCCAGAAGCAGCTCAACACTGAGACGGGTGCGCGCGCTTCAGCACTGCTCGCTGCAAAACTGCACGAACCCGACTATGAACACATCAAACGTTTGTCTGTGATGTCAAACGCATCGGCTGTGTGTGGCTCCAGGTAAGACCACGTTCCTTTCAATTTCCAAAATTGTTTAATAATGTTGGTTGGCTTGGATGGAATCTCTAAGGTTTGTTTTTGTTACAGTGATCCCTCGCTTCTGAAGAGGCCGGCGGAGAAGGAGCCGAATGGCGTTTATGTGATAGAAGAGCACTTCCACGTCCCAGACGCGATTTCGTCTGGACTTTTCGCGACGGAGGTGTAGTTAGCTTAAGTATGACTGACGTGTGCATGTGGCGTCGACCCCACCGCCCGCTGAGCCCGCTGTACAGTTATTTATTATTCCACTCGCCGACGGTGGTGTCGCCGGTTAGCTTAGGGTTGCATGAGTACTAAATTTGGGGCCCAGGCCCGTGTCCAAGTAGCTTCCCTTTGCCGCGACGTCGCTCTATGCAACGCAAACGTGACCAGGTCCTATCCTCCAGGGACAAGGCTTTTTGTTTATAGTGTACATATCTTAGAGTAATATTTCCTTATACCCTAATACTTGTATTTATGGTTTTGGTCTTTTGGGGGGCGGTCCTGGTTGGAAACCAAAGATTGACGCTGTTTAGAGCCTACTTCTCGGGTGTTGGGAAGCCCTATCTCGTCAAGTAGTATGTAATTAACGTAACATTTGAATTGTTATTGTAATTTGTGATGATTATAAAGCGAACTAAGTCACCATGTACTTACTTGGACTCTCGATATTTATAAGCCTTTCTTCAGCATCACTCTGCCCTGGGTACCACCGCCTCTTTATTTATTTCCTTCATAAGGCCAGTGGAAATCCAAGGTAGTACCCACGGCACCTACTGTAATTATTACGGTCCTTACATTTGTAGTATAGACCTGATGTATTTGAACAAAGAAACAATGTTCCTGTATTTATAAACTAAGTCATTATTGCTCGATACTACGAGAAGACTTCTCCCGTCTTCTCGTAGCATCGACCGAACAACTGTTGTACATTAATAAAAAAACACTTGGGCAAATTAAAGACTTAATATTAATAAAGACGTTTTGTAATATATAATGTATATTTATAGTATGTAACTAAATGTAACTATTAAAATTGTTCATGTTTCTTAATAAATACTTCTCTAGAGAAGCGGCTGTATTTGTTCCTCATGTGAATAATGTTATTTAAAAGTTATCTTAATAAATTTTTTGTTCTATAAACATGACTTTCCTTCCCAAAAAAAAAAACATCCTGAACAAAAAACTCGTGGTATGGATTATTTATTACGACATCCTCAGGGTTCTATGTGCTGTTGGGCTGTCAAAATAAATAAAAATTATATGAGGACGTATTAAACATAAAATTGAGTATATTGATTTTTTCCACTTTAAATATCAAATTAAAACCTAACGGCCTGAGGGTGTAATAAAATAAACACAAAGCGTCGATAGTGAATACTGTGTAAGAGCATTTCTTTTTATTATTCCTGACCCAATTCAGACCAAAAAGTAACAACGGAAGGTCGCCGACAATTATTTAAATTTAAATAAATGTGATTCTCAGTGTAAACACATTTATTTCAAAACTGTAAAGTGCCGACGTTGCGTAACTTGAGAGAAAATATACGTGGACTGTCCCCTGAATTCAGGTATGTGAGAAAGGTAAGAAAAGCTTTGTTATTGCTTCAGTTTCCCAAGTTGACATGTGGCGTTATCCCTTTGTGAAAAGGTCCAGGTGTAAGTAACTTCAATGCGTTGAAGGTCGTTCCCAAATAGTTTTATCAAAGAAATTCGAACTTCACAATGAACAACAGAGACCGTACTTTGTATAGATCATGTTAGGCTGGATATTTCCCTACAGAGATAAAAGTGGACCATCACGGCACTGAAACCGTCGTAAAAAAATATGCAATAATTCTTTAATTACGTTACATAATTTCAACGGTTCGAAAAATGTAATGAAAGTATTTATAAAATTATATTTTTCTCTTTAGAGAGACGTATTTTGCGTGTAATATGCCTAGTAATTATTTGCTAATTATAAGCGGTGCGTCAATGCACTTGGTTCAAAATGGCATAATAAAATGCAAACGGTTCTTTATGATTGTCAGGTGAATGTTGAGGTCATGAACTGGCAACCTACGACCCGCAGTTTTAACCTATAAAATCTTGGCAATCACAGGAATATTCTCCGTTTGGTATCTCCAAGAGAATTGAGGTTATTGAATTCTGATTCATCGATTTGGTATACTTCGCTTAAGCATAAAATAATGGCGCTGAATACATTAATATACATCATGCAATAAACTGATCATTTTAAAAAGATCGAATTGTCTTTTTCCACTTGTAAAAATTAAAATTGACCACTCAAACAGAACGAAAAAATCTTGAGACGGATCTGATCGAATTAATAATTTATTATCCCGTTGCTGTATCTTCCTGCATTGTGTTTTCCCATTTATTGTGAAACAATACGGTTTTTACGAGCAATTAAATTTATTATTAAAGTCATTCTAACAAGAAACAAACAATAACATAACTAACCCAAATTTTAATTAACGTGGTTTCAAAATATTTTATTCAATTGTGTGTACTGCGCGGACTTTTCAGCTCTCACGTATATTGTATGAGCGCGTACTTCATTAAAATCGGAATGGATTACAAAATTTGAATGAATATTAAATAATTTTTATACATTCTTAAGGTTCAATGCTTTAATACATAATATGTATTACGAAAATGTCCACTTAAGATTTAAATTTTATTTTCCGTTTGCTTATTTCACCCTGTATATCGAGTATATATTCCGCAAACTGCGGCCATAATTATTGCAGTATTCAAGTCAACCCTCAGTAGTTAAATAAACATTACCATCCTTGGAATACTTTTGTAGTGACGGTACTGTTCAACAAAAGACTATCATTGCGTTCCACATCCTACCTTTAGATCTAATTGTAAAATAAACAAAGATGGCGGAGGAAGAGTAAACAAAGTCATGAAATGTCGTTTTTTGTTACTGCGAGAGTAGGAAGGATTTTGGGATTTACTCAACTAACTGTATCTACCTACTTAATTTGTTGGATAATTATTACCTACTTGGAGGGGGGTTTGACGTTAAAATTCTTGACGGTTTGTGTGTGAATTCGATTATTTTTCCAAATACTAGTGAGAATAACCGTTTCCCATTATATGAACTAAAGGCATCCACAATTTATGAATAATGAAAAATGATTTTAGTTATAAAAGTTTTGGTGTACCTACCTACAATTTTACTCTTGTTTCGAATAAAAACAATCAGAAGCTTAGTAAAATAATTATGGAAGAGATCGACAAAGTTATTTCTTGCAAAATTCTTTCAAAAATTAACAAACCCCTTTGCGAAAGTAAGTAGATTACCGAAATCCTATAACGTTAAGTGATCTGCTAATAGAAAAAATACCACAGAACCCTACACACCGGTGATTTTAAATAAGAAGACAAGATCTTCCAAATTATCCCGAAAAGACTTTAAATATATATATCTTAAGAGCCTTTTAAGATAGGGAAGAGTTTAAATACCTTAATAACTTAAGTCGTTTATCCCTCGTTGTTAAGTGTCCCGACAAATATGACAATGTTATCTCGGTAGCGGTAGCTCAAAAAAATTATCCCACAGTTCACACGAAATGGCCGCCTGTTTTCAGAAATGTGTTTTTTTTAACATACCATCTGCTGTGATTATCGAAGAAGTTAATACGTTTTTGATTAGTCTTTAGAAATTCTACAGAAACTGTGTCAATTATTTTATTTATTTCGATGTCATTTGTATACCTGTGTGTATATTTTAAGTTTCACACTGGATGGTGTAATTGTTCCAACCGGTCCTGCGCCGCTAGTTTTTATAATATATATTACCCAGGGTTCAGGGTTTAGACAAGGCTTATACAGTAATAATAAAAAGCGAATTGTATTGTGACCTTGATATTTCCGCCACTAAAAGTACAAAAGAACCCTTTAGCCATTGTCTAGGAAATTTTCTGTCGAATATTGATTGCCATTTATAACCATCAAGTTATTGTGTCGTCGGATTAAATGGTGTATGAGGTTTTTAATACTATATATTTAAAATTAATAACAATGTCAAAAATCTTTCTGGAATTCAGTACTTTCTCTCAGAAATGCCGAACTACATATTCTACTTATATTTATCCCAAAAAATGGGATTATTTTATGGTTCCTTAACTAACCTTTGACAAAACACCAAAGGCAGTAAATATTTCTTTACAAGAATTAAATTATTTAGAATATTCTGTTTCGCTATGGTGGATTTGGGGCGGAGTTTAAAAATTCTGTTCATTGTGTGTGAAGTGTAAGGCAACCTCAAGTGAAACCAGTAATTGTAAAACCGGCCTACTGTTTACTTTGGATGTTCAAAGTAACTAATGAATATAGCAAATAAATATTTCGAAACGACACACGAATGGTTAACGCGCTTGTAGCTAACGTCTAATTGTTGAACTGGACAAACAAAGAGTGTTTTCAGTATTTGAAACGTACAGCATTGTATTTTACTATAAAAATGTTTTACTGTTAAAAAAATAAGTAAGCGAAGTAGGTACTGAAAATCAAAATTATTTTGTAAAATTCTATCTTGGAAAGGTACTGGAGATAAACACCAGATTGATGTCGATATGATTAGGAGCGGCATACGGTTAAAATAAAAATTTAATGGAATTCGCAAAGACGAAACATCTGTTTTTGGTTATTCGCAACATCTCGTAAAAAGCAAAAAAATCCATTATTTATAAATAGATTCCAAATCTAAATGGAAACCAATTTAAATAAATATCTCGTTGGAATTTTTTTTTAATTAAATGCTTTGATCGATATATCACTAAGGTTTAAATTCGCTGCTATAAATTTTACATACAACTAATGCTTATTCAAGTAAAAGTGTCTGCTGGTTCCACTAACTATTAAGCCTTCGGCAAAATATTTAAAATGAATTGGAAGTATGTTCCAAATAGATATAAATAAGCAATGTATATTTTCCACATATCATCCACTAAAACCTCCAAAGGATTTGTTTTAATATTAAATTAATACTTTTTGTGGACTTTTATAAATATTTAAACAATGGTTTGAGTCCGTGATTACTTGTACGTAGTACCAAAAGATTTTATTTTTGCAATTCAGTTGAACTAAAAATTATACAGAAAAATATTTATTACTACGACTGTTTTCTGCAACAATGTTTTTTTCCTGATGCTTATATGGTGGGAATGCCCTAAGGGCAAGCACAAACCACTGAAAATAAACCCGTAAAACCGTTTGCTACAAAGAAGAAGCGAATATCAGGTAAAATTTGGTTAATGGACCATCCACCGCTGTAATATCATCAGTTGGCGCCCCCAACAGCTAACATCTGTTATAACATCCCATCTGTGCTGCTCTCAAAAAGCTGCTGTTTCTTGAGACACCAACGGAACAAATGGCTGATTGTTTTTTGGTAATTTCTACTCTCTTGGCAGCGAGATAGTGTACAGATTGCGCAAATGACGCTCGCCGGCAAATTATTTGGCAAAAACCCGGTGGTACAAAGCATCAACTCGATGTTTTTCCGAAAATTCGTGTAGTCAGTCAGCCACCGATCGAAGAATGTATTTATTCCATTCATCGAACAATATTCTTTTCGCTCGTTTCAAAAGCAACAAGAATTTTAATAATTCGTTTATCGATTAGAAACATCCGCTAATTTAATAAGATTTATAAAATCAGTCGACGTTATGTTGAATAATATTGTTTTTTGGCTAAATATCGAAGTATCCCACACTGCACAATGGGAATTGCTCGTTTCAAGTGAATTCCATGGAACATTTTAGGTATGCATGTAATCCCCATTTTTTATTTGAACTCAATCGCCACCTTGAGGCGTCGTGACTAATCAGCCGACATTTCGAATAAGTTATTTTACGTTCTGAAGACAATGTTCTTTCATGAGGAAAATAACGCTTCACACCCGTCATTTTCCCAAATAAGTTAAAAAAACTAATACCCTTTTTAAAATTATTTTATCGACCAATTAAATTATATTTAATACTTACATAAAAATTTTGATGCTAATACGTTCGACAACAATTAGAAATAAGTACGCGTCTTATTTTATTGCTTGCAATAATCGCGAGTCAACGCGGTGAAATTTTTTGGTACGCCCATGGGTACATTACCGACTTCTGCTTTTTATATTATAAAATATAAAGCTAATTTAGTTTGCCATTACATTCTCTACGGTCTCATCTCCAACATAGAAAGTCGCATTAAGGCATTCAGAACAATATTATAGAAAGTTGATCACATAACAGTTTTACTAGTATAACATCTTCGCTGTGAGCAGTTTACTCCCACATTTTAATTCAGCTTTAAAATTCACTTCATCCGGAAATTAGGCGCAAAAAACCGAGCTAATAAGGTCGTTCAAAAAGCGGTGCCAGCAGGTGCGCTACGGGGGTCAAGCAATATTTAAGAGAAATTAAATTGTTTTTAACGTTACAAAAATACCCCATTTTATTTCTTCGTTAAATATTTTTTTGTGGATATATTGTATTTTGAAAATATCGATGTCGATGAGGTAAAAATGAACGAAATAATTATTTCCGAACCCGTTGTTTCTTGTTAGGATGCCGTCAGAGTATAAAAAACAGGTGACTTGATTTGCAAACCGTTGTTTGGGAAGCCGTTTGCTATAAATAGATCTTACCTTTCGATTAAATATCGTCTAGAGACCCGTTATTTATAATTGCCGTCCATAGATCTGAATTTCCCATAGAGTGCATTGGCTTATTAATAAAATCCTTCAAATTAGGCGATTATTAAAAATCATCAATTCATGAATATCGTCCAGTAATAAGTTGGTACACCGTACTGCGGTGAAAAACCGTGGGAAGAGGATAATTATACGGAGTAATGTCATACTTTGTATGATTCCCATATGACAGCACTTACACGTGATTTAAACAGATAATTATCTATTAAAAAGAACGCTCGGCTATATTCTAGATACAAATTCACTGCTGCGATAGAAATATATACGGGGGAAGCAATTTTCTTGGGAATCCTTGGTATTATTGTTAAGATTAGTTATGTAAGTTGTGAATATATGAATATAAAGTATGAGGAACTGCTTGGCAATTTACGGTTGAAGTCTAATTATCTTTTATATATATTCATAAAACATATCTGCAAATCCTCGTACACGAATTCAAAAAATCGACATACCTGCCTCCCACCCACTTGTGTAAGTTTTGACGTCAACAAAAAACAACAGAAATTGAAATGTACCTACAGTTATGATAACGAATTCAATGCAAGTAATGTTTTGAATTATTATAAATAGTGTGGAAAATAATTATTAAAAAAAAAAACACTGTAAGTATTAGTACGGCCCTGTTACGTAACTTATTATTATATCCTGTCTCTTAATATCCTCAAATTGTTTACCGTACACAAGTTTGTTTCACATATGAAACATTGAAGAACCACTACTAATACCTGAAATGTTAATTAATACAATATAAAAAGTAATAAATTAACATTTTAAAAAACCTTTAATAAGTTCACAGTTCCTGCGCTGTTTCCTGTCCAGATACTTAACTGCTGCTTTTGTAATAATTATCCTAAATTTAATCGAAATTAAAATCGTTCTTTTTCCTGTTTGGAGGATTTTATGTCACTCCTCACCTCCGTCTCCCTTTTACTCGATCAACAAAGTCAATGTCTCGCTCAGAATTTCCTTACTAGCGCAAAAAAAAAAACAAATATTTCATTTGCAATTCAATATTTACAGTGTTATTTAAACCGGACACTTTTGATTTTTTTTTTCGTTGACCAGCTAGGCCACAAATTTATATAATTATAATATGGTATTATGAATTTTCTATTCACCGTGACATCCAGAATGCCCCGATTCTGATGAATCATCTTTCTATACGGGTTTAATTACAATAGCACTGTTTTAAATTAATCATTCGTGTCAAGGAACAAACTAACAATTAATAAAAAAAAAACGTTTTAATCAATTAGGGTATCTGGAATTAGGTGAATTTTAAATTAGAACTCGAATATCCCACGGGAAGTCTGAATTTTTGTTCGGAGGTGTATTTTTTATTCCACTAAATGCTGCAAAGAATTGCCATGAAAAGAATGACGGGTATTCGAGAATTGCCATCCAGTTTTTACGCGCAGGTTGTGGTCAGGAGATGAAAGGACAACAAATAACTCTGAAGTAGGTACGCTAAGGCGGATTTTTTAAATTTTCTCGAACAATGCAACTGTGGTCAATTAATACAAACGATTCGACGTCTTACATTTAAGTAATAAATAAGAATTTAAGCAAAAACGCAAATGGAAAAGTCGTCCCTGCTGATGATATTACCATTTCACAAGTGCAATAATTTCTTAAAAAAAAAAAACAAGTAGCGAAATGTATTTTTTTTTTTGCCTTTAAAGGTGGCCACTAATTTTGTATCAGTTAAATATCCGCTTCTGAAAAGCGCGATCTCGTTTCTGTCCCGAGGCTGGCATGTTGTGGTGCAAAAAGCTTTGATTAAATAGGTTATTAAATACAAATTAGATAAATGTGTTTCTATCCAAAGCAATTTACCAATTACATAAACACCGTTTTTAGTAACAGCGTAAGTATCCACCAGTCACCTACCTACATGTTAACTTGCAACACTACTTTCACGTAAGGAAGCATCTTCGTATTGGAATGCCGTAGAGTGCTGGTACTATACCTACCTATAATCCCGCAGATGATGCATTACGTTTCAGTTTAAACGATAGATATGCTAGCGACATACATTCCACTAGACATAGACATTCTCTTCTGTATTTAGCCAGGTATACGTAAATATAATCGTTCACAGGAAAAATATTTGTTCCTTATATCAAATATTTACCACTTGTAATGAAATAGCTTACCTGAAAAGAAAAAAAGAGGTCCGTTATTTTACAACACTTTAATCGAGTGTAATTAATTTATTAGATTTACTAATACAATTACGATGAAATTTAGTCTCAAAATGTATACCCACTAAACCGCTTAGGATAAAAAAAAATAAAACTTTTTTTTATGTCATTAACTCCCGTCGTATAAAAAAGAAATACATAGAGACTGCTGTAAGAATGTTTGCTTCTGGTAAAAGCTATATACACAATTCCGTATTGCACGGTTGTTGTGTAGCGCCTACTTTGCACAAGCAGTCGTAGGTTTCATAGCTTCTAAGACAATCTAGCAAATATGTACTTTCGTCCTAAGCCTTGCATATTGTTAATAACATTTTGATTCGAACCCATCCTTGTTTGCCAATAAATTTCTCTTAAATGAATACTGATGCTTTGAATGTTAATGCAACTAGCTGACAAATACACCATTTTGTCTTATTTTTAATCTTACAAGAATTTGATACAATACCCTTCAACCACCACAAATAAGTACTTTTTTTAGAAATACGATTATTATAAAGATATATTTAATATATATAAGTTTTTCGTTCCGAATTAAAAGATTAATTAATAATCGACAAAAGGAGTGCGTTCTCATTGGTTGGGAAAATTGACTGTATAATTTAACGATAACTCGGCAATTTACTGCCTATCAACAGTTAATTTGTTAAAGACATGCAAATAAATGTAAATAGGTACCTCTAAATTTAATGGAAATTAAGGAATACAAAAATTATGGAAATCAATTCCGGTAAAACGATAAAATTATGTGGGGATGCACATCTGATGCGTGTCACAAATTAATGTCTTAAATAGACCTGCTGTTATATTGATCTCTGATTGTCTACATTTTTTTTATTTTGAATTTTTGAAATATCAAAAATATCTAGCGGCAAAATGAACAACCAGCAATCCAACTATAAAAGTTTCTGTAAAAAGAATGAGTGCACATTTAGCAAGTGACCAAAAGGTGTCGCCACAGATCAGTTAATATGAAATTTGTTATAATGTGACTATTAGTATATAAACAATAATTCTTACAACAATTATATACATTTTTAAGCCAAATTAATAAAGTATTTGAATACTTAAATAAAACCTCGATTAACATATTTTCCTAGATTCACTTGGCGCCATCTATAATTCGAATCGTGAACCGAAATAACAGATTTATCTAAAACGCAAATTAATCATTTTTACAGTTTTCTACTTATCTTTGTGAAGTGATACAAACATTTATTTATTTAAATATTTATTACAAAAACGTTTCACCATTCAACAAATATTTTTTTTAACAAAACCCACAGACTATAAAAACAAAATATATAACATTTTAATAAAAAAAAAGTTATCAAACTAAATCATTAAGATTAACTATAACTTATTACACCTTACTTATTAATTAAAAATTCGTTTAAAGTATGAAAGGTACAATAGCTTTCCTCTGTTTTGGATAATTAGGAAATTCTTTGCGATAATTTTTATGCTTTCCAAGGGCCCACACTGCCATCTGATAAAACCCAGCTAATGTAAAGAGAGCAGCTAAAATTGCAATAAAAAAAACACCTTTATTAGCAAAATGCTACAATTAAATATATTTACATCCGTACCTGGTAGACATGATGTCATGATAGTGAATCCAATCCAAGCACCAAGTTCGTATGTGTAATTAGGGCAAGAAACTAAGTCAAAAAGTTTAGTCAGTGGAAAATTATCCGGTACGGGAATTTTTCTAACAGTAGTACCAGCAGGTCGAAGATTTCTCAAAAGAATATGAGTGCTAAGGTTCCCTACTTCGCACACCTAAAAAATGAGTGCATGTTAAAATTTTATTTGTTCTCGAATTATATATCTTACCGCGAAGATTGCCAATCCAATAATTTGTTGCAGTAGCAAAGGAGCAGTGAACAAAGGATGGTTTACATGATAAGCTACGTAAAGGCAGAAACCCCAATAATATCCACAATTTTTAAAAAGGTTTCTTATGGGCATAGTTCCATGAGAAAATCTATGGATAAACAGTGTTTCGAATATTCTTTTCAGGTAATGTATGCTCCAACAACCCAAAGCAATTCTAGAAAAATGTTCAATTTTTAAAATCCGATTAAATATTTAAAAATTCCCATACTTAGCTGTAGTAGACAGTTCTGTTCCTTGAGCTTCAGCGCCATAAAGTAACCAAGGTCGATATGCCACTAATACATAAATTACGAAAGGACCAGCATACTCTAACAAGAACACGGTGTTCCAGCCGATCTGCGGCCCCAAATCTTTAACGAAAACCTTCCTAGTACTGCCCAGGTTTTCAATGGTGGAATCATCTTTAATGTCTTTGCCCTTGGCTTCAGATCTCACTGACTGACGTTCAACTGATAATTTTGAAATTTTTGCTATTTCCTTTTTAATATCTATCACTTTAACGTTTTCAGAAACCGAGATGTCTCCTAATTTCTTGTTAGTTGTGGTATATACTTCCACCTAAATTATTAAATATTGTCACGTCATTGTGTCACTATTATAATGTAGTATTTACTACTTTTATAATAAATCATATTTAATTATAAATACTGAGATGTATACACACCTGAACCATGTTGTAATCAATGTAACCTAACTATATCACACAAATTTTCAATCTGCAAACGACGTCAAACGAAAGACTATTAAAATGGAATAAAACCGAGTATTACAATACAATTTTAAATCCACTACAAGTTTACATATGTAGTGTCATAATTATCAACAAAGGTGTAAAGCCAAAATTCAAGGCTAAACCCAGTTGTACAGCTGACCCAGTCTTATACCAGTTTTAATTTTGAATATTGATTACTCATTATAATAACCTGTCTTTTACGTTATCTTATACTATGCAGATATTTATCAAAAACATGAGAAACTTGTAAAATATTTCTTATAAAATATTTTATTCTGGAAATAGGCATTTATCTTTAATGTTTTGTCCTATATAAACATGCCTCTTTTTTAATTCTATAATCTCATAATATAGGTATTTATATACATATGAACACAGAAAAAAATGTGACACACTTTCTATAATTCTAGTGAAGTTATACCAATAAATATTTTTTATTTTCTATTTATTTTTGAAAATGAGCGCTTCTGAAGTTAAGTTGGCAGTGTCGGCACTTCGTTACATTTCACTTGTTATGGTTGGCACTACCGTATACTACACTGCACTCACTGCACTGCAGATACAACTAGGCAGTCTAGGCACCATGTCTATTTTCAATCCGTATAAATCCATTGGTTCAATTTGCAATTTCGTCGATTGTAATCCAATGAAATTGCATTAGATAAAGACAGCTATAGTTTCCAAATAAAGTTTTTGGAAGGATGAACTTCCTTCCGATCTTTAAAACGAGTTCTTTCGGCTGTTTCATTTCTTAATGTCAAATTTGACGTTTACGTGTCATCAAAGTCATCAAACATATGGTTAATATCTATCAAAAATGAGTAACGTACAGGAACTTCAAGCAAAAATTAAAGATTTAGAATCACAACTGGCTAATCTTAAGTTGAAAAATGTTAGGGGAAAAATTGAAACCATGTCATCGGAAGTCGTCGATTCTAATCCTTACAGGTAATTAAGAAAGATATATGAATTTTACCTATAAGTAGAATGTAATTTTTCAGTCGTTTGATGGCACTGAAGCGTATGGGTATTGTGAACAATTATGAACGTATCAGAGAATTTACAGTAGCCGTAGTGGGTATCGGTGGAGTTGGAAGTGTAACAGCAGAAATGCTGACGAGATGTGGTATAGGCAGATTGATTTTATTTGATTACGACAAGGTGGAACTAGCTAACATGAACAGGCTCTTTTTTCAACCGCATCAATCGGGGTTAAGCAAAGTAGATGCAGCCGCAGAAACATTAAGAAACATCAATCCAGATGTAGACATCCATACATACAATTATAATATAACTACCGTAGAGAACTTTGACAACTTTACCAAGGTTTTAACGTTAGTAAAAATTGTTAAATTAAAAAAATATATCCTATGTGTTTATTTTCTAGGACTAGCAGCTTAACTAATGAGGCTGTAGACTTGGTTCTAAGCTGTGTAGACAATTTTGAAGCAAGATTTGCTATAAATACAGCTTGCAACGAGTTTAACTTGACCTGGTTTGAATCCGGAGTATCAGAAAATGCTGTATCGGGACATATTCAATTTATAATCCCTGGGGAATCTGCTTGCTTTGCAGTAAGTACCAATAATCCTTAAAAAACAGTATTTATGTGTTAAATTTTAGTGTGCGCCTCCATTAATTGTTGCGTCGAATATTGATGAAAAAACACTGAAACGTGACGGAGTATGTGCGGCAAGCTTGCCAACAACGATGGGCATTGTAGCAGGATTCCTTGTTCAAAACTCTTTAAAATATCTCCTTCAGTTTGGACAAGTAACTAATTATTTGGGCTACAATGCATTAAATGATTTTTTCCCTACTATGAAATTGAAACCTAATCCGAATTGTGAAGATACCAACTGTCGGTTGCGGCAGAAGCAATACGCGTTGAAACCGAAACCTGAAATAGCTGTTGAAGCAAAAGAAGATGAAGGGCCCTTGCATGAAGATAATGAATGGGGTATTAGTTTGGTAGATGAAAGTGTGGATGATGATAAAGGTGCAGTACAAGTCGCTAAAGGCGTCACGTTAGCATACACACTGCCAGATCAAGATTCAGTGGTGGAGGAGTGCCAGGAAGCCACTTCAACGAATATCAGCTTAGATGAATTAATGGCGCAAATGAAATCTATTTAAACATTCCCCTTTAGTAAGTTTGTTATTATGAGACGGTCTTATATATTTGATGTTGTAACGTAGTTCTATCTAATTTTTTTGTTATTATTTTAAGGTTGATCTTGTGGGAGAAATGCATTTAAATATTTTCATTCATGCAGAAATTTTTATACTTTGGTAATTTATTAAATTATAACCCGTTTGTAAGATATTTTTTTCTATAATATAAATTTTATATGTGAATTATATTTTTTAATTAATTTGTAGTACCTAAATAGTGGTGGATATAAAAATATTTGGTCCTCGGAAGTTTATATTTATTTAAACTAAATATGAATAATAAAAAATGGGTGTATGATTGTACAATTTATTGGTACTTACAAAAATAGCTAAGTATACAATCTTAACAACAATCTAGATTAATAGCTATGATTTTACAGACATAATTATATAGATAGAAATAAGGCATCACACTGAAAAATTAGGAATCGAAAATCTGATCACTACAATATATATATTGACTAGAATATACTTTACTTTCTATTACATACAGGGTGTCCCGAAATTCATGCAACAAAATTTGGTCAAAGATTTGTAAGACATATTTAGGGGACCCGTATTTTTTATTTTTGTCAACTGGCCCCCTCTTTCGGAGTTACGGCCCCCTGAAATCTGCCCCTAAGAAGTCTTTTTTATATCTCAAAACCATATTGTACGAGAATCACTAAATTTGGTACACAGGGGTGTTATGACATATGGAATCTGATGGTGCTATGTTTTTTGGCGGGGAACCTCCTTAAGACACTTTTTCGTGTCCACCCTTGTCTTTATAACCAGAAAAATCTGGTCGCAAATTTGTTTTTTTTTTTTAATTATTAATTAACTAGAAAGCCATTGAATTTAGAAACCTTTTTGTCTCTTGATATTTGTTTCGTAAAACGCAATGTTTTTGAGGAAAATGGCGAATCACGATATGCATTCGATCACATTTTGACATTTTTCTCGAAAACATTGCGTTTTACGAGAAAAGTGTAGAGACAAAAAGTTTCTAAATTTAATGGCTTTCTGGTGGACTGATAATTTTTAAAAAATTTAAATATCCGACCAAATTTTTTTGGCTCCCACAAGGGGGCCCACGGAAAATTGTCTTAATGGAGTTCCCCGCCAAAAAACGTGGCACCATCAGATTCCACATGTCATAAAACCCCTGTGTACCAAATTTAGTGTTTCCCGTACAACAGGGTTCCGAGATATAAAAAAAGATTATTCTTAGGGGCGGATTTCAGAGGGGGCCACTTGGGAAAAATAAAAAATTCGGGTCCCCTAAATTTGTCTTAAGAATCTGTGACCAAATTTTGTTGCATGAATTTCGGGACACCCTGTATAATACTTAAGGTCATAAACTACTACAAGGATATATAAAAATCTTGAAAAATTTCGTTCTACATTGAAAAATATTTTTCTATATATTTTATAAAAAATAAGATACAAATATATATGTACCGTACAAAGAGAGCAAAGCATAGCAGCTGACTTGGTCAACCAAATGAACAGAATTTTCACCACTAGAAAGTAGTTTATGTAATTTACTTGTCCCATTGTAGTTGCAATTTATAGTGTGAAATGAACATGAACAATGCTAATTAATTTGGTATAGCTATCACTAAACAATTACCTAAATAAACATAATACCTACAAATAGTTTTTACATTTAAAAGCATACATAAAAATGTTCTATACAGATTGTGGTGCGTTCTAGCTTTTACTACTTGAGATAAAACAGTTATCAGTTTCATTTAGCTAAATGAATGAAAGTATATATTATTGCACAAATCAATATATCAGTGAAAATATTATTTTATACAAAACCATTTGATTTTATTTTGAGCTAGAAAATAAATACTAAATAAAAACTGCAATTGAATAAGAGATCTTAAGGCAAAAATAAATTAAAATAATTTGCTTAATGAAAAAACCATAATTAAGATGAATATTATAATTTGATCAAATTCTCTACAGTGATATGATTTTCATTAGAAGAAACCATTTTTTTAGAAGAATACGTACTTTCATAATAAGTGGTCGATTCCACATGGCTGTAAAAAGTAGATTTTGTCTCTTTGGTCTTTGTCTTTTTAACTTCCGAACGTTTCTCACTTATACTTGTACAGTTTTTACTCTTCATATACTCTAACACAGGGTCTTTACCAGTTTTCATACTAATCTTCGTTTTCAATATCACGTATTGTGACCTCCAAAATTCATAAGAAGCCATTTTTAAAGCTGCTACCCACTTGCTTACATCGGAATCACAACGGCACGAAAATATATGTTTCGATTCCTCATCACGAAACCTATCGTTAACTTTAAACGTTATAGAAAAAGCAAATGGAATTCCTTTGTGCGGCCTTTCATAAGCTATTTGAGCATTTTCTATCACTAGTACACCCAGAGGTTCCTGCTCAGTTATTCTATAGTAAAACAATAAATTGGATATCAGTTTGAAATTACGTTCTTTAAACGATGGTCTTTGATACCAATCAGACCAGTCATTTCCTTGTGGCTTCATGTGATGTAGAACTCCTTCCAAATCTGGTTTACTCTCCCCAATTTTCACCAATTCTTTGTCGTTATATCTCATGATTAAATTATTTACAACACTAGACACTCATAAACAAACAGAACCAAGAAATTGCTCTAAAACTGAACTAAAAATAACTGTAGGTATTCCCCAGTCAAATTTTATTTTTAGATAAAATGATACATTATTATTTCTCATGAAAATTAATTGGGCAAACCTAAGACTGCTAAAATTTTATACTACTGGTGGGGTTGTAAGATCATAACCTTTTTAATAGATTTCTTCTTCTTCCTCTAAATCGAGTTCTTCTTCGTCTTCAATAATATGCATTTGGTCAGTTTAAACCCCACGTTCATTGGGTTAACAGCTTATTAATTGGTTCAATATGCTTGAAATTTAATTTACGAATTCGTTAACAATAGCTAAAGGTTATTTGCTCAATTTACATGCCGTAAAACATATTGTAATTAACTTAGATGCAATCATCAATTGAGAACTGCTCTAATTTAGAAAGAGTGGTTCATAGATGTAAGAAGAGATAGATAAGACATATATTGCGCATCCTACCAATTCCCCAGTCCTCCACCCACAACCACTACTCTATTTTGTTGTTGAACACTTAAACCTTAAACAGCTCAGTTAAATTATACTAGTACAAGTGTAGTTTGCTTTAAAATAGTATTTTCCCCACTTAAGCCACCCAATCGCAGAAAACAACAGCCTTTGCGCAGATAAAAAGAAGTCTGTCTTTGTTCTTTCTAATCCTCCTATCCCTTCCAATCTGTTCGGTGTGGTGCGATCGTGTATCCGTTTTCAACCGAAAATCTATTAATATCAATTCTATTTGTATTCAATTCAAATGTTTTTGTGACAGGTAGTTGTAAAATGTAAACAATTATAGGTAAATATACTAATAATAGCTTGTTTAGAATGTATCAATGTTTTTCTATTAACTAAGTTTTATACTTGAAAAAATACATGAATTGATACAGTACAGTGTAATATAACTGACTTGCAAAATGTAAGTTTTAGGTTAAAATGCTTGATCTTTTCCTCAGAAAGTTTAAATTACAGATTTTCTTGTTTAATTGTTGTAGTATTAAATTGTTGCGATGCCTATTTATTTTAAGTGTTGATATTTCAAGAATAATTGAACTTTTAAATTTTTTAATACCAACATATTTAAAATTTATAGTTTCAATTACTATTATGCTGTATTATGCCGATATTTCTTCTCACTAATTACAATATTTCTGTATTTAGCACCATCATAACTATAAAATAATTTTTTAAGAGTTTATGGGATGACGTCTGTCATGTGGAATTATATTTTAATTATTTTTATATCGATCTTGGTCACCGTATTAACTCGCAATGATCCCAGAAATAATGGGGACTTGGCGCTGTGGATTGATCAAAAACAAGTCAAAATGTTCAGTGGTACGTGTATAAATGTATAACTTAAACAAATATAAAATAGAGTTTTTAAGGCATGTCTATGGAAATTTATGCTATAGCAAATGGCACAGTAATGCAGTACATATTAGACCCTAATTTCGAAAAGTATTTACCAGTTATACCTTCTGAAGTTGGCTACGTGAATTTCACTTGGAAGGCAGGGACAAAGAAGTATTATTACAATTTTGACCGTTTACAGTCATATGATGAGAGTATACTAGAGGCACCCGTGATATCGATACGTACAAAGGGCCGTGTTCCTAAACGACCAAAAGAATTCAGTATTCATTTACCATGTCTAGGTAACAGTTCAGGTATTGCAAAATTCGGAATAGGTTTACTTATAGAGAGCCGAAAAGGTAAACCATTGAACGGTACTCCCCTGAGACTGAAGTTGAAAAAGGAGTGCTCCCAAAGAAGTAAGACATTTTATGTTTTATTTGTAATATTTTCAGTAGTTGTATGGGTTTGATAGTTGAAATTTTTCATTTACCATTATACTTAAAAAGGAATAAGCATACCTGTTTTGTTATCCGACTTCCATTATTGAAGGTCCAGATCCGGAATGTGATAAAAAATGTGCCAATCAGGGGTGGTGCAATCATGAGAAAATTTGTCAGTGTCCTGAAGGTTACATGGGGCAGTATTGTAGAACAGCGCTGTGTTATCCGCAATGCATGAATGGGGGCAATTGCACATCTCCTGGAATCTGTAGCTGTCCCCCTGGTTTTCAAGGCCGGCACTGTGAAGGAGGTAAAAATAATATAAATAAAAATGTAATCTATTACAAAATTATATGTTTAGGAATATGCAGCGAAAAGTGTTTAAATGGGGGAAAATGTATCCAAAAAGACACTTGCGAATGTTCAAAAGGGTATTACGGGCCTCATTGTGAATACTGTAAGTTTAAAAAAATTTTATTTTTGTTTAGTTCGCCTTGTATTTATTTTGATTTGGTTTTTTAGCAAGGTGCGTTATCCCTTGTTTGAATAACGGCAAATGTAAGGCAGTGAACAAATGCAGATGTCCAAGAGGTTTTCGTGGTGACCACTGTGAGATTGGAAGAGCCAAAACCCATCGAAGCAACTGTCAACTTCCCTGCAAACATGGGACTTGCGTTGACAAAGCTTGTGTCTGTGATCCTGGGTATTATGGGAGACTGTGCCATAACTGTAAGCTCTTTTTTATCAAGCAATTTGCGGATTGTTGATACTGTTTTTTTTTCAGTAATTATTTAAGACTTGGCCTATTCTAAGGAAGCTGCAACTTTACTTATTCTCATAGTATTTTATCTCAGTGTTGTATATTTTAACTAACAGCTATTTTTTGTTTCCTATTACTATTAAGGATTTTTACATATATTTTGTGCCAAAATATTTTTCTATTAATATTTAATAAGTTTTTCTATTAGTGGTTATACAGAGTATTAAATATATACATACCTGCGATGTCTTATAGAAAATATATAATTTGTGACATGGGCGTAGCTAGGATTTTTACTACGGGTGGGCCCAGGGTTGTAATAAAAAAAAAGCTCACGAACTTCAAATCATAAACACTTTTTCGTTTGATTCTAAAAAACGGCCACGCCACGCAATCAGTGACCTACTGATATAAATTTTCAAAACATATACACTTTTTGAAACTTGCAGCATGCAGCAACAATTAGGGGGGAGGGTGTGGCCCCCCACTGGCTACGCCCATGTTTATGAAATATTTTTGTTTTTTTTTTTAAAAAGGTAAGGAAATGCATATAGATCTAAGATATGTATATACTAGACAGTGTTTATAATCACAGATAAACCTTATATTTTTATAGATAAATGTGTGATAACATACTTAAAGCTATTTTTATAACAGTTTTTAATAAATATGTGTATGTAATTGTTGTTTTATTTTTATTTATTTAAATTAAACTGATCTTCTTAATAAGTACGCGTTAAAAATAATATTTTATATATCTATAGCCTTTATTTAAATAATATTTTAGTATTCAGTTGTTCTAGGGTGGCCCAAAAAAAACTAATTTTTTTTTTGGTGTCTTGTGAAAATATGTTAGTTTATCATATTTTAATAGCCCCCTCAAAAAATCAGCTCAAAAAAACTTCTTTAGAGGTTGCTCAAAGTTTTTAAAAATTTCCAAAATCATCAGAAATAGATTTTTTTTTTCGTTATTTTATCATTTTCTAGGTTGAAAAAATCGCGATTCTGAAAATTTCAAATCGATATTTTAATTTCACTCATAACTATTTTAACTTTCAAAGTAGTGTATCTAAAATGTTTTCGAGCGACCTCTAACAATAACTATCAACGAACTAATATTTTTTTTTATTGAATTTGATAAACAAAAGAATAGAAATAAATCACGAGACACTTAAAAAATTTCTCGAGGCATTTACTACTGCACTGTGAGTATCAAATATTTATAATTTTTTAATTTTTTAAAATTTAAGTGTCGTGATTTATTTCTATTCTTTTGTTCATCAAATTCATTAAAAAAAAATTAGTTCGTTGATATTTATTGTTAGAGGTCGCTTAAAAATATAGGTATACTACTTTGAAAGTTAAAATAATTATGAGTGACCGTTAGAAATTTAAATGTCGATTTGAAATTTTCACAATCGAGATTTTTTTCAACCTAGAAAATGATAAAATAACGAGAAAAAAAATTCAATTTTTGAAAACTGGAAATTTTTAAAAATCTTGAGCGACTTCTGAAAAATTTTTTTTGAGCTGATTTTTTGAGGAGGCTCTTAAAACATGATAAACTAACATATTTTCACAATAGACACGAAAAAAATATATTCGTTTTTTTTTTTTGGGCCACCATAAGGTGTTCATATAAAAATATAAAACAGAATAGAAGTTCATCTGACACAAAATTGCATTGTAAAAATTACTTCCTTAGTTTTTTAAAGCTGTATCATGTAAGTTATTGTTACATAGACATTAGAACTTTTATTTAATAAGAACTTTGCTAATTTCATATCTTTATTAGTGGTAAGATTTAACGACATATCTTTGATCGCGATCAGCCTTTAGTTCCATAACAAATTAAAATTAATTGTATTCTAACCGCTGCTCTGTGACAGGAATTAAACGCATAAATTTAGGGTCATAGGGTAACAGAATTAACAGTATGCGGCTGTCGAAATTGAATACGATTTGCGTAGGTAAAAATTTTTGAAACGTCAAGATTTTTTTGGCCACTGGGTAGGCATCGCGTATTATTAGAAAAACCGCACCGCAGAATTAGCTACTGGCTAACGTCACAACCTGAAGGCAGAGATAAAGTTTATTTGATAAAACACCTTTAAATTGTCCCGCTGTAGCTAGAGCTCGGGAGTCGGGACCAAATTTCTCAGGGGCGGACCTGCGCATGCTTAATCCGGCAATAATTCTTTTACCGATGAAGGTGGGCCTTCGCTAGAATACCGAGCAGACTATTGTCTGCAAAGAAATAACTAGTCAGTGAACGTAAAAATTGGTTATGTCTTAAAACACGTGCGAATTAACTTCTTCTTTAAAAAATGCTATCCCGATCGTATATGGTTTTAGTTATCTTTAATATCTTGTTATGTTTTTGTGTGTGTGCGAATGGAAACTCAGAATTAAACGTGAAACAGGGTAAGTTTCAAAGCTACCCCGACTGTATATTTCTCATCGACAACACCCTGCAAACCAATTTTCATTTTCATGACTAAAGCGCGTTTATTTAAAAGAAAAAAAATTGGAATATGGCACGCTAACTCATTTGTTTACTTTTCATAGGTAGTATCTAACAACGTCAAATCAGGTGATGTTATAGGTGCATTTATCACAAATACCTCGAATCCTTTTAATGAATTATACAGTACTTTTTTTCTGGGACTACTCAAATTTATAATAATTATTTTTATACGTAGTGCCATTTAAAAATCATTTTTAATTATAAAAATTTTTTGGAACATCTATGTGAAAAAGTATAAAAGGTAAACAAGATTCTGGCAGTTTCTCGTTATTTATTTTCTATTCACCAGTTAACAATTGTTTGTCAGCATCATAGGTAAAATCGATTAACATATTTCTATAAATTAATATATTTAATTAAAATGATAAATATGCACATATAAAGCAATGCTTATTTATTCCGTCAGGTACTTTGTACAAGAAAAGGTAAAACATACCTTTAAACAATTATAATGACATTTTAATCTGAGCTTCATTCAAGATGATTGACCAAACATCATACGATCATGATTCATGATACTATATAATGTTCTATATATCCAATTATATTAAATTAGAGGTATGATTGACATTTATTTTCATTTCACACTATTTTATTCATGACCTCTAATCAAAGCTCATGTTCCACCTTTCTATTATTTTTGTACCTATATGTAAATTGGTTTTTGAAAAACGATACGTAATATGTTTTATTAATGAATGTAATCAAAACAAAATGGACTTTCTTAATAAATGATAGTTGAAGATAGGTCTGTTACAAAAACGAAATAGTTGCTGCGGCTATATTTTCCAATACTCTAAAAGATGAAAATTAATATAACGTCATTAATTTTTTAGTAGTTAAATGATAACAATTTAGGGAAAGCCTAAAATATCTTCCAAATATTCTTTAAATTAAATTAACAAATGTTCATTGTATATGCAAAAATTATTTTATTATTTTTTGGTGTAAAGGAATGATGCCTCTTATTAACCAAAGTCTTGAAAAATAAGGTCATGTGAATAACAATTTATTTACAGTGTTACGTTTTCTGTTTATTTTTAAGTTGCCCAAATTAAACCGAACCGATTTAGTTAACTAGTCAATTATAAAATGCGTTCGGTCTATAATAGCTACGGATGTGTACTGAGAACGATTTCAGATTTCACTAGGTATATCTCTATATACATACATATTGCCAAATGCATCAATGGACTTTAATACGTAATAGATGCATAACATTCTTTCGAAGTGAATATACTTCCCAAACTCAAACATTTTATGCTAAATTTTCTTTAAAGTTGTTTAGCTGTTTATCATCGTTGTGGCCATAATTAACAAGTTTTGCACATCGACGTATATATAATTTTGTTAAATAACCACGAAATTATAAAACTTCCCACGCAACATATTTTAATGAGTACATACATAAACACTGAAAATTTAGCTTGTCACAGATTTAAAAATAATTCATTTTCGCGTCAAAGAAATATTTTTCCAAGTTTCTGTGACCAAAGGTCGGTAATTTATTTCTATAACGTAGTTATATGAAAACACATAATTGAAATATTACGTTCACAATACAACACAGCTCTATTACAGAAAAAGTTATCATGACTAGAATCTGATGAGTTAATCGTTAAAGCATATCTAATTTTAATTGAAGTCTTCCATTGTATTGAATTTATTTGTCTTTTAAATATGAAATTCGAACGCGAAAAAAAAGTTTGTTTAGAGTTCACCTGTAAATAAAAATTTTATAAAAACGCCTCCAATCAAAAGCATATAGCCGTGGTATACAAGCATTGTTCTAATTATAATTACTGTCAGGGTTAACTATGAAAACGGCATAATTGTGATCTGAATAACATGTATATATTTTTTTTCAGAAGAACATTCGCGATGTTCCTTTAGACAGTTTACCTGTGCCAATAAAGAATGTATACCAATAATGTTTATGTGTGATAATGAAGAAGATTGCTCGGATGGTTCCGATGAAGATCCAAAGGAATGCTCAAGTAAGCTTTTTGTTACACAAATTTTCGTTCACGCTGTATATTACAAGCGTATACAACAGCGACGAAGTACAATTACTACAATTATACAACTTGATGTAGGTAGCATTAACAAATTATTGATACAAGTTATAACGATCCTTTTATATATTTCCGACAGGGGCAACTGCAACAAGTAATTCTGCAGTCGGTTCTTAATGGTCAGCTATTTAAAGCACAGACACAAGTATCAATTATAATCAGTCTTTTCAGAACGGTGGCGGAACTGCAATACGCAAAAGAGAGTAGTGAGGGATGTCCGCAGCCTCCTCCGTAACTCCACACTAATAATTTAATACATTTAATTGGCAAAAACAAATTAAAAACTTTTTAGGTCCAGGGAACTTTAACTATGCCCCTCACTATTTCTACGGCAATGTTTTTTCCGCCACTGAGCGAAAAACTCGAGAAATTGAGTACCTAAATACGAATTCATAGGCTTTTCTTTCGTAAGAAAAATAAATTACTAGCAAGGGAATATCTTCAAATAGATGTAGCACAAATTTAGCAGGAAAATAGTTTGAAACTGTTCCGTACACAGTATTGATTTTTTGTTACTTAATAATGGCACTGTACTTTGCAATGTCCACTCCATTTATGTCTTTTTTACAGTATTATTAAAAGTTCGCTAGACTATTAAAAGTTTTATCAACTTCCCTGGAATATTATTATTACTGTCGTTTATTTCCCTGTATATTATAAAACTTTGCTTCCTGAAATTAATTCCAAAGAATTAAAAACTTCGAGTTCATTTTCAAGTATGTACTTAGATGTTAACTAGAATACTAACTGATGCGTTTAGAGATAGTTACGACTGCCATAAAAAGTAACTATTAACTTTTTATGTATATTTGCTTTTGTTCGACTGATGTTCATTTTTCTTTTCGAAAATGCGAAACAATATGTCAAATGTTTTATTAACCTCCATTCGCTCCAGTTTTCAAGGGTATCTATCTATGTTTAATTAAATTCAATTAGACTAATCTGACCCACATGTTTACTTCTTGAAAATGGTTGCAACGTAGTAGACTAAAAAGTTCACATAAAATTTTGTAAATGTAACATCTTCCTCAAGTTACATCAGCGTAATTTTATGGATAGTGACATCGTTTTATTCTGTTTATTTATCTACCGGGGGTTTTACTAAATTCCAAATTAACTTACTATTGTCTTATTAACCAAATATAAAAATTATGTTTATTTTAATTACTAATGGATTTACTTGAGTAAAGACATTTTTAACCATTTTGGATTTTTTTTTCTAAATTTTACATTACTTAATTATCTTCTTACCCCATGTATTTTATTTTTGGGTCAGTGTCAAAGATCATCGGACTATGTTATATATTTTATTTTGTATAGTAAGTAACTATTACAATTTATGTAAATATACTGTTTGTAAACATATGTTTATTATATTTTCCAATTAATTTTAATTAATTCTTTATAAAAAAAAAAAGTGAAAAGTAGGTAATTTTGTATAAATTTCAGAATTCCGATTTTCTTTGTCCCTGGGGCTAACACCGCTGGCTATTTAGCATTTTATTTTGTAATACCAGTTATCAGTCTGAAATATGACTTGATTCAATAGCATCGACTTCTTAATTGTTATTTATTAAAATTTAATTAGACGTATGATTAATTAATAAAAAAAACATTTTTGATAACCAATTCTTAAGTATATAGTTTTGTTTTATATTCTGTTATACACATAGGGCAATTTTTTTATTTTTAGGACAGTTTAGACTAATTGTTAGAAGATTAAGTGACCCTCGCCTCGGAAGAGCTTTCATCCATTCCGATATATCTCGAAATTCTAATAAGAGGTCGTAGGTCGCCACTTAATTAAAAAACTGCGTCAAAGATTGTGTACATTTTTCCCCCTTTCCTAAGTAGTACGTAGTACAGAAATTTTGACGTATGCCTCTTACTATTACGTATTATTTGACCCCCTATTTTTGACAAACTAAGACGAGATGTCAATTTTTTAATGCATAAGGAGAGTATAACCCATTCATTTTAGAACTAATGTTGAGACATTGGATTTTAAATGGATGTTTTGAGGGGTAAATAAACTAAATACCAGATTTTTTTTTTTAATAAAAACGGGAGGGGAAAATTGTAATTTTACCCTTTTCTTTAATTTTTGCCATTCAGGCTGACGCAACAACTGCAAACAGGTGAAAATATAGATTTGCGGTTACCGAGGCCGTGGTTTTTCTCAACAAAGGGTATATCGTAGATCGACTTCCCATTAATGATAATAATTTCCCAGGTCAGCTAATTATCTATAATAACCACGTGCGTTTTGTGTACGAGCTGCCAGGTAAATATCTTGTAATGTTACATCAGATTGACGGTAAAGGGCCTTAGGCTGTGAAATGCATCCGTTGTACTGTCCATCCCGCTACATTTAAGTCCACTTTCAGCAGAACGCGTGCTTTGCTTAAGTCATAATGTTATCAGCTAAGAGAATACAATAATATCAAAAAGGCGAATTATCCGCGTTTATTCTCAAAATCTAGTTAGCAGCTTTCTTGTGCACATCGTAAGAGTTAGTGATCAGCATGGACTTTTTGGTTAAAATTTTGGCTCTTATGCTTATGCATACGCTTCTCGTTAGTGTCGTTCATACAGAACCATCTCCAGGTTAGTTACAAATCCATATTATATTTTATTTTTCTTATTCGATATGATTATTAGAATTAGCATAAAAAATATTATTTTTTTTAATATATTTAATTTTATATATAAATAAAAGACCTAAGTGTTAGTATGTATCCACCCTTGCATTTGATATGATATTGTTCAGCATAATTATGTCCAGTTTAAGTTAAAACTAATTTATAATTTTAAACATATTGTCATTAAACAACATTAGATATATAAAGTACTCATTTTCTTCATTGTGTAAAATCCCAGTCGTTAGTAATTAATTCGCTAAGTGAATACATTGAAAATAACTGTATTTTGAAATATATTCAGTTATATCAGACATATAGCGTATTGGAAACCCTGAAATTTCCTGAAATGTATTGTAATGAGAAAATTCAGAGTTAAAAAAAAGCAATAAAAAGGGAATATTATACTATTTCCTCGCAGTTTTAGTAGGAAAAAATAAATTAATACATTTTAAAAATGTAAATTTTTAAATATAGACCAGACGTATGTGTTGTAAACTCAAATATGTCTGAAAAATTTTTCAGGAACGCATTTTAATAAAAGTTTAAATTAATATCCTTCAATGGTTAAAAATATCGATCCCAGTTAGCAATGCACAGTTCCAAAGGGATGCAAATAGAAATAAAGAAAAAATAATAAAGTACAAGATGTACATTACGCTTCCTTGTAATTTTAGTAAGAAAAAGGAAATGAATAAATAAAAAAATTGCATATTGGAGTTCAACTAAGAGAGTGATGCAATCTATAAGGTAGATGAGATATTCTTCCTGATACTCTTTTATATTTGTCATAGTTTTATGAGGGTAGATGATACGGTGTAGATTTTTTTGAGGTTTCTTGAATTTGAAAGAAACAAATTTAAAACGCTTTGCGACAACACTGAACATCTCTTAAAGATTAACTTGTTCTCCGCGTACTTCCTTAAGTTTCAGCCCCGTTCGATCGGCTTAGATTTCTCCTGCATACCGCTATAAAAACCGGCACATTTCTTGAGAAAAATCTTAAAATAAAACTAAACTTATTTCAAGCCTCCAAGCGTTCCAGCTTCCTCCATATATGCAGAATTTAGGAGGCTGGGCCGAACAACTTCGAGTTCTGGCAGAATTTATTGTTTTCATATTTTATTTCCAACTTTATATGGCACAGGCCTCCTAAAAATTGGAAGCTTTACTTTTGAAGGAGTTCATTCCTTGAGTTATGTTCCACATCCACATACGTTTATCAGCCCTAAAATTTATATTTTCGTTTTTCTAACACTGATTTGGATTTACAGTCTTCCGCGGGATAATGTCAACCAAGGTCGCATGTGTAACATTTTTACATAAACATTGACTGATAAGCTAGTGAAAACTTTGAAACTCTGTCTAGGTCAAAGTTTGACATCTATTGCGAACTATATAATTTCAAACGCGTATTATTAGCCTTTAGATAACGACAGAATTAGGTCAAGAACAAGATAGCTGCTATAAAATATTAATTACGGAAATCTTTTCCAAGATAAGACAGTACTGCGTTTTTTTCTATAATCAAATGATTAGCCAATGGTTTGTACAGAAAATGCGTTTAAGTTGCGACATTTATTTTTAGAACGACAACAAACACTATGATTTGTTTGTTTGTAACACAAATCAACAAAACCACTGTTTCTACTTTTCATGTAACATTCGCATTTTAAAATTGGCACATTGGAAGGTTGGTACAATTTATGAAATGTAGGCACCTTAAACAACATTACGTTAATAACGTATCTGTAAAATTTATAAACCCACATATTTTTGATGATATAAACGCATAATTATTTTGATTCTGTACAGTTTTCAGCAGGATACGCCTGAAATTAAAAACCATTGCTTTTGAAAGCCACGCATACACACACACACACACACACATTCAGTTGGATTATATCATTGCGAATCCCTTTTTCCCCGTAAGGCAGGATTTAATTTTAATATCAGAGACGTTCTACAAACATTCCCATCGCTGAAAGTCGCATTATTAAGTTTAATATTTAATATTAATCAAACAGAGCAAGATTAGCATTTTTAATTAAAAACTTCGGATACAATGCGCGTTGTTTGAGTACATTTGGGAGAACTTGAGAAAAAATGAAATGTTCCTTTAAAACACTTGCCTATGTTCTATTTACCCTGTCGACTTTTTCCCAAAGCTAATTACTACAACAATGGTATCAACCTCTGTTTAGGACTTCATTTGTTTTAGTTATGGCCAACTCCATCTTACGGAAAAAAAAGCTATAACTTTTTGAGTTATGGTACAGTATGATAAACCAGATATTTTCACAAAACGCATTTAAAAATAAATATACAATTTTGATATGTAAGTTGAAATATGTGCAAATATATGTTGTTGTTACAGAGGGTCACTTAAAATATAAATTTTTTTGGTTTGAGCGAGATTTTAATAATAACCACGTAATAACGATAATCGAGATAACCTAGCACAGCATAGAAAGTTTGTTAAAAAGAATAAATAATCTTTATTTACAATAAACGCAGCTAAAGCAGATGACGTGAAATGATATTGTGAAAATACAATACTTTTCAATTGTTAATTTAAAATAGTCAACAACGTGTTGACGGTATGTTAAAAATAGTAACATTTAAATAAAAATACCATTTGTTTTACAATTAGTCGAATTAAATAATTAAATAACGCTTCAATTATTACTTATTCAAACGTCAAAGAGACGCATTTAATGTAAAAAATGTATAATAGTTGGACTTTATTATTTAAATATTGTAAGTCATCAATTTTTAATTAGGCATTGGAATGAACTGCTAGACGTATGGATAAACTCTCTTTCATTTCGGCCCGTATATTGTTGATTAAAAAAGTATAAATGGAATTGTTTTTTAATGCTGCGATAAAAACCCCATTGTGGCGCTGATAAACAATTGATCTGAAGAAGACACAATATTGCCCTAATCTATAACAAATAATAACGAGTGAACTTGGCAGTGAAAATACATATAAAGATAAGCCCCCTAGAATGGTTTCCTTTTCATCGGGTAAAAGGTCTTTGTTTTTACATCACCGGAGTAACATGGTGACAGAATTTGTTTGGATAAGGAAATTACCTTGTGTTTTATGTAAAAAATAGCGCCGTATCGATTCTCGATTTAGAGCGCTTTATATTCAGGGAAAGTTTGCTGTAAATTTAATTTTTAAATAAAAGATTTATGGAAGCACGGCCTTAGCTGAGATAAGAAAGTCAAACATTTCCAATTGATGAACCTCTGACAGATGACGACCGAGGTTCTGCGGGTAGATAACTTAAGATTAGCCTATGCATCGCTGAGTATTCAAGGAAATCCTAAAGGCCGAATTTCACTGAGGCTGGTCCAGCCTAGCGGGTCCAAAACGTACTGCAACAAAGGGCGATTATAGATCAGTGACATGCGGCCTTAAGAGTGCTTTTGTCAGACTTGCACGAATTTAAATAATTATCATTGGTCATTTTACAGCACCTTAAAGTTAGAAAATTACCGCATATATATGTATTTTAATGATCTTTGAATGGAGGTAGAACAAATTAAATGCGATTATTATTAATTTGAATAGCTAAGGAAGGGTACATATATTATGTTGTTCATTAATTTGAATAATCATCTCTTTCTAGATCTTTGTTTCTTTTTTGCAGGGCCTTTTTTATTATACCACTTTGAAATGCGTCAGCGTGAATTCTAATTATGTACTGTTATTTTTTTAATTTCCATTGCCATGCAAAAGGTTATTATTTTTTTAAATACATTTTTATCTTTTAGATAAAAAAATATCTACCTTTACCATATTTCAAAATTTATACTTAAGGTCTATAATAGTAACAAGTACTATTTATTATCTCGATTACAGATGTAATATTATATTTTTACAAAAATTACCCGCTTCTAGTTATACTAAAATGAAGTCGAGATATATCCGTCATTTTTTTTAAAGGTTTAATGTTTAATCAAGTAGGTATAAAACATCAATTGCAATATTGAACGCAATTATATTTCGTAATAATACCATACAAAACGTAATTATCATTGATTATTATTTTTAATTATATGTCTCATAGAATACGAACGTTTTTTTATTGAAACAAACTGCACTCTACAATTAATGCAAATTACATTCCAGTTTGTCACTATACGAAGAAAATGAGCCAAAGCATTTACATTATTAATTAAAACATTTCACATGCCTGTTTTGCATAGTTTTTGCTGAAATAATCACATAGAAATAAATCTTTAGTGATTAAAGTTTCATGCTCTACTGATAATAATTGCAAGTATATCCAATAGAATTTCTAAAAATGGCATATACATACTGTACTATAATTAAACCTTGCATTTTATTTTAGTTTGTAGCTTTTTGTCAAGTTAAATTTTGTTTCATTTGTTTGTTTAGCAAAATTATAGAAAGTGTCATATTTATTTTGTAGTAAATATTTATATACGTACTAGTAATAATACTTGTTCCGCAAAATCTGTAGTAAGTTGGTCAGCAAACTCGTTGGTACTGACCTAGGTTAAATGTATTCGTGGCATTTTTGTATTTGCTGTCGCCTATGCAACCTTGCACCACTATTTTTAGATAGAAGCGATTTCTATAAAAAAAAACCTGAATTTTTAAATAATTTAAATTCTAAAGTTACCAGTTTTTTTATGTATTTACCGGATTAATTGAGTTGTACATAAATAATATTTTATCAAAACAATCCGAATTTAAATATGGGAAATAGATTAGTTTATATGCACAGGGTCAGAAAACGGAAAGGAGTAACAATAAACTCTTATTAAGATTCAAAGGTTAACCGATGATCTGACATTTTTTCATTGATTAATTAATAATACTGTTCATACATCACATTTTTTATCTCTCTCAAACATAAAAATATAAACAATATTACTGGTAATTTAGATAGAAATTACTAGTAAGTGTCCATTTTTATTTGCGATTTCCCATAATTTCGTTTAGTGAAAGTTCCACTTAAATGATTCATAAAATGTACTAATAATAATGATAACCCTTCAACATATCTGTTTCCTATTTCCTTTAGATAGTTTAAATTCAATTAAAATTGAAACGGCCAGATAACCGAAATATGCTTAATTTTTACCCCACCTTTGCAATTATGAGGCAACATATAGGGCTTAAACAATCCATGCACCTTTAGTTTAAAATATGGAGCATAAATATGTGGTAATTTGAACTAATAAAAAGATAAGTGTACTAAACGAATGATGACAAACAACTTACTTAAATATATTAGTGTTTTTGTTTTTACGAGTAGACATAAGATTCACGTATCATATTGGAATGGAAATTAATATTTATATAAAAAGAATGATACTCTTTATAAGTAATGATAATTTGTCTTTTTAACTGTATGTATTATTTGATACTTTAAACACAAAACTGAGAATTCAAAATTAAACATATACTTAGAATATAACAGTAATAGCTTATTTATTAGCTAACTACGCATGTAAGTAATTTAATAAATATTTGTTATGCAATTTATGATTGAGTTATTTGGTATTGCAAAGAAGAATAGAATCGTAAACAGATTATCGTTTTTTGTCAAACGATTAGCGTATTTAGATGAAAATTGTTTTCGTTGTTAATTCCGAGGTCGTTACTAAAATAAATACACGGTGTTTTCAGCTTATTAACCAAAAAATAATTTCCTAAACAAACATTTCATTTAGTTGAATTACTGTGCATGCACCTTTTATTTTTACTTTTAGGAAATTCTACATGTGGGAAAAATGAATTTCGATGTGGAAGTGGTAAATGTATACCGGGGCATTGGCAATGTGATAACGACAAAGACTGTAGTGATGGTAGCGACGAAGATGAGCATACCTGCAGTAAGTAACTAGTTAAGACAGAACTACTAAGGTAAGTGCTAAAATCCAGTACTGGATTTTAGTACTTGCCTCGTGCAAATATGTATTTTAGTACTAATTTTCAGCACTGATTGTAGTAACGATGCCAGTCCAGTAAATCTCGTTTATTGGTGCAAGTGACTAGTTTTGCTCTGGCCGCTGGTCAAAATTAAAGTGGTCATTAATTAGGTTTAACTATAAAGAAAATTAATTTTGATCAATTAATTAATTATGAAAAAAAACATTTTGCTCATATTTTTGCAACCCTTCTCGAGATCGCAGAGTTAGCAACCCTTATTTTAATTTTTTACTTTGCATTATTAAAATATGACCACTTTAAAACTATCCTCTAAAATAGCTCTTAGTACTGGATTTTAGTAACTTGTACAAGTCTTTACTTTTTGTCAATTGAAAATTCAATTTTGACTCGCTTTTCCAGAACAAAAGAAATGCGGATTAGATGAATTCACATGTCGATCGGCTCCAGGCGAATGTGTCCCTTTGACGTGGATGTGCGACGACAATGCGGATTGCTCAGATGGAAGCGACGAAAAATCGTGCAGTAAGACTTTTCCTCAAGCTCGCTTTACCCTCTAATGACCAACAATTTATTTTCCAGATGAAACCTGCAGGTCGGACGAATTTACGTGCAAAAATGGAAAATGTATCCAAAAGAGGTGGGTCTGTGACTTGGACAACGACTGCGGGGACAACTCCGATGAAGGGGATCATTGTCCGACAGTCACCTGTGCTGCCGAAACCAAATTTCAGTGCTCTGAACAAATTTGTATAGCCAATAAATGGAGGTGTGACGGTGAACGAGACTGTGCAGATGGCAAGGATGAACAAGTGAGTATCTTTCATTCGCGTGTAACAAATAATGATCACCCGTTTAAATTTAGGGTTGTCCAAAAGTTGGAACAGGCGTATCTTTTTGTTTATCGGAAGAGTATGAATGTGCAGACAAACTCACGTGTATACACAAAAGTTGGCTTTGCGACGGTGCCAAAGATTGCCCAGACGGATCCGATGAGGCGCCGGATAACTGCCAAAACATCACTTGTAGAGCTGATCAGTTCCAATGCAAAGATAGATCTTGCATTTCGGGACATTTACATTGCTCAGGACATGCCGACTGTCCAGATGGATCAGATGAAGAGGACTGCGGCACCCCTATCCCAAACTGCGACCCGAAAACTCAGTTCGATTGCGGTGGCGGTCAATGCATTTCATTTGCTCAAGTTTGCGACGGTCGACAAGACTGTCCAGACTGGGAGGATGAACCTAAAGACAAATGTGGGATAAACGAATGTCTTCAAAACAACGGAGGTTGTACACATAAGTGTATAGACACACCAGCGTCCTTCTATTGCGATTGTAATCACGGTTATAAGTTGATCAATAATAGAACTTGCAAGGGTAAGTTGGTGAATTTTTCAAATTTTCCTAGTAATAAGAATTTCTCTTTAGATATAAACGAATGCGAAATTCCCGGTAGCTGCTCTCAGCTGTGCATCAATGACAAAGGAGGTTTTAAATGCGAATGTGTAAGTGGTTACATGAGAGACCCGAGAGATTTAACAAAATGTAAAGCTATAGAAGGCCATGCTTCCTTGTTATTCGCCAGGCGAAGAGACATACGTAAAATATCGTTAGATCACCATGAAATGACCAGTATTGTAAATGAAACTAACTCGGCGACAGCTTTGGACTTCGTTTTCCGTACGGGTATGATATTCTGGAGCGACGTAACGGATAAAAAAATATACAAAGCTCCTATCGATGAAGGAAACGATAGGAAAGTCGTTATAACTAACGATATCACTATGTCTGATGGTTTAGCTGTCGATTGGATATACAACCACATTTACTGGACCGATACAGGGAAGAATACCATCGAATTGGCGAACTTTGACGGCAAAATGAGGAAAGTGTTAATCAAAGACGAGCTCGAAGAACCGAGAGCACTTGCTTTGAATCCGTTGGAAGGGTGGATGTTTTGGACCGATTGGGGAAGTGACCCTAAAATTGAAAGGTCTGGAATGGACGGATCGCACCGTCAAACCATCGTCAGTTACGACGTTAAATGGCCCAATGGATTAACTTTGGATTTGGTGAAGAAACGTGTTTACTGGGTCGACGCTAAATTAAACATTATATCGGCTTGTGATTACAACGGGAAAAATCGAAGAGTTATACTTTTCTCACCGGACTCATTAAGGCACCCCTTCTCGATTACCACCTTCGAAGATTGGGTTTACTGGACAGATTGGGACCGAGCGGCGGTATTCAAAGCGAATAAATTCACTGGAAAAGACGTTCAAGCTGTGACAGCCACTGAAATGGTAAAAATTTACTGTCTAATTTGAAGATACCTTATAAATATAATTTCCCTTTAGATTCAAAATCCTATGGTGATCCACGTTTATCATCCGTACCGCCAGCCAGATGGTGAAAATCACTGCCAAGCGGTCAATGGGCATTGTTCGCATCTTTGTTTACCAGCACCCCAGATCAACATAGACTCTCCGAAAATATCTTGTGCCTGCCCTGAGACTCTTCGAATGTTGCCTGACGGACTGACTTGTGTCCAAGATGGTTAGATATATTAATTTTTTACTAAAACCCAACCAACAAGTTATATTTGAATCGTATGTTTTACCGTAACCGAATTGATTCAACTGCTAATGTATGACTTGTTGGATGGTGTATTCTACTTTAATTTTTATTTGTTTATATTTAAAGTATTTATTTAATTTGTTTGACAGAAAGCTTAACTACAAGTACCCCATATTCTGTGACTTTTTCCGATATTGCCACAGAGCAAATAGATAATTTGCAGGACAGTGAGTACAAAACACCAGGATTTTTGTTTGTTTTAATGGTGATGGTTTTGACTTACACAGACCAGCGTGTACATAGTATTCTTCTTTAACTACACTGCTTGATTTTCCCCTTCTACGCTTCTTGCATTCTTTCTTTCTAACAGTTTTCGTTTGTATAGTTAAAAAATAATATTTCACCAGCTTTTTTGTTAAATTTGTTATTGTGGATTGTTACATTTAATTATTTTTTAGGCACAACAAACAAATCTCATCCAAATACTCCTATGAGTGAGTCATCGGACAATGGCATAGTAGCTGGAATTACAATAGTTGTATCCTTGATATTAATTGCTGTAATTGCTGCGGTAAGTCAAAAATAGAAAGTTGTGAATTCTAGAGTCATATTATACATTTTGTTTCTAGGGTGTGTACTGGTTGTACAGGCATCTGATGCATCGTAATATGACTTCAATGAACTTCGACAACCCAGTGTATCGGAAAACAACCGAGGATCAGTTCTCTTTAGAGAAAAACCAATTTCAACCCACCACGAGGCCATATTTAAGTACTGTAGGCGAAGAGGTAAGGGCTTTAACTCTGGATTATAACATAACCTCAAGATAATTAGTCCATATTATTTTCATAAGATTTTTACATATTCACTAATACTAATGATCTCATTTTTAATTGTAATATAGCTTCCAAGTATTATTTTGTGAACATGTCAATGCTGCAAAGTAGTCCATATTATTTCTACAGCACCTTCATAAATGATTACAAGCCACATGACCAGTAATTTTATTTGGAACAGTAACTTTATTTCCTTCACGTTGGCAGTTAAATTTCAGTAAAATTAAAACATCAAAGATCAAGATTACATTAAAACACAACATTCCGTTTCACCGGCTGTGATTGGCGTAATTTTTCACGAGATTCTATTCAACCAATCAGTCGCATTGGAGCATGGACATAATAACGGTTGGTCATTGTTCAGTGTAGATGAGCCATTAATATTGGTGACGCCAAGATTTAGGGAACTTTCGTTACCAGTGCCAGCATTGTTGGTTGCCCAATCTCGGTGGTCACGTGGCTTCTAAAAACTAATGAAGGCTCTGTACTTCATTATAGAAACATTTTATATTTGAAAAGTTCTGTTAGTGGTAAATAAAGCGTAATCAAATTTCCCATTTTGTGATGTCACTTGATATTTATCTGCAGTTTTGGTATGTTGATAAAAATGTGTTAATTAGATTTGATGTCTCTTGATTAATCTCATTTTTCAGTATTATTTTTACGAATTGTAAAGACTTGATAAAGTGAACATTTTTACTAATAGATAAACATACTCCTGTCCATCAGTATTAGCTTCATATTGGATTGCAATGATATTTTTGTAATCAATTTATTATAAAAAAAATAAATGCTGTGCCAACAAATTTAATAGCTTAAATATAAGCTCATATAATATTAGAAACTTATGAGTATTATTAAACGTTAAAAAATATTTGTAGTGTAATACTGTATGTGTGCTTTAAATTGTCGTACTTACTTATTGTTGTATATAACGTTATTTAACTAAAAAAAGTCACTGTAAGGAATTTATAATTTCTTAATTCTGAAAAAACTTTAAAAATGTAGTTATGTATGCCTTACAGTGTTTATTTTGAATTTTATATTACTACACAGTTGCTAATTAAAGAATTATTCGTTAATTTGTGGTGCAAACTCATTTTTTAAGAAAGTTCCATTATATCATGCAAATTTCGACCATTTGTATTTTGTTTTTTTGTTTCACGCGTCATGAATTTAAATACCTACTTGGTGAGTAATTTAGTCATTCTTAGATTTATTTAAAATGTACACACCTACATTTACTTTTTTTTTACTTCACCCTAGGATGTATCAATAAATTTGCCTTTTCTTCACTCTTTTTATAGCTGTTACAAATAAGCAACTCCTAAAAATTTCAACTCTTTTTGGAACAGACCACATATTTTCTTAAATAATTCCAAAACTATATTTTAAATTATTTTTGACATGTTTGGAATGTATACCAGTAATTAATATTATACTCTCCTACTGCAAATCAAACTTTCTTCCAATTTGAAAATATATGTTATCAGTTCTCTAGTTTGAGTTGCTTATTTTAATAATAACACATTGTTCTTGCTTTTTTGTGTTTGTAAGTGGCAAAGTACGCTTTTATCAGGGTATTTGGGATACTATTTTATTTATTTTTTCTTTCAGGCACAACAGCCTTTAACTAGTGCCAATACGAATGACCCGGTTTAAAATCGAAGCAATTTTCAAGAGTGCTCAATAAGTTTAAAAAAAGACTAAAATACTCGTTCTCAATTTTCCAATTGCGAATAGAAATAAATTTTCAAAACTCAAGTTTCGTCCGATAAGACTGACACAATGACAACATAATTTTGGGAAATACTCATCATTGCCGTTCAGTTTATGAGGCTAGAATTTTGAAAATTTATTATGAATCGTAGATAATAGGAGGAATGGTCAAATGTCCAAAGAATTCCTAGAAATAAAAATAAATTATGTGTTACTTTTGAAAATATTGAACTAGAAGTTAAATTGTAGTAAGTGCTCAAAGCTGTGTTTTGGCTAAAATTAACTAGTTTCCACTTTTTTGTGGATATATAAAAAGTGCAATTCCTAATGGAATGTGATATTTTATTAGGTTTTGCATAAAAATATGAGTTTGTATCACCTGTATCTTAAAAACGAAGGGTTGTTATGTATCGTACTAAGAGGTGATTTTTTTTAAGTAATTTTAGTTGTATATATATTTTTTTGGCAATTTAGAGGATTATGTAAATTGGTACCAAATGGTTTTTATGATATACAGTGTGCTCCACTTTGAACTTTTTATTCATCTATTTAGAGTTTGTAGTCGTGGTCAAGTTTCTAGTTTATTCAGCTATTTTAGTATAAATCTGGTTTACTATATATTAATATTAAGGTGATGCCACTATTAATTTTCCAATTTATCAAAATCATTGCCAAGATACAAAATTGAATGTGTTAAAAGCAGAACATGCTGTATACATTTTGTTCCTAAATGTTATTTGTATATATATATATTGAATTTTTAAAGAAAATGTTTATAATATTAAATTCTTCTATTAGTCATTCAAATACATCACATAGTTGAGAAGTTTTGTATGTTTTTTTTCTGCTGAAAATCAAAATGTAAAAAATTGTATATTTAAAATTAATATATGATATTAATTTCATAGGACTAGCTCTGAAATTCTGTGATTAATTTATTTATCTATAATTAATTTACTACTGTAGGATGTGTTAATTTTTTACTATTTAAATTGATTTTTTTTATTTATATTTATCTCGATTGTTTTATTTGCATATGAATTGCATTACATGTATAAATTTTAATACTGCGTTTCATTTATCCTACCAATAGAACCTCAAATTTACAACACTGTATATTATATTTACACTCCAGTCTGATATAATTTTAATTTTATTTATAAAACACCAATAGTTTAGTTATACATCAGGATACTGAAACAGAAAATACCAACAGATATGTTATCTGTGGTTTCCTGCAAATTGTTAAATAGAGCTATCACATATGGAAAGATGCATATGTAAGTGTAACCATGCAGCTTACAGTACTGACATTTCTGTTGTTAATTTTCGGTGTTAGCATTAAAGGTAAGTAATTATATTTTTTCCGTATTAACAACTAAACATGACGTTTCAACTATTGAGGGAAATAAAAACGTTGATCGGATATAGGAATTTATTTTAATTTAAATGGTCAAAACAGTAGTTTCCATTTTTCTATTTTAGTTTGTTTGTTTATTTATTCAGTTTTTATTTCTAGTTTATTCCTATAGCTATACTTTCAAGAATAATATACATTTCATAAAAACTTAGTACATATCCATTTTTGAACTGAGTGAACTCGTACGTGTAATGGTACCTGTATACCAACTAAAATGTATATCTTTCGTATTTTAATAGCACAAGTACCAAATACGAACAAAACTGTAAACCCTCCACCTTCTCCTCCTCCTCCGAATCATAAAGAGAAACCTAGCGGAGAACATTGGCCTGGATTGTATAAGGATAAGGACAAAATTAGAAACAGATTAGCTGACTGGTTGTTAAATGGAAATTGGGGGAACGACAGTGCTCCTCCAAAAGAAAGACATTATGAATATGAAGGATATGACGGATTTTATAACAACATTGCGGTACCCGACTTAGGAGCTATCGGTAAGAGCCAAAATGAATGTTTTTGGTAGTACTTAAGACAAATGCAATTACTTTAAGTTTAAGTAATAAAAATATTTCAATGACAATCTTTAGATAAACCCCTTCTGAGGAGGTGGCCTGCTGCTTACAAGGACGGTAGCTACGAACCTTCCGGATATGACAGGCCGAATCCTATCGAACTCAGCGATCAATTGCTAAATGGGGATATTGGTCAAATGTCACAAAAAGGAAGAAATGCATTATTCTTATTTTTTGGTAAGATAAGCTCTTTTAAATAAGATAAAAATTAAAATATCCAATAATGTATCAAATTATATTTCTTTTTTATTCAAAGGTCAACAAGTAGTGGAAGAGATATTGGACGCTCAAAGACCAGCTTGTCCGCCGGAATATTTTAACATAAAAATTCCGGAAAAACATAAGTATAGGAAGTACCACACAGAAATGCCGGTGCTAAGAACTCGTTATGACATGCGCACTGGATATAGCCCGAATAACCCAAGACAACAGGTATAGATAGATAGATAGATAGATAGATAGATAGATAGATAGATTTATTTCGTCTTAGAACATACAGAAAAAACTCATCCACATTCTAAAAACATTTCGTAACTAAATGTTTAAATTTTTTCTTAAATATTGTTATATTGTCTCCCTCTTCGAAACATTTATGAAGTACGGTTGCATGGTTATATACCTTTATTCCTATGTATCCAGGGCTCTGAAGTGAATAAATATATAGCGATGGCAAAGTCGTTATACCAAGCTCGTTAAATAATGTTCTGCATGATGTTTTCATTGATTAATCCGTCATATATCTTATTACCCTCTTTCGAATGTAAAAAAACCCGACTCACTGACGCTGTTGACCCCCAGTAAATTAGTTCTTATGTTAAGACTGACTGGAATATACCAAAGTATAACAGCCTTAAAACGTCCCTAGACACTGTGTCTTTAATACTTTTAATCGTATGTATCTCTTAAAATACTAAAACTTATTTGCAATTTTATTTATAGTTAAACGAAATAACTCCGTATTTCGATGGGGGTTTATTCTATGGTACAACAAAATTGTGGTCTGATCAGCTGAGAACTTATCAAAATGGATCTATGGATCAATATGGTCTGTTAGCTTCTTCTGAGAACGAATTGTTCCCAGAATACAACACCCATAGACTTCCCATGGCTAATCCACCCCCTCCAATTTATCATGCTCATTACACTAAGATGCACGAAACCGCAAAAGTCAATAGATTTTTTAGTAAGTTATTAATAGAGTTCTCCTACTAAACAGCAAACTGTATTAAAAGATATATTGTAAAATTACAGAGTTGGGAAATCCCAGAGGCAATGAAAATGCTTTCCTGCTAAGTTTTGGAATAATGTGGTTCCGTTGGCACAACTACTTAGCAAAAAGAATCCGACACCACCATCCTAAATGGTCTAGTGAAAAAATTTACAATGAAGCCCGAAAATGGGTTATAGCGACCCAGCAGAATATAGTAATGTATGAATGGTTACCAGTACTTCTAAGTATATCGAAAAATGCATATAATTATGATAAATATGATCCAAGCGTAGATCCTCAAATAGATCAGTTCTTTCAGTCAGCAGCTTTCAGATTTGGTCATACTCTGGTAGTACCAGGTGTCTACCTTCGTGATTATATTCGAAATGGTTGTAAAACAAGGTTTAATTCATGGAATAAACCTGCAGTAAGGACTTGTAACATATTTTGGAGACCCCAAGAACCCATTCTGAATAGAACAGAGGAAAAAGAATTTCTTGACATAGATAGACTTTTAATGGGTATGTCGGTGCAATTAACAGAAAAGGAAGACCATGTTATTGTCCCCGATTTACGTGGAAATGTTTTCGGACCTTTGGAGTTTCCTAGAAGGGATTTGATGGCAATTAATATACAAAGAGGTAGAGACCATGGACTGCCTGATTTTAATTCTGCAAGAAAAGCATTTGGTTTAAAACCATATACAGATTTTAATAACTTTAGCGTTTCAAATGAGGTAAGTATGTTTGTTTTGTTTAAATAAAGGTTTTAAAGTTTCAAAATATATTATTTTATTTTTTTAGATTAAAACCAAACTTATGTCATTATATAAAAATAATATAAACAATATAGACCCGTGGATAGGAGGAATTTTGGAAACACGTGACGGACCAGGGGAATTATTTGCAAAAGTTATCTTTGATCAGTTTATAAGAATCAGAGACGGTGATAGGTTCTGGTTTGAAAATACACAAAACGAGTAAGTAACAGAATTGCAGCAACAATAATGAAAGATTTGCATCACACTATCAGATTTTACTTCTTTTTTAATTTACATGACTTTACTTCTTATATTCAGTGTTATTTTAGATTATTTACTACAGATGAAATACAAAGAATAAAAGATCTCACCATTTATGACGTGCTTATGGCTGTTACAAAGATGGACGCAAATGACATACCAAAATTTGCATTTAGAGCTCCAAAGATAAATGACAGTGATTTGATTGCAAAATGTTCTTTGACAAAATTCACAACAAAAGGTAGCGATGGGGAATTTTATCATTTGCAACAGCTGAATGAAGCACTTTTAAAAGAAAACTGCACTGAACCTGGTACATACGACTATATGAACAACAGTGAAATCTCATATATATTTACCTTCATTGGCATCGGTACTTTTGTCATAGGTAATACAATATTATAAATTTGTAGGAAATATCTTTCGATCGCGAACAGTTTTAACTAGTTTACACCTTTGTAACTATATCAATTTTATTTTAGGAACTGCCGGTGTTGTATACTTACTCATAAAATTAAAAGAGAAAAATATTGGTAAATTGAATGCCAGAAATTTAGAAAATCAAAGATATTCTCTTAAAAATGAGAAACGTACGAGATATCCACATTTTGTTGGTAAGTGTTGAAGCATTTCAATATCTACTTGTTAACATTTAATAATTTAGTAGTTTTCAACTGATACATTAACTTGATATGCAAAAAAAATTATACCGTAATGTAGAAGATATCCGGAAGTGAATGGGGCATTCATCTTTAAAGAAGTAACAGGGTTGCCTTAAAAAAATGGAATAAAACAAATTTTTTTGAAGGCCCGTGATTTCTTGAGAAAGCAAAATTGCACTAAGATATCTAGATCTAAATAGGTTTATTTTATTGAAGTATGCCCCATTCGCTTCCAGACTCCCTGTATTATTATTATTTCAACTTCTACCTGACTTATTTACTCATTTCAAATGTTGCTACTTGTCTGAAACTATACGTTGTCTTACATTTTATTTCTATTTATTTGGATATTAACCATTTTTTAAGTAAATGAATGGATAGGGAAGAAATATCCTCTCAGGAAAGTAGTGGTAATTTTGAAACAAGACAACAAACAGATCTGCGTGACATGCTATGATGGTAAAGTGCTTCGAGCATTGGATTTTACTCATGGGAAGAGCAAAATGAAAATAGTTAACGTCACAGATGAACCCACGCTGGTTATACAGTGCATACACAATTATGACTTGGTTTTAAAATTTGAAACGGATTACTTAAGGGATCACTTTTTAAAAGAGTTCAATGAATCCTTCATAGGTGAAGTTCTTGAAACGGAAACGATAAACTTGAATTGGAATTCGGCACTTAAAATAATTTTAACCAAGGATGATCGCCAAAAAAGATTGGAAATGTTCTTCAGAGTAGTTTTCGCTCAAGCTTTCAAAATAAAACACTCCAAAAATGAAATACTTAGAGTAGACGCTTATGTTGCAAAAGAAGTAATAGACACTGAGCTGACCATATGTGAATTCGCAGATTCTCTTAGCATGAGTTCTAACAATGAATTCGTGAAGAGGATGTTCTCTTTAATCGACAAGGATAAAAATGGTTTCATATCTTTCAGAGAATTTGTAGACTTGCTCATTATATTTGCCAATGGAGATGAGGAACAAAAAGCCAAGTTGCTTTTCGACATGTACGATATAGACAGCACTGGTGAACTCAAACAAGAAGACTTTGTTACTATGATTAAGTAAGTTTTCTAGATCACATACCAACTTTTTTTTAATAAACACTCAAGACTGGTTCTAGTACGTTATATTTTCTGGTTTTAGATCTTTCTTAGAAACAGTTGGTGGTAAAGTTGATGACGAGGACATTCACAAAACTGTGAATCACATGTTGGAACAAGCAGGAATAGCACATAAAAAAAATAATTTGACCTTTGAGGATTTCAAGAAAATGATTGGGGAGGACATAAAAAATTTAAATACGGCCAAACTAGGGTTTAAAGGCATTAAAAAACAAGACCGTGGATCGTTTCTACAGGATGCAAAAACAACCATAGAAAATATTTATCAGTAAATATTTATTAATGTGTATTTTTGTATTTTAATTTTTAATATTATTTAATTTAAGGAGTCATCAGGAAATTCAAGCTCGGTTTGAAGGACAAAGTAGTACTGAAAATGGTGGTGATACGAATGAAAGCAGAATTATTGATGAGCGTCAAGAAGAATTGATAAGAATTCAGGATAGAAGTACCACAACGGGAAGAATTCATGCAATATTGCGATTTATAGAGTTAAAGTCTAAAGAGATTTTTTGGATGACTCTTTATACATTCATCTTACTCGCTATTTTTGCTGAAAGGGCCTACTGTAAGTGTTTGTTATTTATATTTGTTTGTTTCTTAAAGTAGTTGAAAAGAGAACTGTCTAAATGATCCTGTATTTCCAATTTTTAAATGCAAAATAAAAGTTTCAAACTGAACTAGACAGAAAATGTGGGAAACTTAAATTTTAAACTTACCTCAATGTTATTTGAAATTCAATATATAGCAATCGATGACATCACAATCACAAAATGTTTGGTATTCTCACACTTATTTTAATTAATCTTTCTTGTTTTAATAACTAGTTATCTATAAGTCAACTTTCTTAACTAATGAAATTTTGATTACAAATTTTATATGCTCCTTAACGCGAAAAAACGATGTTCAGTTAATGCAATTATTACGGGAATAAAGAGATAATTAATTCATATATGATTAGTAAATTTTAAAACAAACTCGATTTAATCACATTTTAATAGATTTCCACTACTTTTATAGCTTTTTATGTGAAAAATGCAGTTTTGGTTTACACTAACTTCAAATGAATTTTAACGACGCTTCAGATGGAAGCTACTATATTTTAAATAAAACGCGATATGCCATAATTATAAGATAATATTAACAATAACACTTTTGATTAATTATTAAATATCAAAAAACAAATGAATTTATAACTTGTCTGTTTCCCGTGGATTGTCACGCGCCTACCGACGAAAATAGATACTATCAAACTTTCATAGTTACCTATGCAATTTAATATATTATTTATTTATTTCATTGACTGCAGTTAGCATATGTAGGTACAGCAATATACACTTGCATTACCCACTAAAATCGAAGGAAAAACTAATAAAAAAATGAGACGAAAAACTTTTTAAAAAACATTAGACAGCTTGTTTGTCTTTTGAAAAAGACTTATTGGCGGTCATTTGGAGCCAATCAGAATGTTTTAGTGAATTATTTGAACTAATGAGAAATGGCGGGCGATTTGAATTAATGCATAAATCGGAAAAAAAGTTTCTCTTATTATTATTCCTTTTTATATATTGCCATATGGAGTTGAGCTTAAACTTATAACATTTGAATTTTATCAACAATAGTTTTTTTTACTGTTACTTTTGTGTTATAGACTATACCGTTGAGCGAGAGCATTCTGGATTAAGGAGGATAGCCGGATATGGAGTGACCATCACTAGGGGTGCTGCTTCCGCTATGATGTTCACTTATTCTTCATTATTAGTAACGATGTGCAGAAACACTATTACTTATTTGAGAGATACCGTAGTAAACAATTATTTTCCTTTTGATGCATCTGTTGAATTTCATAAGTATATTGCTCTTTGGGCATTTGCATTCACAAGTATGTATTGACTAATTTAGAGTTTTGAGGCCGTCCGATATCTTTGTTTTTTTTTCTTAGTTATACACATCGTAGGCCATGCTTTCAATTTTTATCATATATCGACACAGACAGCAGATGATTTGACTTGTCTTTTCAGAAATTATTTCCATTCGTAAGTATTCCAGTAACATTTTAACATTAATTAAAGAATAACTAAAATTTATGAAAAAGAAAAACATCTTTAAAGAGTTTTTAACATGTTTGATGTATATATTCTATCAATTGTTTGCCATAATAAAATTTCAGGACACATGAACTGCCGAAATTTCACTACTGGTGCTGGCAAACTATGACCGGACTTACCGGTGTATTAGTAACTTTAGTATTTTGTGTCATGTATATGTTCACACTGCCAATTATAAGAAGAAAAATTTACAATTGGTTTTGGTACACTCACAACCTTTATCCCGTATTTTTTATATTACTAATTTTACATGGCACTGGAAGACTCATTCAAGTAAGATTTAACTTAATAATACACAAGAAAGTTTTATTTTGCTATTTGTATTTTTTTTAGCCACCTTTTACGTATTATTTCCTTCTTGGACCTTTAATATTATTCACACTGGACACATTGATAAGCGTTAGCAGGAAGAAAATTGAAATTCCGGTAATACACGCAGAAATTCTACCTTCCAGTAAGTCTTCAATGAAGAACTGCCTTGAAATAAATTACTATATATTTTTTTTAGATGTTACTAAATTAGAATTCCAAAAACCAGAAAATTTTCAATACAAAGCTGGTCAATGGGTTAGAATAGCTTGTTTAGAACTTAACAGGAGCGAATACCATCCGTTTACACTGTCTTCCGCCCCCAACGAAGAAACTTTGACTTTACATATTCGTGCGGTGGGGCCATGGACCATGCATATTAGAAGTATATACGATAATAGTACCACTAACGATACAAAACTACCGAAGGTAATAACAATTTTTATTACAGCTTGTCCTCGTAGAGTATAAAGTTTTAATTTTTTTTTAAGATATATTTAGACGGTCCTTACGGAGAAGGTCATCAAGACTGGAACACATACGATATAGCAATTTTAATAGGAGGGGGAATAGGGGTAACACCTTTTGCAAGCATTTTAAAGGATGTGTCTTATAGCGCCAACAAACTAAGAACACGCTGTAAAAAGGTAGGTACCAACTCGGTCGGTCCAACTATAAACAAACACAAATAATCGAATAATTCACAGGTATACTTCATTTGGGTGTCTAGGACTCAGAAACAATTTGAGTGGTTGGTTGACATAATAAGAGACGTAGAATCTAAAGATACCAAAAATTTTGTGAGCTGCCACATATTCATAACTCAGTTCTATGAAAAATTCGACTTAAGAACTATTCTGCTGTATATTTGTGAACGACACTACCAAAGAGTCGCAAATAAGTCTTTATTTACCAATTTGAGAGCAGTTACACATTTTGGGCGACCGGAATTTTCTCAGTTTTTCAGAACTGTGCAATACATACACGAGTCGGTAAGTTGTTAGTTATCATATTTTTTTTTATAATCTTACTGTGATCGGTTTCAGGCCCAACGAATAGGAGTTTTCAGCTGCGGGCCACCTTCTATGACAACGGCAGTTGATCACGCTTGCAGCCAAATCAATTTACAAACTGAACAGAGATTTGAACACCATTTTAAAAATTTTTAATATGTATTTTAAACATTATAATGTTTAAGTACATTTGACTTCAAATTTAATTTGAATAATAATTATATATAAAGTTTTATACTTAACAGAAACGTATACAAAAACAGATTAATTTTAATGTAACTGGCTCGACCACAATCTATAATTTCATGTTCCTGAAAATGTACATTTAATAAAGTACTGAATTTTCATTATTGTTTTAACCTACCAGTGGATGTTCATTGTAACATCCTGTAAGGTGTCTCCTTGACAAGTTGTTCAGTTCTAGTTTCTGACAAGGTAACAATGTAGAATTCATCTGCTGTTGTGTAAAAATAGGTTCCTTTGTGATTTGTCTAGGTGCTGTACTAAACGAAAACTTTGTATCCTTCATAGTATTATTTATAGCCACAAAAATCAAGTTGCTATAGGGAATTTTTTTCACATAGTAGTTCCTAAAAACGAAAATATAGAAGTAGGGACAAAAATATCTTACTCTCTCTCACCTTATATTAGGTGTGTAAATTTCCCCTGTAAAATTTTCCTTGTTGAATATTTCTTGTTGTAAAACATATAAAATGATTTCTTTTTCGCAAGCATAATATTCATTTTTGTTGCTGGGTAGGAATTCTTCGTTATCTTCGGCATATATATTACCATTAGTACTGTCTTCTTGTGCATACACAGCTATTTGTTCTAGAAGGCTGTATAAGTTTAGTTCCATGAGAAAATAGATAATTTGGGCAAATATCCATCTTATAAATACTCCTGTATATGCAAGGGGCTAAAACCCATCAGCAAATTAAATTCTGAATTTACTTACCACAAAAAATTAATAAATCCTTTAATTTCTTAACTAACAATTTAGACCTATAATTAATTATAAGTAGATGGAAAAACCTACTGTTATTAGGTCAGAACTTCCGCTTGTTTCATTGGAAGTAACAATTTTGCATAAAGCTTGATAATCAAACACAGTGATATTTTTGAAAATATTTTCTATGAGCATGGAATATAAAATATCTCCCTCAACTTCTCCGAAAAATCTCCCGGTATCATTTGTGTCGTCAGACACAATAATATATCCGGAATTATCCACTACATAGCAAGTTAAATTGTTACAACTTTCGCAATCCTCACATTGGTTCTAAAACTTTCAAATTATTTTCAGCCGTTTGCTTTCAAAATATTTACCGTTAAAATTGTCGATTTAGCTTTGACCATTGTTTTAAATTGGATTTGATTAAACTGAAAACCAACTACTGATCCAGGTGCTTCAAGACCACCATCTGATGGAAAAATAGCATAACTACCTGTGACTACAGGATCAATATCAGTAAAACCACAGTCAAATGGAACAGAGTAAACAAAAGACTCGTTATCATAATGATGTTGGAGAACGGCATTTTTGTACCACTTCTCGTTTATAGCTCTCGGATGCAGGTCCCCAAATTCTCTAAAAACACTCTAATTGGTAATAATAAATGTAGTTTAAATACATAATGATGCGAAAATATGAGAAACACTTTTATAAAAATATGACCAAATTACTTATTATATTTCTCAGAAAATTTTTTTTACAATTCTCTTATATTAATTATAATTTAGATTGATCCCCCAGTTTCGCATCTCTATGTACTTGATCTTTATTCTTACTTTTTTTTAGATTTTGGATCAGCTGAATTGGTTTGGTCGAAAATGTATTCCCAACGAGTTAAACCACTCATTGTAGCTACAAATCTCAGAGAAGGTTTATAAAAAAGAAATGACGAGTTATTGATTTTGAATTGAAATTTTTTGCGATAAGATGTGTGGGTGTTTCTTGCATCGAATATTAAACGTTGCACCAACTGCTTGTCACAATAGTAATCGTCCTCTTTCCTACCATCGGTCACTAAATAATATAAAACAGTAAGATTTAAAAAAAACACAAAAACTTGAAATTTTATATAACATACCCTCGTTACGATTATCTTTTTTGCCTTCATACTGGCTTTTCCACTGAAAATGGAAATTTCTATCACGCATTTTTCCCAAAAAATGAATTAATTCTTGCTCAGGTGTGTCAAATTCATGACCTTCTAGATAGTGATATTTGCAGTAGACCCTAAATTTTTTTTTTGTCATAAATATATGGAAAAATTGCATTACTTACCACTTGGGGTGTACTTTCCACTTTCCACTAAAAAATGAAAGTAAATCTTCTCCGGTATTTTTATTTCTTTGAATTTCATCGTCTACTTCAAGTGAATAACTTCCATATTTAGTAGGAATAGCGATACCAATAGTAAAAGGAGTTTTTTGTATTGGAGTATAATAATAATCGTAATATTGTTCTGATATGCGTTTCATGTCATCGTAATGATAACTCAAACTAATATTGTGAAGGCTGCCCTCTTTACCATCCACCAAAGCTTGCCTCAGATTCTTCAAAGTCTCTCCGATGGCTCTAGCAGGTAACTGATCATTGTGCTGCTCTACTTGAGTCAGATCTATACTATTGTAATTGTCCTTTAGTATGCCTTCAAACTTTTAATAATTTAATAAGAACAAATTTGGTAATTTACTGTGCATAGAGCTCCAAAAAAATGTTTACTTACCACAGGTCTTAAGTCAGGATGCATAAGCACATAACCATTATTACTAACAATAAATGAATAACCGTTAACACCAATCTAAAAAGAAAGGTGCTTAATATTAAACTCAATTTATTTGATTATTTCATTTACCTTGTAAGGTAGTGTCATTTTATTAAATTCATCCAATGGCACATCGGTACCAGCAACACCCAATAAATAAGCTGTTCTAGTATCATTCTTTCTATTAATTTTTGTGTCATAGCAAGGTATTGCAGCAGATGTTAGCAATCTATAGGGTTCATTTATTTGATTGTCATTTTTATCATCATACTAGAATAATATATTAAGTCAACTAAAAGTTTTAGAGCACACGTTCATAAATTACCGTTCTGTCAACGTAGGCATGTGTCCAAGACACAGGATGTTCACCTTCTTTTTCTGCTTGAAGTACCAAAGGCCTAGCAACAACACCTATGTATTGTAACACAGACGATGTCACTTGTTCCAGTGTAGGGACAGGTGTGTAGTACCCTAAAAATATATTCTCGTAATTTTTTTTCTAGTGGACTCTTGTTTTGTACCTCGATTAGCACACGATAGCCATTTGATTTCTTCTACATTCGTGACTTCTTTTCCAACTAAATACGTAAAAATCCTTACGGGAATATGTAATCCATTGTTATAGTGGTTGCGTCGCAGCACAATGTCACTCAAATTTGAGTTGACCCCGTCAGTAATAATCATTATGGCTTGATTACAGTGAGTGCTATTTTCACTACAGCCTCTTATCATTCTGTACTGAAGAGTGCCACATATAAATCAGCAAAAAAAGAATGTTATTTTTTATATCTAGGACTTACATCGTCAAGTAAATCAAAGGCTGTTTCAAGAGCCAGAGCTATATCGGTTTTGCCTTCTGGTTCCATCAGTTCTATGGCTTTTCTGAAGATTTCAATATTCTCTCTAGTGGCTTGAACCAACTTCCTTTCAAAGCAAGGTATAGTATGGCTTGTAGTAGAGGAGTAGTTAAGAACGTTTATAAAATCGTTGTTCGAGAAAGTATCAAGGATACTAGAAGCAGTTAGAGAACCTATATGGTGCCCCATGCCTTAAAAAAGATTAAGCTAAATACAAATGGAACTTATTCATAAAGTTATTTGATATCAAAATCACTAAGGATTTTTTTAATATGGAAAGTCACAAACAACACTGGACCATGTACCGAGATTGTAGTATACCACTTAAATTGATCTAACCTTTCATAGAACCCGAGTTATCCATCAAAATTACAACATCTTTCGTACAGGTAGCTGCCTCAATAAACCAAGTTCTAATCCTACAGTCAAATAAATCTTTTTTATAATCTTCCCACCTTTTTGCTACGAGAAAATTTAAGAAATATATATTTATACCACTTAAATGAATACCCTTACCAGGATAATGCCGCATTATGCCCGAACTGCTACCAAAATATTGCCAAGACAGTGCTGGATCAGAATTATAATTTCCGATAAAAACTTCATCTAGTTCCTTCGACCACTGGATTGCAAAAGCCGCAGCATCTTCTACGTTAAAATAATTAATCTAATGAACATTTTTTTCCCTAATCCTAATTCTATATTATGGTATTATATATCGATAAATGGGTAAATTACATTCAAATATTTTATAATTTTTAAATCCAAATAGCTATACATACGATTTGAAATTCTACATACCCATATCAAATACATTAGTTGGCACATGCACTGAGCTATGACTAGTGTTCACAGGTAGATTATAAAAGTGGGTATCATTGTTTAGTGTCAAATTAATATACATGTGTCTGTTCTTAGATAAGGATTTGGGCACTTTCATAATTGATTCAGCGCCAGTAATTGAGGACCATTTTGAACTGTAATACTGGAAAGGAGCTGAGCGGTTATACTCAAATAATTCTGCCACCTCCTCAGCTTTTTCTTGAATATACTGAAATATTTCGAACATGTAAATTTACAAAGGAAAATAAGGACCCTGTCGCAAACATACAGATAAGCGAGTCGTATAAAAAGGTGCTAATCTAAATTGAACGATTACAGCAACATACATAAGCAACAAAACTTCACTCAAATATCCGTTTTACGTAAATTAATAGAAATTTAAATCAATGGATAATTTATAATTGGTTTATAATTAATAGTCATTTTTAGACATGCAAATATATAGTACATCTGTATTAGAGGCATATAAAAGTCAAAGTGTTAGTAGCGATTTTACAAAAAATATACCTTTATGGCATCTGTTTTTCTATCGATCATTCTAGAAATATTTTCCTTAACTTCAGCTAGCAAAGCCCGGGGATCGTTTTTCCCTACTTTTGCCTTTAAATATGTATATCGCTAAAATGTTATTTATAACGTAACTGTTCTTTCTTTTTCTTTAAACTTAGGTATTATAAAAAAATAAAACTGATAATTTCCTTCAAAACCAACCTGTTTTATTTCATCATAAAGTGTAACTTCTTGCCCCAAAGAACGCAATTCATGCCCAATAGCACGAGCCCATTCCGAAACTCTAAAATGTATGTACTTCGAGTAACTCATTTGTTCAAAACTTTGTTTAAATTAATTCATTTAGTATACATCCGGAGAAATATACTCACTCTCGACCTTGTGGTGATGAACATTTTATATTGCTAACAAAACTGAATAAAATAAAAAAGGATATTATTCTAATATACATTTTTCTTAAAATTTATATTGAGCACATCTTAGTAGCTCTATTCAGACTTATACTGAAGGAACTAAGTATAGAAAGGAGAACCTTAAAAATAAACAATTTTATTTTTAGAATCAGCCATGTAACTAACTGATCAACACGATTTTACAAATCCTAAATATAAAAGAATCACTTTAAATTTTCAATTAATTTATATTGTATTTAACTGATTTAAACAGATTAAACTGATAATTTCAAATATTTTTCCCATAGTTTGTGCTTGCACAATTGAATGCAAACGCCAAGATCTCGTGATTTTCTCACATGTATTTTAATTATGAATTAGTTACCTCAAAAAAGTTTAATATCTATTAATAAAAATGTAGCAGATAGGATATACTTTCTTCATTAAAATAGAAGTTAACAGCAAATAATTAGGTCTGGATGAATTATTACCCTGGTTAAAAAAAATGCATTAAACTACAGACGAATCCTATCGTTATTTTACTGGCATTTTCCAAAATTCATTTATATCATTTTTGGGGTAATAAATATAAAATTGATACTTTTCAGCAATTGCCTAGGACGCAACGTTTTATTTACAACTCCTTTACTTTAAAAATTTTTTTGATTTTGCTTTAAATAAATTACGAATCCATTCTAATAAAAGAAAAAATACATTCAAGAGTGCCAAGTTTCTTCATATATATATATTTGAAAAAAATTAATTTTTACTTACCTCAACCTACATTGAGAGGGATTACAAAAAATTATCACAAGGGATTTGATCAAGCCTTTTATTCGTTTTATAAATGACAATACATCCCCCAAATATAGTTTATAATTAAGAAAAAATTACAATATCAATTAACACAGGGTGATTTAAATTAAACCAGCTAGGCGAGTTTTGAAAAATTTATTCATATCTGACAATTATACTTGACAGATACAACAGAAAACAAATAGAGCTTGATAGCATTTTATTTTAATACATATTCATACATTTATATATAGCACATCCAAAGTGAGTGTTGACGGTAAACATAGGGGGATTTAGGGGGCAGGCTGAAACGAGCCCATGCAGCGGAGTGCAAATAAATTTTGTGGACTAAAGGTAAAGGCTTTTTAAAGTATAAAGAGGTAATAGGTATATTCTTTTTTTTTTTTTGGAGATGTTTAACAATGGAAAAGTACAAAATAAAAAAAGAGAAACTAAAACAATGTTATTAAATAATAAATTTAATAGTTAACAAGTTAGAACTTAAAAAGTGCTGAAATTTCAATTAAACGTACACTTCATGAAGGAGATAGATATATATATAACATATAAAATTAAAAACCTTCTAGTATAATATAAAAACAAATTGATGCAGAGAATTGACATTTAATCACACAACTATCAGCAAGAATGAGAAAAAACAATGTATGTATATAAGTATGTGTGTGTATATATATATTTATACATATACACACGTACAAATATGTATATATTAAATGGCTCAAATATTTGTTGCGGAAATTATGCTGGTTGTGTGAAAATGTGAAATATAATTTAACGATTTACATATCTCCTAAAAACATTGTTAAATATCAAAAGTTTCATCGTGTGAAACTTAAACTGTCAATGAAACTTCACAACCAAGTTCCACGAATACGTTAACTTACATGAAATTTCATTTTAACGAATAGTTTTAAAAACGGACGCCACACTTCAATTATCACCCGCCTCCTGAGGCTCATCTGCTTCACCCTGCAACAGAACAAGTTTCTTACAAACAGACCTTCCTTTCTCCCATCATTGACATACTTGCGTATCACTCGTCCAGAGTGTGAGGTTATCTCGGAGGAGCTGCATGATAAGGGTGCTGTCCTTATAGGAGTCTTCATTTAATGTGTCCAACTCTGCTATTGCATCATCGAAGGCCTATAGAAAATCACATTATACTCAAATAACATCCAGAAATTTGATTTACTCAAACTTTAATAAGCAACATCATTCACAGAACACATAAATTCTTGCTACTAATTTGTTAGTTAATAAGCAACTAGATACTAGTTAGTAAACAGGCAGAATTACATCACAAAGTGGCAATATGTTAGAGTAAATCGTAATTAAGTCACACTAACAAAAACAATAATAACCTGTTTAGCCAGGTGGCAGGCTCGAGCAGGTGAATTGATAATTTCATAATAAAACACCGAGAAATTTAGCGCCAGCCCTAGCCTAATAGGATGTGTGGACTGCATTTTGGATTTCGCTATATCAAATGCCTCCTGATACGCCTTTTGCGAGTCATCCACCACTTCTACACAAGAAAATATATTAAATTACTCTTTAATTTAATGACAACTGTCTAAAATTGCCCTCGACTATTGCCATCCGTGTAATTCTGCCCCTGCTGTGGAAAAATACAGAAATTATATTAACCTGTTTTGCTAACTGACAAGCTTTATCGGGTGAATTTAATATCTCATAGTAGAAAACTGAGAAGTTTAGTGCGAGACCCAATCTGATTGGATGTGTTGGTGTCATTTTGGCCTTTGAAATTTCAAAAGCATCCTGGTATGCTTTTTGCGAGTAGTCCACGACAGCTGCAAGTGCAAATAATACTAGTAACAACTCACCAAAACAAAACAAATTATCGGCTTCCTCTTTAAACCTTACAAATTGAAAATATTGTGTAAAGTTTAAAAATTGAAAGCTTGTTCAAAGATAACTGTATATTAATAAGAATACTTACTATTTCTTGTATCTCCTGTGGCAACTTCTGCGAGGTACCTGTAGTAATCACCTTTCATCTTAAGGTAAAATACTTTTGATTCTGCGTTGCTGGCTTTGGGGATCAGGTATTTGTCCAGAAGTCCCTAAAAGTTATAAGATGTCAAAATTTATCAAAAAAAAAATAATATATATATTATATTAAATATTTAGTCAGCAAAAATACTTCTCCAAAAACTTTTCAGAAGAACGAAAGTTATGAAATCATTTACATCACATCAAAAGGTAGAAATATTAAAATAAAATACCAAATGTACACTTACAAGAACATCATCGCAGATCTCTCTTAATTCTTTTTCTACTTTTTCTCTGTATTCTTTGGCCATCTGTTGTTTGCGTTCTGATCCTTCAGTCTTTTGTTCAATAGAAGAAATAACTCTCCACGATGACCGTCTGGCACCGACAACATTTTTGTAAGCAACAGAGAGGAGGTTCCTTTCTTCATTACTGAGTTCTACTCCTGTTTCCGTTACAGATTTCATCGCTGAGGCCATATCATCATAGCGTTCGGCTTGCTCGGCAAGCTTAGCCCTTTGAACTAGTTCATCTTTATCGGGGGCAGACATTTTGATCTAATACTATAAATCTAAAAGTTAAATCACAAATATATAAAAAAAATTGTTTAATGTTTAATTGTTTAGTACAAGTTTTGACTTTTTTTTTTTCAAATAACGTTTAGAACACGATCAATAATCCGAGAAAGTAAAATGACTAGAACGGACTTAAAACTGTTTTAAGGCGTGGAAAATCTCTAGAACCTCGCGGCCAAAAATTTGCAATATAAAAGTTATTAAATGGAAATCCGACACAATTCTCTGGTACGATTTTGGTTTCCCGAGATAACAAATTTTCCCGATATTCTAAATATAGAACTCGTAATACCTTCAAACAGAATGTGGTAGAACGGGAAGGTATTTCCACCCCTTCTGTCGATAAAGTGAGAAAAACCAAAACCGGCAACGACAAATAGGCGACACAAGAGAGAAAGACGGCTACTGCGTCTACTCTGTACAGCACCGGCGATTGACAATATGGCGTCAGCCACACCTTTTAATGTAATGCGTAGTAAAAATTAAAAATTTTCAAAAAAACCGCTGATGTTTCCGAACACCGGTAGCATTATCGAACAAGGTTAAAATATTATATTCAATTTTGCAACTCCCCTTCGACGCGTTAACAGTTTCAACGTGTGTTGAAGCAAGGCGGCAACGTAGACATGATATATTCGAAGGAATTTTATTTTTTTAATAAGTTGTAATACTTGCGTCACTTAAACAATTAGCAATTAAATATTTAAGCAAGGTGACGAGAAATATCAATATTTAATAACCTTATAACAAATTGTTAGCGGCGTTTATCACAAAAAATACGAACGTTGAAGGTCAATCTTTCGGCCGTTACACAAACTCTTAAAACCGTTAAATATGCCGAACTATTCTCCACGGTTTTACAGAAACACTATTTTTAATTTATACTAAGCACAGCAACTAATATTATGAAAAACTTACAACTTATTTCAATAATTTACTTAATTTTTCTGGCAGCCGACGCCGACTACACACTGGCATGAACGATAAGGAGTAAGGACTAGATCACTGATCACGACTCGACTACGACGATCGATGTGGGGTTTACAAATCGTCATGCACGGACTTTAATCATGGCGGCGCAGTAGAAAACAACCATTCATTAATTTTAATATTCCTTCTTTCGTACAACCCTACTACATATTCTAAACAATACAACTGAATCCAACGAATATAAGTCTAAACTACTTACAATATCAGACGTCCAGAAATCAAATGTCCACTCGAAAATCGGTCTAAACTTTCCTTTCCAACAGCAGTAATTCACTTACAAAAGAGGATAGGTGCTGCGAGAGACCAGTTAAACAAGGATAACTTGTTGGGAAGCCAACTCAACGGAGAAAAAGACTCAAGAAAACTATAATCGTACACTCAGTACCAAAATAAAGTCTTTACGCAAATATTATTCATAACCTGTTCATCAATGTTCCAAAGAGGTACCTACAATAAAATTGTTAATTGTCATATAAAAATATCGTTTAATCAACCTTTTAAAATGAAGCTCCCTTAATTTTAAATATTTAAATATTTCTATTTAAAGTTAATATATTTTTACCTAAGACTGTACCAAGTACATAAATGGGAAATGGGATGGAATGGGGTATGTCTGTCTATTGCCTATGCTTAGGTTCCTTCTTAGAAATATGTTGAATCACATGCTGACAAATATTTGTCTTACTCATTTACACTAAATATTTTTCATATTTACAATAGTTCGATAAAATAATTTTTGAATAAACTCGACAATTTGTTAATAAGTCCTAATTAATTAAAGGCCAAAAACATTATTACATTTCCGGTACGAATATGAACATATTCACCATTAGTTACCCTTTTATGATTAAATCGTATCAAATTCTTGTGTTCCGTATAATGATGAATCACCCCTATGGGTTTGGTATGGATCAATAAATTCGTCTGTGATAAAGACATTACAGTTAGGTACATACGTTATGTAACACATTTGATAAGATTGATTGTAATACAAAAATTTATTTTAATTTAATATAGGCATATCTATCTTTTTTAAGTTTTATCAATAATTTTGAAACCATATAAAAGAATCGTATAAGTGCAGTACCAATTACTGCATATAAATACAACACTGTTGCATTTCTAATCTACAGATGCTATTTAATATGCAGGAGAAGTTACAAATGCTGCAATCATTTCTATTTTTACGAGAGGAATTATTTAAATTTACAGAAATGATTTCATCAAATTGGATACTAAGTCTAGTTACTTTAATACATATTAATTTAAGTTGGTAGTACCGGACTTTAAAAATTTATAAACATAGCCTCAATTTTTGCTGTTATATGTCTTATTTTAAGTTTAAAAAATACGTATAATTAAAGTACATAGTAATAAAAAAAATCTGTTTGCCGCTCAAAATTAGAATAATCATGTTTTCAAAAGTCATAATTAACAGCTCTTTGGTGAGTATGATGACAATACAAAATAAAAATGAAATTCTAATTGCTCCATTTACAGAATTTGCTAAAATGTACGATCCAGAAGACGACAAATAGAAATATAGGTCTTATTCCCATAGTAGTAGAACAAACAGGAAGGGGCGAACGATCTTATGATATTTATTCTCGATTATTAAAAGAAAGAATAATATGCTTGATGGGACCTATTCATGATGCTATGAGTTCACTGATTGTTGCTCAGTTATTATTTTTACAGTCCGAGTCATCTAATAAACCTATTCATTTGTATATAAATTCTCCAGGCGGTAGTGTCACAGCAGGACTAGGAATATATGATACAATGCAATATATTTTACCCCCAATAGCGACATGGTTAGCAATTTTTTAAATTTGTGATACACTAATATTACAAAATAATTTTGTTCGCTGTATTAATTAATCACAATTTAGGTGTGTTGGACAAGCTTGCAGTATGGCATCTCTATTACTAGCAGCTGGTTCTCCAGGAATGAGGCACTCACTACCAAACGCTCGCATCATGATCCACCAACCATCGGGCGGGGCACAAGTGAGTTTTCAATAAATTCTATTAATTCAAATTTGATTGAAGTTGGATTTTCCCAAAATAAATATTATGACATATGTAATCATGATATGTCACTGTTTTATTGTTAAATTAATACCTCGTCTTGGTAAAAAAATCCTGTCTTCTAAGAATTCGAGAGAATTTATTTATATCTTATCAGTAATATGTATCGTTATCTAATCTGTCACACTATTAAAATTCAAAATGTATTTTTTAGGGTCAGGCAACCGATATTCAAATTCAAGCTGAAGAAATTTTGAAACTGAAGAAACAAATTAATCAGTTGTATGTTAGACATACTGGACAAGAACTTGCATTAGTCGAAAAAAGTATGGAAAGAGATAAATTTATGAGTCCTGAGGAGGCAAAAATTTTTGGTATAATAGACAAAGTTTTAACAAGACCTCCAAAAGGAAACGTAGCAACGGAAGAGGTCATAAAAGAAATTTCCCCTGAAAGTTAATTTTTTGTGTTTGTTTTACGTATTGTTAAAACCTTTCTTAATAATAAAGTAAAATTAAATGTGTACATATTTATTAAGAAAAGAAAATAGATAATACAGAATAATTTTATTTTGGACAAAAAATATAATCACAATGAGGTATACTTAGTAATACTATAAAGTGGCTATTAATCAAAATACTTTAAAAATGTTTCGCTGATTAAATAAATATATTTTTTTTTGTATAATTAATATTTTGCGAGTCCAAATATTATAAAATTATCACACACTCTCGGACGTACATACTAGTTTAATAAATAAAGGCACATTCACACATTCACAACAGTACGTTGAATAATCTACAAAAAAAAAATATTGTACACTTGTGAGCTATACACATCATACACTAAAATAAAATTTCAATATACCACGTCACTACTAAGTCTAATTAAATTGTATCACAAAATATTTTTTGTGCCCAATTTCATAATTTTATACTGACAAAATTATATTGTAGCATGCATAGACAGAAGTTTCATATGGTATAAGTCAAATATTTATTTTTGTTCATGAAGTGCATTTGGGCAGCATTAACTTTAAAATTTGTACAAATAATAATGATTATACCTTTAAAACAATATCACAAAGTATTGAATAAAATACAGTTAACTAATTAAAAATTTCATGCCCTCAAAAACAGTCAAACTTAAATACTAAGTGAGGAACTAAATGATTATATAAATATTTATATACATTTCCTTATACTGTCAAACAGGACATCCAAATAATTTTTCACCCACATTTTAGGAACCTACTGTTTGTAGTAACAGTATTTCTATGGGTGTAGTTCCAAAAAGTTATTCACAGAATAGTATATACAAATCTCGTAACATTATTAATTAGAAAAATTTATGTTAAAAGATTAGAACCTTAGCAACGAAATATTTTATATAAAAAATACCGGTTTTATAATAGTTATTAACGTTACGATAATATCTGAATATGTAGAACCACTTCAGAAATTGCTAATTAATTTAATTTGACTTGAGTTATAAATATTTACTTTAATGATTGCAAATATAATTTGTGATCCAATGTGAAAAAAATTAACAAGTCCTATTAAAAAAAAAATCATACTAAAATTTTTTGTAACATAAAATTAAATATAATTTTCCACTGCACACACTTATTTGTACATGACCGCCACTTTTTACTAAGTTGCAAACTGACTCAAATGTAAATAAGTGGCAACACTTACTTGATTATAATAAACCACTATACCGCTTGTGATACAAACACAGCTACATGTAAATGTAAAAATACTGTAATTAAAGCTTAAACAAATCAAAGGCTTATTCTCGCTAAAATAAATTATATAGTTGTATATACATAGTATAATAAAATTAAAGCCATTTATGTAAAATATAAAATATGCGTGAAAAATTTTCCAAATTCCTATTAAAGGTAAATTTTACACATCTTTGGGTGGTGTTTCTGAGGCAGAAACCTCAACACTGACGAACCGATCATGATTTGTTGACCGGGGATAAAGTAATAACGGTACATGTGAGTTATTCATTTCCATTGCTACATCACCATTTATAATCATAGTGAATTCCTCCGGTCCTAAGTCATCATTGCTGCGTTTAGCAGAATCACCTGTCCCACTGTCTTTAGATGACGAGTGGTCAGAAATATTATCAGGGCAAAGATGTAATTGCAATTGATGCGCTCGTGTCGTTTCAGTCATATCGGGAAGTTCCTGCATTTCAGTCTGAATAACAGGTGGAGACATGCGTTTACGAGTTTGATATATTATCACCACCCAGATTATGGAAGTCAAAACAGCACAGCAAACAACTGTTATTATTATTATTCCCATCATATTACTTGTATCGTATGTAGCTAAAAAATTTGTAAATTATTTTTGAATAGTTTTCGTAATAAAAAGAAAATAAGTATTAAATGTAGTACTATTTTTTTATTTAAGATATAAATAACATATTTTTAAACTAAATATAGCAAATTACAGCATTGATCTATAAAGATAATTCTGATTAACTGATATTAATTTATTGTAGGTGTTACTTAAGATAACCATTCTTAGTGTTTTCAATTATTGATTTTTAGATTAGTAGGATGTAACGTTAAAAATACCATACAAAAAAAAGTAATTACCGTATAACATTTGTACTCACTTTGTTTAACGATGATCCTGCTTTGACCAACTTTTTCGCCAAGCGAGTTGTTTAAATGACATTCATAAACACCAGAATCTGTCTTCACAGAATCCACAATAATCAGTAACTGATCTTCATGTATAAAAAAGTGCCTCTCAGTCCTAACAATAGTTTCTCCATCCTTCAACCAAGTTATCGTGGGTTTTGGCAAACCTTTAGCCAAGCAAGGCAAAACCATATCTTCTCCTGCGGCAAACTCCTTATCCTCCATAGCTTTAATAAATGATGGTTTCTCCTGAACAGTTAATGACGCATTGGCTACAACGATCCCTGCAGGGTTATGTGCAGTGCAGCTGTATACTCCCATGTCAATTGGTTTAGCATTCACAATGAAAAATACGTCATCATGGGGCATAACCTGCATCCGTCTTTCACGAGCAGCCGGAAAATCATTTCCACCATCTTTATGCCACGCTATTTCAGGAGTAGGTTCGCCATTTGCTGCACACTCCAATTTCACTGTTTCTCCAGCTCTCACTGTAACGTTTTTTGGCATTTTTATGAACGTTGGATAAACCAAAACAGATATTGCCGACTTCTGTGAGTATGTAGTGCCAAAACTATTAGAAACAACACACTGATATTTTCCTGCATGAGAATGCTCCACATGGATCAAATTTAGCACTGAGCTTGTCTCAGTAGACTTGCCATCAGGATCTGTACGAGATTTTACTATGACATTTGGGTTTAGTAACTCAATATTATCCTTTTTCCATAAAAAAGTCATAGCACCTGGCGAACTTGATATGGCCTTGCAGTTTAAGGTAATATTTTCTCCTTTTAAGGCCATTATTTCTGGATCAGGTTCTTCTATTAATCGGAGTTTTGGTAATTCATCTAAAAGGTAATACACCGTATACAAAAATTTCAATTCGCAAATCATATTCTTACCGCATGTTAAATTTTTGGTTACTTCTACAACTGACTGACCACGCAGTCCATCAGGATAAGAACAAATCGCAGCTTGCAACTTTAGTTGTTTTAAATTAAGCCAATCCACAAACCAGCGAAGGTTACAATCACACAAAAGACTCGTTGTGTTAATAATAAGATCCTGTAATTAAAAGTTTACATGGAAAAAATAACAAATCAAGTGATTTTCATTACCTTCAACAAGGGTACTTCAGAAAATGCGTTGTTTTGTATAGAAGTAATATTATTATTTCCCAAGTTTAAGTAGGTTACATTTTTCAAACCAACAAAAGCATCAGCACTGATCGATTTAATTTTGTTACCAGATAAATGAAATTTCACTAAATCACCAAGGCCTTGAAAAACTCCGTTTGTATCTTCAATAGTCCATGAAATTTGGTTGTTATTTAAGTTTCTAAAGAAAAAAAATTTAAGTAGTGCCAATTCCAGTCATTAATAAGAATACTTACAAAACCTTCAACCTTGGCAAATGCACAAAAGCATTTTCTTTGATGTATGTAATATTATTGTTATTCAAGGACAATTTTTGCAATTGTCCAAGATTTTTAAAAGTATCAGCTTCGATAGATTCTAAGTTATTAAATGATAGATCACTGTAAAATAAGTGGTGGTGAAATAAATGGTTTTGATTATTTTTGAGTCACTTACAGAATAAATAGAGTTTGACAGAATTCCCACGCATCGAGATCGATTTTGTTAATCAAGTTGTGACTCAAAGAAAGTTCTTTTAAGCTTTCTAATCCATACAACCAACTTTTTGAAATAACTCTTAAGTGGTTATAATCTAATATCCTAAAATTTGTAATTAGAAACAATAATTATTAGCTAGGTATTTACAGAAAATTAATAAAATAACTTACAGTTTATCTATTCTTGTTAAGCCATAAAATGCTCCATCTTTAAGCTCGTTTATTTGATTCCTCTTTAATTTTAATGTGGTTAGATGGTCTAATGATTTGAATGTTAAAGCCTCTATTACTTTTAATTTATTACGATTCAGTTCCCTGCAATTATTAAAAAATATAAGCATTGACTATAACAGATCTGAAGTTTTTGTCTTTATTACTTACAGTACTTTCAACTGTGTTTGATAATGTAAAGCGTCTTTGGGAATACTAACGATATTATTTTTATTTAATATGAGCTCCTTCAACTCTGAGAAATGTTTCCAGTTAACATCAGAGAGCTTTTTTATCGAATTATTTTGTAAAGTTCTGTAAAAATATCATATGATATCACAGGTGCTTAAAGATAAGGTAAATAATTGTCAACAAAAGGTAATACTCACAAAACGTTGGTCCAATTTGGTAAATTGGAAGGTATTTTGCTCAACTTATTTGAACCACAGTCAACATAAGATCCTAAGCAATTACAAACTTCGGGACAATCTTTGACTTTTGCAAAGCACGAATTGATAATCAAAATAATATTGAAAATCCAAAAACAAACACCCACCATTTTGAAAAAAACACAATATTTTCCATCATAATTTGCTCAAAATTATGATAAATACCCGTAGTTCGATACTGTCCCGCTTATTTTAATTACTTAACAATACATTCATAATATATTTTATTAATGAATTATATTTTTTATGTAAAAAATCACTAAATTTCTAACATACTGATCGACGCATTACACAGACACAACACCCGACCGAGGCCATTTATTTCGGTGCAATTTTTCACTTTGGAACCAAACTAACCAACAGAAAAAATGTTAAAAATCGCATAATAAAATGACGTCACGGGAGTAAAAACTTGAAATATATATTCCTTTATTGTTATCCAAGACTCTAGAATATATTGAATGGAAAATAGATTACAGAATATTTACCTATTGTTTCATAAAATTTTATAGAATTATAGAAGTAAGAGGTTGCGATATTAATAAGGGAATTTAATATGTTTCTTTAAAACTATATGCTAGATGTATAAAAATTACTGATATAATGCTAATGTATGTGCTTTTATATTTTTAATTTATCATTTCATTTTCAAATTTACACATGTATTAGTTTTATACGAGGTGATAAATAATTCCGAACGTAGTATTTGATTGGATGGCCATCTGTGATGCATCCGTGAAAGTTATTGGGTGCGGTACGTGCCGCTAGGTAACAACGCAAGTGAGCATCGCAAAGTAAGTAGCCAGCAGCAAATTCTCGGCATCGCCCGTTTCCAAAATAACGGTATTGTAATTCACGGTAAGTTTAAAATATTAACGCAAATCACACCCAACAACAAAAACGTATAGAAAATATGACAATATCCTCCATAAGTGAGTGCAAAACGAAATTATAGTTGTAAAGGATAGTATTTGTCAAGCCATGACAGTGTAAATTGAAGTGCTTTTAGACTTATTTTTGACGTTAAATCTAAACCAATTTGTGAAGTGGTCGCAAGCAAAACCCGCCTGGGAGTGAAGAAGTGGAATAAGTGTTTGCCGGGTCAACGTATGTACTTATTTTATATGTGATTTACAAAATGGGATGTAGGGCAAAAATACACTAGCTGCACAAGGCAGCTCCTTCTTGGCGGTAGACACAAAGCACTATCAGCCTTGGTTTAGCCCTATGTGTAGACTATTTTTTTGTAGTTTATATTTTTATTTTTGAGTCATATGCATGTGAAAATTAATCATAAATTTAGTTTAGTTCAGTCTTTCATAATGTTAATAAGCTTCCTGTTGGGTTGTGGTTAATGTTAACCACTGATTAGAGTTTTGCTTTTGTAGACTCACTTTCATTGTAAAAGTCATTTGGATAAGTTTCAAAGAACTTCTTTTATTTTCAGATAGTCTGTCAAAATGCGTGAATATAAAATTGTTGTGTTAGGATCTGGAGGTGTAGGAAAATCTGCATTAACAGTGCAATTTGTACAAGGAATTTTTGTAGAAAAATATGACCCTACAATAGAAGATAGTTATAGGAAACAAGTAGAAGTTGATGGGCAACAATGTATGTTGGAAATTTTAGATACAGCAGGCACAGTATGCAAAAAAAATATTTTTATATAATTTTTTTTAATTGGTTTCATTGTTTAGGAACAATTTACAGCAATGAGAGATTTATATATGAAAAATGGGCAAGGGTTTGTTCTGGTTTATTCAATAACAGCACAATCAACATTTAATGATCTTCAGGATCTTCGAGAGCAAATTCTACGGGTCAAGGTATTTAAAACATTAATTTATATGACTAATTCTTACTATTAATATGAATCATGCATGCTGTTGTAACATAGTAATAACGTGTAAGTCTGTAGATGTTATTTTTGTTATATTGTATTATAAAATAGTTTATAGATAATGATAAATGAGGGTATATCAGATATTATATTTAATCATTGTCCAGTATAAATTAAATGGCAAAATTAATTCAAGGTCAATTCAAATATTTCAAAACATATTTTTAGCAGGTTCTCTGTTTTCAATAAAATGTTAGATTGTTAAGCTTTAAATAAACATAACACATCTGTTCAGAAACTAAAATTTTAAATTTGATTGAATGATTTGTTTAGATAACAGTAATTACTGTGCCTTATGTATGGTTGTTTTGAAAAAAAAATGATTCATTCACTGTATTAAAGAAATTGTCAGGGGGCTGGGAGTATTAGTTTCAAATAACATTAAAAGTAGTAAAATTATTTTAATATCTATAAATATTTAATTGATTCGTCATAGAGGAAAGCTTGTAGCAACTACAGGAAGCGTAGCAGATATCAGGAGTTTTTATCACATTAAAAATTACCACATTTATCAGCAAGGATGATAAATGGAATTTTTTAGACGATAGGGTTAAAACAAATATTTTATTACATTCTGAAAATTAAAGATTATAAAAATCTTAAGTAATTTCTTTAGTGCAAAGGTAGTAAAATGTTTTTTTAATATGTATAATTCAGCTTCTATCCACATTGAAATTACAAAAAAAATTATATTAATTCCTCCATAAAATTTTGCCATGGGAAATTCATAACATTTCAATAAATAAAAAAGTACAGGCAGCCCCACTTAAAATGAATTTTTTGATAGCTGTAGTAATATCAGTAATATATAAAATGTTTCACATAAAAGTTGCATCAATACTATTTTTGCACATTTTAAAAATAATTTTCTGCTACATGGGGTGCCCCATTTTTTAATTTTTTTGAATGGAACACATTGTATTTTTCAATTTTTCGTTCAACTTGGATCTTCCAAACTAAATATTACATGGGGTTCACCATTCATTCATGTCTAAAGAAACTGTTCTGTTTTGTGCATTATTTAACACTTCAAACAGAAATACGATAACTACTTTTTTTTAATGTAATTCTATGTTAAATTTGATTTATTAGGGTCCATTTCTTATAATTTGCAAAATCAGTTAATAATTTTTACAGTTTCAGTGTTAAATAATAAATTCCACATACCTAGTACGACAATAATAATGTTAAAACATTATTAAAAACAAAACACTTTTCACATAAAATGAATTGGTAAAAAATATAGGGTTACAAAAAATTAAGTTACTCATGATCTAATATTTGTCAGTCGTTTCTATTTTTTTATTTGAAATGTATTCAGTAATAAAAGATTTTTTCTGGGTTGAATGTTTAGTGAAAACTGCATCTTGGTATCATGATTAGTTTCAGAGATATTTGATATTTTCCAGAATGCTACAGACATCAATTAAAAAAAAAAAATCAAATAACCCCAAAACGATTTTTAAACCCAATATTCATTCATTAAAGTAGGTTCTAAATTCAATTAGAAATTTAAAAATTTAATAATATACCGGGTATTCCATTTGAAAAAATTAAGTTAGATGAAGCTGAGGTAATGGAACACCTTGAGAAATTGATTTAGTATGTCACTTTTTTGTATTTTTGGTATTACCAGAGCTACGGAAGAATTCGTCTTAAGTGGGACACCCTGTACATAATGTCATAAATTTGTTTAAAATAAATTGTACTTAGGATACTGATGATGTCCCTATGGTATTAGTGGGTAACAAGTGTGATTTGGAAGAAGAACGAGTAGTAGGAAAAGAACAAGGAATCAGCCTTGCACGGCAGTTCAGCTGTGCCTTTATGGAAACCTCTGCCAAAGCAAAAATAAATGTTAATGATGTAAGTAACACAAAATTATATTATAACCCTTAAATTTAATATACCTCTTATTTAATATTTAGGTCATTGTTTCATGGATATGAAATATTTAGAAAAATGCGGTTGTGAAATGTCTTGCTTTTTTATCAGGTTTTTCAATGTTGCTATGAAAAGGCATGAGCATTAATTTAAATAACAAATAAGTTGTCATTTGAATATGATAAAGTAAAACTCTTGGGAAATACAACCCTAACCCATTCCTGGGCGTGTCCAGCAAAGTTAACTAGAGCTAGTTTTTAAGTATTAAAATTTGAACAAAATGAATATTTTAAATATATGTTTTAACTGTTATTGCAAATAAATTAAAACAGTTTTATTCATAAAACATAAATTTATACCTAACTTTTTACAGTGAAAAATGTTGCTTTGTGAAAAAAGAGTATTTGTTAAATTTTAATACATTACTACAGATTTTTGAAGAAATTAGAAACTCGTAGTTAAAATACACTAAAAAGTGAAAAACCTTCAAATTTAAACATATATTTGTACGGTAAGGGATGGAGTAGTAATCAAAGGATTTATTTCAGATATTTTATGACCTAGTTCGACAAACCAATAAAAAGTCTCCAGAGAAGAAGCAGAAACAGAAAAAGAAATCAATTTGTGTGCTTCTGTAATTTATATTGTCACTTGGAACCAAAAAGTACATTTAAAGATTTCAAGACTATTGTTAGACAAAGTGTAAAGGCGAGGAGGCAAGTGCGGACTTAAAGTCTCTTGCGGTGAAGTTTTTTTAAAGCACTGTATATCATTCATTTAAATTTTAATTTAAGTATTTGTAATAAATAAAGTTGTCAGTTAATTTTTCCACAGTCAAGGTTGTTATTATATCTAGATGCAATTAGTGATAGAGTATTTTGAAATACTGCCAATAATATGGTGTCAAATAGGGATAGGAATTTTGTGAATTAGTGGTACTTGCTACTCCTGATTCAAGACTATCTACAGGACAATACTTCACCCAACATAACCCATAGTCCTAGGAATTTTGCATAGCCAGGAAAAAGTAAGCAGTATATGTCTTTTGCCATGGCTATCACTACATCATTTTAAATAATTTTCTTAAGTTCACCATTTATTGTTCGGTGTATAACTGGATGTAGTAGTATCCTGTGGCAAGATGTGATAATAATCCTTATGGTGCTTATCTAATAGACAGTGATGTCCTTGATGAGAGTAGTACACATCAGAAACATACAGTTTTTTAATGTTCAAAAATTATAAGATGCTAAGAACTGATAATTTTTTAATAAGGACTGTATATACTTAAATAAATACCAGCATTTGTTGAAGTAAGTGTTTCTCTTATTACATATGATGGATTTAAATATTTTATCACTAACCAGTGGTTTCCATGTCAAAATAAAATTCAAGTGCATTTAGAGTAGAAATAAATCGATGTTCACACTTTTATTATTTAGAAATTTAAGTGTTGCGAAATTTTCTCAGGAATTCACAATAATTTCCTAAAAATATTTTAAAATATAAATTAAATTATAATTGGTAGTTTATTTACAAAAAAAAAAAAAAAACTGCACCGATATGAACTAACTATGAATAAAAATGGTGTAAACAAATATTCCATGAATAATGTTACAAAACACTGTTTTAAGGTAATTGAGAGCAATAATTTGATAATATTAAAAAGAATTAGAAAGAATAATGAGTAAATTGCCCCATTAGATAATGTATGTTTATCGAATCTCTTCTAGTGACATCACTTCTAATAGTTGGCACTTGAATTTTGAGTCGTTGGTAGTATCAAACCTTGTAATGTAGCACTCACAACTTTATATTATTATCTAGGAGAAATTTATAATTCCTTTATTGTATTAGCGTTTAAAATTGAAAATTGTGATAAATCTTAAATTACATTACACAAGACTTCATTATAACTGTGAGGCATGCTGTTCATAAAATCTATTAACTTATTTTTTATTTTGTATATTGTGCATATTTTCAGTATCGGTAATATTATATATGAATCTTGTTTAATGTATTTTAAGTCGTAGCTTATATCATGTGTGGTACAGCTAAAATGTCAAATTGCTTTCAACACAGGAAAAAGCCAAGAGGACCAATCTCTGTTTAAATGTTTTTTTTTTTTTCTTTTAACTCGATCTGTAACATACTATTTTCAAAATTCTTTTCTACTGCTCTGTATCACAATACTGATTATTCCCCAAATTTAGCCCACAACATACAAAACGTCTTGTATATCGAAATACACATTTTAAATTTGCTTATTTTTTTTTTTTTTATAATCGCACTGCCTACCCAGGTAAGAATTTTTCAAAGAACTGTTTCCTTTTTCGGTACAGTACTTTTGAGACATTAACATTTGCGTCTTTTTTCTTCCTTATGCTTAAATTTATGATAAGGTATCTGCTAAATGAATTTTAAATAGCCAGCGCCCTAAAATTCAGTTTATCGTTTTGTTTTTTTTTTGTATTCAACTGTAGAATACCAGGGCATTTTAGGTGTATCGGAGTAATATACGTGGAGGAAATTGCTCTTTTTTCGCACCTGCCTTTTGCACAGAAGCGGTACCAAATAAGCACATAAGCATTACAATTCCGCTTGCCAGCAAATTATGTTAAATATAGTTAATATATATTATATATTTTGTATTTCACTGGGTACTTTTTTAGAATTCAATCACAAATATATGTGTCAGTTGACAATTTCTTCCCATTAAGCAATTGAAGAGTTGTATAAATCAATCTTGTTGTTTTTTAATATAAATGTATGTTGAATGTATTCTAATATTGACGCTAAATATAAATAACCTTCAGTATATAAGGTCTTCTTTATGTGTTCCTTGTTAATTATCATATAGGCTCACATCAGTAGGAATTTTTCTCCAAGCTTGTAAAATTTAGAAGAAAGAGATGCTTTTGTTAGACCACATGTAACTGCGCATCACAAGTACAGAAATTTACATTTGTTAGTGTCGTTGTATTATGTAAATGTCCTACTTTTGCTTATGAGTCTATGATTATATTTCCTTTATTTATTTACTACTTTTTTTTATATAAATATAAAGACTAAACACTCAAGTGATGGTGGTTTTTTATATAATAAATATAAGGGCAGTTTTAAATAAATAATACAGCACCAGTGCCTGATACTACAAAGAATCACACACAGTCATGGGCGTAAGTAGGGGGAAATAGGGGTGTGCAAGGCCCACCCCAGACAAAAAAAAAGATCCAATAATATCATCTTTCTCATATCGGTAAGTCGCTGACTGTGCCAACTTTTTTTTACAATCGAACGAAAGAGAGTTTTGAAATATATCGGTAAGTGGTTGATTGAGTTATTATTTTTTTTTGAGGCCTCCATAGAGCTTGCAGCAGCCCTGGGCCCACCCCAAGGAAAAATACTAGCTACATACACACAATTAATGGAAATCGGCAGCACATCAAATTGTCCGAAAATGAAATATGTTATACAGGGTGCGGCAATGAAACTTGCCGATTTGGAAGGTGGATAAAACAATAAAAAATATAGATATGGTTTTAACTATTTTTTCTTATATTTGTACAAAATGGGAAATTTAAAATTACACTGTTTTAAAAATAACATCAGGGAAGTGTCGCCCCTCATTATCAATATACTGAATCAGCCGATTTGTGAAGTACTGACAAACTCTTTCTAACATTGCGACGGGTATGCCGGCTATTGCTTATCGAATGTATGAAAAAAGTAAGGGCCAATGATCCCTTCTCAGCAAGGCACACCATACAGTTACACGTTCTGAATGAAAAGGTTACTCGTGAAGTTCTCTCAGATTGTTATTACTCCAATAGCGCAAATTTTGTCTATACATGGCCCCAGACAAATGAAAATGTGCCTCATCGCTGAAGAACACAAAGCCAACTTGTATGTTTCTTTATTAAGAAAATAAGACATCTTGTAATTGTTAGACCTCTTCAGGCATTTATACCTTTTTTCCAATTACGTAAGGATTTAGATATAGTTGTAATATATTTTGACCTATCGGACATTGATAATAGTCCAAAATGTGTATAGGTATTTTAACTAAATCTCACTAATTAGACCGTGCGAGGCCAGTTACTCATGGAAAATGTTATATGGTAGGTCGTGACAGTGACAGGTAGTAATGTCATGATAATATTGTTATTATTTGACAGTTTGTATTATTATTTAATTAAAATGGGTTACACAGAAATAGAAAATTGAAATATTATTAGGAATTAAAATAAAGTATGGAGAATATCTTAACTACTCTATTTTGATTCCTATAATATTTAAATTTTCTACTTCTGTGTGACCCATTTTAATTAAATAATAATACAAACTGTCAAGCAATAACAATGTTGTCATAATATTACCTGTCACAGTCAGAGCCTATCATATAACATTGTCCATGAGTAAATAGGCCTCTCACGGTCTAATTAGTGAGATTTAGTTAAAATACTTATACCCCATTTTGGACTATATCAATGTTCGATATGTCAAAATATATTACAAATAAATCGAAATCCTTACGTAATTAATAAAAAACCTTCTTTTCGTTTTTTAATATTATCTCGCTTATTGTTAGAGATGGACCCAACAAACCATACGACTGTGCTCGGCAGGGAACGTTCTATCCAAATATGTAAAAATATACAGGGTGTTCCATTTAAATTTACAAAGTTAACATCCGCGGCCATTTTGTTTGAACTTCATTTGTTTTTCTACTATCATTTTCGAAAACTTCATAAAAATCGTGCAACTTTAGGATTTCACATTTTTTTATAACTCTTAAAACAAAAAAGTTAAAGGGGGGGTCAAAATATAGTGAATCACCCTGTACATGGTCCTTTAAAGCAATTAATTTAATAGTGTTTTTTTTCTTTTTGTACACTCCAATAGCATTAGTATGAATATGTAAGTATAAACATTGAATTCATATTTTAAATATTATCAATAATCAATAAATATAAATCTTTATTGATTAGGTTTTTAGTATGTGTCAATAATAATGATTTGTGACAATTTTGATAATAATTTTATTAACAGATAAACTGAATTTGCGAATAAGTAACAATATATTAATAAAAATAATAAATATATCACTGATGAAATACACAACTCATTTTATTAAAAATCATATGTACATTATTACTTTAAAAGAGTGGCAAGTTGCGCGACAGTGTGTTCCTGAGCCAATGCTGCTAACTCCTTCACCCACTCCTCTAAAAGTACCGCACATAATGCTACATGCTGGCCTTCGCTGAACTTTGGGTAAATTAAGTTAAACTGAAACTCTTCTGGAGTGGAAGCCATCTGAACGCTGTTTTCTATTTGGCTAGGCCTCCTTCCGAACAAACTACTAATTTGAGGGATATTTAGGCTGCGCCTTTTAGGGCCATTTCTTTGAAACGGCTCCGTTGTTTCAGGTTTTTTTACACTGAGTTCGGCATGATACCTTCTTAAATTAACTAACATTATTTCTCTGTCAACCAAACAATCACGTGCGTATTTTATGAGATTGATGCTGTCAGGTTGACGGCTCATATATTCATCAATTTTTTGCTGTAGTAAACCAATAATCTAAAAATCAGTTTGAAATTAAAATGAGGTAAAATTCAATATTTTATGTCTTACCTCAAAAAGGGATGGCACATTTGGTTGTAATACTAAACTATGATCTAATAAGTAGGCTCTTAGTAAAGGTTGTGGGTAAACTGCCAACCTCGATATTAATCCAGTCAAGTGTAAATTGATATAAAATGTGTTTGATAAAAAATTTCTTAATTTCTCCATTAGTATCGTTAGAAAAGGACCAGCACTAGCTGACGAACTTAAATGATCAGCATCATCAATTATTGTAGGTGATATGTTTGTTTTTTTATGTCGATTGCTACTAGAAGATAGCCAAAAATCGCTTTCGTCTCGTGATTCCTCGGAATTCAAATTAAAACTTTCGTATCCACTACTTCGCTCCAACGATATCAGACTACTAGAATTCTCCTCTAAAAAAAATTAAATGAAAACATTATTTTAGTACAACTACAAATGAAAATATTTGTTATACTAAGAAAAAATATATTATACCTGAACTATGCGAGATATCATCTTCCCCAGTATAAGAATTATTCCACATCATACAAGCCATTTGGCACCTTCCAATTTTACTTCGAGCATCACAAAGATAGGCATAATACCTTCCATATAAGCTTTGTTTGTGCTTGAAATGATTCCATTGGAAATTATTCCCTTCCAAGTTAGAATCATCAGCTAATTGACAACACCTTGGCGATAATGTTAATAATCTTTCAAAACTTTGACAATGTGGATCCAAAGGCAATAGTATTTTTCTCTGGGACAACATCAGATGTAAACAAGGTTGCAAGTGTTTGAAAACCAACTCTAACATCAAATCTTCACAGTCTAGATCAACCATGGACTCGAACACTGCCAGCGAAACGAGGCAAAGTTGGCGTCCTGAATTTATTCGTTGTATCAAAATATCTAACAGTCTTTCTCCATCATAATCCACTTTTAAAAGAAATTGTAACAACGAATGAAGTAGCCCAGGTTGCGTAACTGTCCTTAATATCAACTCTAAGTATGCCGTAGCAGCAACTTGCTCCTGAATATTAGCCTGTAACAACGCTGGACCCATCACAGGAATTAAAAATCCTCTGTATAAAAATTCCTGCAACTGTTTCCGAATCATTGGATGAGCAACCTGCGCTACTGCATTGCTAAATTCTAAGGACGTGACGAAAGTTAGTAGACCCTTGATTTCATTTACATCATCAGGAGTAAACCTATGCCAATCAGGTACAATTATGTCATTTAAAATATTTGGTAACACTGAATATAATGCACTTAGCCCCGACGCTACTAGGACAGAGAAATTTGAGTGATCGGCAATGTATATGGCTACTTTTTTATTCTTTTTTGACAAAGACATACACAATAGCAGGGCATCTCTTGCCCGCATCCCTATTGAATCTTCTCGATGCACGAATGGTATCAACAACGAAAATATTATAAATCTACAATAAAATGTTTTTTTGAATTATTCAATACTTAATTTGATACATACCTCACTATGTTTTTCACTTCTTGGAAAAATAAATCTATAAACTCGACATTTTGCATAAGGAGAGCACTTAACTGATTCAGTAAGTCAACTAGCAGTTTTTCAACTTCTTGAGAAAATACCTCACCTTCGCAAGAACATAATAACTTTATCATTGGTCGAAGAAAAGGTTCATGTACTAATAAAACGTGTCTTGACTGACTAATTAACATTTCATATAGTTTTAACTGTTCACATCTTACGGCATTGGTATATCTAAAAAAATATTTATCCTTACAACTTGCGTTTAAATGTTTATAAAGTTAAGGAATGTACCTTCCAGAACGTATACTCCATTCAAACAGTTTATCTAAAATGTTTTCAGCTAAAAGATATTCTAAACACTGGGACGATGAAACAGACATACAAAGCCTATCTTGTCTTCTAATGTCATAGAGCAATAAAGTAACCATTTGTTCCAAATGGTTAACAACACCCAGTACATCATCGTGGCTTGGCATTTGCTAAAAAAATATATTTGGGAATCTACCATCTTGTCATCACAAAGACGTATGTCAAAACCAACCAAACAATAGTATTATATTTACAAATGTTTTCCAATAACTTACCTGGACCCTATTAAATATTTTAAGGGCCTGATGCCAGTGTTCCTTGAAACTATCATAACAAGCCTGGGGATCACATTCTTCTTCTGAGTTTGTCAAAGATCTCGGATTTTTGGGTTGCAAAATTGAATTTAACCATTCCATATTATTATTTTATATTTACTAGAAAAAGGTCATCTTGTCTATTAGAAGTTGTATGTTTCCGTACTTCATTTCACATTTCACAAATAAAATAACCCACATATATAAAATAATGACTTATCTGTGACGGGTGACAGTTGACAAACAGACGTCAAATCATGTTCCTAGAAAATTAAGCGTTTTCCAAACAATTACTCGGTCAGAGATCGGTTGCTGCAGCACCGACCAAAATGTTTAACAATAAAAATGACGATAACAAAAGGAAGTACATGTAGGTATTGGTTAAATAAAAAGATTAACTTTTATTTTTAATTTGTTATGTGTTCTTTTATTAAACGTTTTAATTGCACCACCTAAATGTCTACACTTTAATTATAATATTATACCAATACCAATCAACCAAAAAGTTATAAAGTTCGATAAAAAGGCCTAAGATACCGATTTATTGAAGCAATAGTAGTTAATTAATTCACAAATAAATAAAATTGAAAAATAATCAAACGCAATTACTAAGTAACCACATAACTGCCTACGCTGTTTTATAAAGAGAAGAGATAACGTTATCGTAATGTACGATTTCCATGAGCGTAGTAGCGAGGACTACATACATAAATATAAAAAAATATATATAATAATTCAGAACAATTATTTTATAATTTATATTTATTTAAGATTAAGTTGAAATTTAAAAAATATAAGCTTCACTTTTTAAATATCAATTAAAACATTTTTATATTCCAGAATATATTTATTAGCATATCGTGTGCAGGTACTGCTACTGTGCTAATGTTATTCTTGCCCCATGTTCGATATTTTTATCTAGAAATTATTTTAAATAATAATAAACAAATTTACATAAACAATATATTAACCCGTCTGTTACAAATAAATATAGTACAATTTTTGTATATCAGTCACGTATTACAAATGGAGAATATAAATACATATGCAATAAGTAGTAGGCACTAGGTGCCTGCTGCCTAATAATAAAAGCTAAGGTGAATATTCGAAGAAAATGTTCAAGTGAAATTTTTAAACTGTTCTGTTACAGGGTGAGTCAAAATTTACTCTAACCATAAACGTTAGTAAATTATATTTGCAATATAATTGTATTATACAGGGTGTTACTACAATCTAATGCCGAGATGCCAAACTTAAAAAGAGGACAAGAAATGTTATTTTAAGCAACATGTTTTTTTGTAAATATGGGTTAACAAATATTTCAATACCAAAAACACAATTTTTAAATAACCCAAATGGCTGTTCAGATACAAAATAAACTGGTCTCTATACATTGTCGATTGCAACTTTTTTATCTGAAAAAAATTTTAGCTAAATCAAACATATTTTTTTAAAAGAAAGAGACAGATATAATCTGCACCGTTTTCAAGAAAATTGGTAATAAACCTTTTTGATTGCCAGGATCACTTTAAAATTTTATTATATAATACAGATATTAAGATAACACAAAAAAAATCATAAGAACATAGTTGCTAAAACCTATTTTTTTGCAGATATAACATGCATTTTTTTTCATTGGCTCTCAATAAGACTCAATGGGCTTTGAATATGGCATTAAAATATGTCATTACCAATTCGTTTACTAACTTTTTTCATTATTTCAATTGGTGTAAGGTATCAGTAAAATGTGAAATTTGTTTTAAATAAACTGTATCATCGAAATACAAATAATGTTTTCTCAAAAACGAGGCAAATTATCGACACTGAACAAGAGTACATTTTTTGTATCTTCAAAATGCTCTTTCTAAATTACGTATTATTTTACCGAAAATGCTAAGGACAATTTAAAATAAAAAAAAGAAATTGGAATATCTTCTGCATCTCCGCTACTTGAATAAAGGTAAAATATACTGAATTTTCGTAACCGAGGGAGATGCACTAAACCAAATTTGGAGAGGACATAGCTAATACAATGCGAAACATCGCTTTAATGTTAAAAATGTCACCGCCGTTCTTGGGGGTGAAAATTCGAAATATTTGGAATTATTCAAATTTCGTGACTGACAATATACATAGGTATTGAATTCTCGAAACCGAGAGAGTTGTGCGAACGTAAATATGTACAGGACATAGCTAGTACCATGCGAAACATCGCCATATTTTTAAAAATGTTGTCACCGCCGTTCTTGGGGGTGAAAATTCGAAATATTTGGAATTATTCAAATTTCGTGGCTGAAAACATACATAGGTATTGAATTCTCGAAACCGAGAGAGTTGTACGAAACTAAATTTGTATAGGACATAGTAGCTAATACGATGCGAAACATCGCCTTAATTTTAAAAATGTTGTCACCGCCGTTCTTGGTTGTGAAAATTCGAAATATTTGGAATTATTCAAATTTCGTGGCTGAAAACATACATAGGTATTGAATTCTCGAAACCGAGAGAGTTGTACGAAACTAAATTTGTATAGGACATAGTAGCTAATACGATGCGAAACATCGCCTTAATTTTAAAAATGTTGTCACCGCCGTTCTTGGTTGTGAAAATTCGAAATATTTGGAATTATTCAAATTTCGTGGCTGAAAACATACATAGGTATTGAATTCTCGAAACCGAGAGAGTTGTACGAAACTAAATTTGTATAGGACATAGTAGCTAATACGATGCGAAACATCGCCTTAATTTTAAAAATGTTGTCACCGCCGTTCTTGGTTGTGAAAATTCGAAATATTTGGAATTATTCAAATTTCGTGGCTGAAAACATACATAGGTATTGAATTCTCGAAACCGAGAGAGTTGTACGAAACTAAATTTGTATAGGACATAGTAGCTAATACGATGCGAAACATCGCCTTAATTTTAAAAATGTTGTCACCGCCGTTCTTGGTTGTGAAAATTCGAAATATTTGGAATTATTCAAATTTCGTGGCTGAAAACATACATAGGTATTGAATTCTCGAAACCGAGAGAGTTGTACGAAACTAAATTTGTATAGGACATAGTAGCTAATACGATGCGAAACATCGCCTTAATTTTAAAAATGTTGTCACCGCCGTTCTTGGTTGTGAAAATTCGAAATATTTGGAATTATTCAAATTTCGTGGCTGAAAACATACATAGGTATTGAATTCTCGAAACCGAGAGAGTTGTACGAAACTAAATTTGTATAGGACATAGTAGCTAATACGATGCGAAACATCGCCTTAATTTTAAAAATGTTGTCACCGCCGTTCTTGGTTGTGAAAATTCGAAATATTTGGAATTATTCAAATTTCGTGGCTGAAAACATACATAGGTATTGAATTCTCGAAACCGAGAGAGTTGTACGAAACTAAATTTGTATAGGACATAGTAGCTAATACGATGCGAAACATCGCCTTAATTTTAAAAATGTTGTCACCGCCGTTCTTGGTTGTGAAAATTCGAAATATTTGGAATTATTCAAATTTCGTGGCTGAAAACATACATAGGTATTGAATTCTCGAAACCGAGAGAGTTGTACGAAACTAAATTTGTATAGGACATAGTAGCTAATACGATGCGAAACATCGCCTTAATTTTAAAAATGTTGTCACCGCCGTTCTTGGTTGTGAAAATTCGAAATATTTGGAATTATTCAAATTTCGTGGCTGAAAACATACATAGGTATTGAATTCTCGAAACCGAGAGAGTTGTACGAAACTAAATTTGTATAGGACATAGTAGCTAATACGATGCGAAACATCGCCTTAATTTTAAAAATGTTGTCACCGCCGTTCTTGGTTGTGAAAATTCGAAATATTTGGAATTATTCAAATTTCGTGGCTGAAAACATACATAGGTATTGAATTCTCGAAACCGAGAGAGTTGTACGAAACTAAATTTGTATAGGACATAGTAGCTAATACGATGCGAAACATCGCCTTAATTTTAAAAATGTTGTCACCGCCGTTCTTGGTTGTGAAAATTCGAAATATTTGGAATTATTCAAATTTCGTGGCTGAAAACATACATAGGTATTGAATTCTCGAAACCGAGAGAGTTGTACGAAACTAAATTTGTATAGGACATAGTAGCTAATACGATGCGAAACATCGCCTTAATTTTAAAAATGTTGTCACCGCCGTTCTTGGTTGTGAAAATTCGAAATATTTGGAATTATTCAAATTTCGTGGCTGAAAACATACATAGGTATTGAATTCTCGAAACCGAGAGAGTTGTACGAAACTAAATTTGTATAGGACATAGTAGCTAATACGATGCGAAACATCGCCTTAATTTTAAAAATGTTGTCACCGCCGTTCTTGGTTGTGAAAATTCGAAATATTTGGAATTATTCAAATTTCGTGGCTGAAAACATACATAGGTATTGAATTCTCGAAACCGAGAGAGTTGTACGAAACTAAATTTGTATAGGACATAGTAGCTAATACGATGCGAAACATCGCCTTAATTTTAAAAATGTTGTCACCGCCGTTCTTGGTTGTGAAAATTCGAAATATTTGGAATTATTCAAATTTCGTGGCTGAAAACATACATAGGTATTGAATTCTCGAAACCGAGAGAGTTGTACGAAACTAAATTTGTATAGGACATAGTAGCTAATACGATGCGAAACATCGCCTTAATTTTAAAAATGTTGTCACCGCCGTTCTTGGTTGTGAAAATTCGAAATATTTGGAATTATTCAACTTTCGTGGCTGAAAACGTACATAGGTATTGTATTCTCGAAACCGAGAGAATTGCACTGAACCAAATTTGGAGAGGACATAGCAAATATATCGCCTTAATGTTAAAAATGTTGTCACCGCCGTTCTTGGGGGTGAAAATTCGAAATATTTGGAATCAATCAATTTTCGTGGCTAAAAACATACATACATGAGATTTTTGTAACTAATAATCTAAAGAACTATACCAAGATTTATTTGTTAGTTGTTATCTGCCATGTTTGGGGATATATTAAAAAATATGTTTTTCGCAATGGCACTTGGCATTTATAAACGCCCTGTTTAATATTATATTTTAATAATTCCAAATATTATTTTTTTAGAGTATATTGGAACGTAACGTTTTAGACACCTTCTACGAGTTTGTGACTGAAGACCCTCAGGAAGAGAGGAACAAACGTGGAAGCGTGGTTTATGTAAAATTCTGACCCATTAAACTAAAATTTCTAAATTGATCGCAGATTGTAGCAGGGGTAACTTCATCACGCAACAAATGTAGCACACGGAACCCGTAGAACGTGCAGTCGCGACCCTAAACTCACCCTAAGACGTTCGGCTACCCTGTCGGAAGAATGTTCCGTCTCAACATGCTTTGCATGTACGTGCCTTTCTGTATCTGTCTATCTCCTGAACCGGTAACGATTCCCGGTCAAGGTACTATCGCTGGAGTGGAAGTATCCAAATTGCGGATCCAGAAAATCATAGCCTATTATGGTATTCCCTACGCCCAGCCACCCGTTAAAAAACTACGATTTGTTCCTCCGGTGACGAACCCTCTTCCGGAAATTCAAAATGTTTCAAGCTATCGTTCGGCATGTCCGCAAAGCGAAGAAGCGTACAAAGAGTCGGAATTGCCCTTTTTGCAATTGATTCCCGATTATAAGGTTGTTGAATATAGTGAGGACTGTCTTTACCTTAACGTCTTTGTGCCAGTCGGTAAGTTTAGATGTCTGACGCACATTGTGTCACTTCTAAATATATTTCTTTACGAAAACTGTTTATTGACTAAATTATAAAAGCACTTTTAATTACGTATTCACTGTTTTTTATCGTTTTAAAATCCTAACACACTAAAGAGTTTGTTGAATCATGGCCTGACAAATAAAAATAAAATAAGTAGGTATAAAAACATTATTTCTTTTTAATAATTCATAAATTTTGAAGCTGAAAAAATTTATAGCCATAATGGGTTATTCATATAATTTCTACAGCAGTGATAAATAAATGTCATACTACCCTGAAACCCTGTCCCGGTGACATTAAGCTTACCACTTTTCCTGAAGTTTTGATGAGGTCATATACGTGTTGCATCAAATACCAACACCCCTGACATTTTAACAAGGTGCATCGCTGAAATGCTGTACTACCTTTACATAATTGGAATTGACATATAACATTTTTAGCAAAACACAAATGGACTGTTTATGGGGAATTTTTGTAGGCATAGCCAGAGAAAATAAACCTATATAAAATGCTATTGTTATCCGACTGTAAATTTCACAAACTCCAGCATACACGATTTCGTTTCAGATTCACATTTTATTCATATTCATATACCGAGTGATTTTTTTAACCTGAAACTGAAATATCTCGAAATATAAGCAATCTACTAAAAAATGTCCATAATCAAAATTGAATCATTCCATGGGGGAAATACATTAGTGCTAAAATTAACCCCCCTCCTTGTAGGTAGGGTGAATCTGCAATAAAAAATAAATGTTCCTATTTAAGATTTCAAAGATACCCCTAACACCTACAAGAAGGGGGGAAGGGGACTAATTTTGGCACGGACGTATACAGGTTGACTCTTTCAGAAACATCTAATATTTTCTTTGACATCTGAATAGTTTTGTAGATTTGAATATTATTTGGTCCGCTATCCATGAACAAGGCAATCCATAATTCACTTTTTATTACAATGTATTCTTTTGTTGTTGAATGGGACAAAAAACTACTTTTTAAGAAACTGGGGGTATAGAGGGGCGCACATTTTCTGCCATCAACCCCTCCCCCCCCCTCACACCGGCATAGACATTAGTACTTATTTTTTACTAACCTTCTATATTTTAAATTTTTAATAACAAATCCAGTGATGTATTAAGTATCGTAGTTATAAGCCAAATAATCGATAAAATATAGCAGTAGTACTTAAAAAATATTGGATTTTCAAATAGTGAACTTCGGAAAACTGGGACAATTGTTGTATAAAGAAAACACGACTGGCTAGCGCATCAGCGCATCTCATACGTATTCAATACATAATTTTTAACAAATATTTTACTGTGGTCCATCTTAAAGGTAAGAATTGTTTTTCGGAATACATTTTTATTTTCTTGATTATTAGGCTAATGCTAAATAAAAGTATGACAAAATATAATGACGTATTAATGACAAATTAATAACTGTCACCGAAATTTTTATATTTTGTGCAAAAAATACAATTTTGCAGGTATATCTTTTTATATTGATGTTCAATTGTTTTTCTGACATCAGATTCTGATTCTGCGGAACTTTCTACACGTCTTCACGTCTACAATTTGTTTCATTCCGGCATAACTGCAAAGGAGAAATGAATAAATAGCAATAAAAAGATAAGAACTAAGGATCATTCTGAATATTTTGGTGATGGAATGAAAGTATTTTGGGAGAGAATATTTGCCCTCAGGTTACATGTTGATGCTATTTCTACGAATCGCAGCAATCAAAGTCAAATTAAAAGTCCATTGAAAAAAATTTTCGGTAATGGATATTTTGCGCAAAGTCGCATGACCATAAATAAAATGTACGCGAACAGGTCGGACATCGCAGCACCAACGTTTCGTGGCGTGTCTCCAGTTCATTACGGTTGCATGCACGCACAGAAATCTGAAATTTGCAGCGAAACCCTTGCGTGTCGAGTATTTATCTTAATCTCGAATTTGACCATCTACACGTCAAGAAATCACATCTAATTTTCCTATTCGTCTGAAAGAGAAGGACTTATTGGGTGATAGAAATGTCTTGCAGTCATAATATTGATTACTGGCTACATTATTTTACTTGCTCAGATTTTATTTAAATTTACATCAGCGGCAAGATTGATAAGCAGACTTGATTTCACATTTTTGTTTCAATATTTATAAATGCTTATTTACAAAAATGTTGCTAATACAGAAGACATTGATTTACCCTAAACAGGGTGATATTATAGGTATATCTTAATTTGCAAACAAGCATATCCTGCATAAAAAAAATAAATATATTTCTTATAATAATATTAATTTATTAATTATTAATTATTAATTAATTAATTAATATCTTATAATTATATTTCTCCTATAGATGGCAGCATCATCGAAAAAAATTGAGGAATGCAAATTATTTATTAATGAAATTTGGCACGGATAATTTAAAACCAATGGAATTCAACCAGTTTATGTCAAATTTGCAAAAATTCATACAGTGTTTAAGAACGTGTGACTAATATTGTGACGTTAAAGTAGAATTTACTCAAATATTTCAAATGGTACACCCTGTATAATTTTTGCAAATTTGACATAAACTGGTTGAATTTCATTGATTTTGAATTATCCATGTCGAACATTAATAAATGAAGCAAAATGTCGGAGTTATTCTATTTTCAAAAATCACTTACATCCCTCAATTTTTTTCGAAAATTAATAATAACTTGAAAATAGTGTAGAATTTGCCGTAGAATAAAAAAATGCATAAATATACATTGTGTCCCATTTGAAATAATAGAGCCGACGATGACTTCCGGTATAACCGGAAGTGCGAGGAAGTTGACACTATTTTCATTGAATAAATCTTTTTGATAAACCCCTGTATATAAATTTTAATTCTGACTACTTTTAGAGATAATCCCACTGGGCCCTCTTCGTGATACACCCTGTATATTGATATCAATAATATCTACGCATATTTAATAATTTGGATAAATATTTCGCAGAAAAAATTATTTTATGGCAGGGCCTTATACATATAAACATTTTATTTTGTTAGTTACTCGAATAATATACAGGGTGTTTTTGAAAAGGTACCATAAATTCAAAAGTTGCAGCATAAAAAGAAGACAATTTTTCCTCTGGACCAGAATAAATCTTTTGTTTACGAGAAATAGGGCGTAAAAATTGTTATTTAGAATTAAATTTTAGCCACATCTTTTCCAAAAAAACAATGGAATGTTTTAAAATTTATTGTTGTTATTTTTTAACCATCTGCTAGAAGTCGTTAGTTACGATCTTTCTCATTGACATTTTATATCTCTTTTGAGGTTAGTTTTTTTTTACAGAATGCATACATAATGCATAAAAAAGTAGGTACTTGTTGGAATACCTGGCAATGCACCGTTTATAAGAAAAACACAATTCACAATCCCAGTCAACCAGCTTCTATTCTTTAACATACAGAGTGTTCAGAAACGAATACGACAGCTTACCTGGATGAAAATAAACCGATTTGTTACCTTAGTATCATTTTGCTTCCTTAAATATAGGCCTCAAAAAAATTATTTTATTCTATTTTAACTAATACTGGGATTTTAACAAGAGTGTAGGAAACTTTACATGATAATAAATGACATACAATGTACAAAGCCTAACATTAAAAAAGGTATTTCATAAAATGTCACAAAATTTTATTTATTTGATTGAAAAATCATTTTTGACGGCCTGTAGATCAAAACAAAAGAAGAGTAAAAAATATTCTAAATTATGGTACTTTTCTCAAAACACCATGTATAACAAGCATATCAGTATTATATTTGGCTCCCTTAAAATGGCGCAAATCGGAAAAAATAATTCATCCTCATTGCGTCATAATTCAAGGTACGAAGGCTAAAAGTTTTTCAACCCACGATATTTACAATTTCGGTGTTAAAATTGAATACATTACGGTCACAATAATACAAGAAAAATCGTTACGATCTGCTTGGCAACTTTTGCTACATTGTTATTTTTAAGAAAGCGCTCACGCGATGTGTTGATCAGTTTAACCTACCGAAAGGGGTAAATTTATTCCTGCGTCTTGACCTTGTGCATAAATTGACTTTGGAGGAATTAAAGCGGCACATTTATATACTTAATTATTTCGTTATTGCCATTATTTAATCTGAAATAATATATTCACTGCGCAAAATAATAATTACTGTTCACAGTACCGCTTTTTTAAATATTTGTTTTATAAAAGAAGAAAATCCGTTGTAATGAAAAATTTGAAATTTATGATCTATCCGAGATAATAATTGTATCGCAATATGTAATAGCGAATTGAAAAAATATTTGCGGCCAGGGAAACATGTTTTTTGTATTACGTTAAACTGCTACATTTGTGTGAAAATTTGAAATTATTATTCTGTTCTTAGGTAACCATCCAGAACTAGGATTTGCCACGATAATTTGGTTCCACCCCGGTAACTTCTTAATCGGCAACCCTAGCATATGGAATCCCCACACACTGGTATACCGACAAAGAGTGATAGTCGTCACCGTAGCCTGGCGATTGAATATTTTTGGATTCTTTACCACGATGGACGGGGAAGCACCCGGAAATTACGGTCTTTTGGACCAGCAAGCCGCCATGCAGTGGGTGAAGAACAACATCAAACTCTTTGGGGGCAATCCAGATAACATTTGTTTAATGGGATATGGCGCTGGGGCAACGAGTATAGGTTTGCACATGACTAATCCAAAGTCAGTAGAATTATTTAACAAAGCTATTGCGATGAGTGGTGAGTAATTTATCGTACGAGGACGTTTGAATTTTGCCATGTAGAAAAAATGTTTTAGGTGACTACTTATCTCCGACCACGATAAAGATGCCTGAAGAGGACAAAGCGTTTCTAGACTCCCTAGCTCGCAAGTTAGATTGTACCAGGAGACCGGTATCGAAACTTTTAGAATGCCTGAGGTACGCAGAGGTTGAGACTCTTTTAGAAATAGCGGGAAAGCGTCCATGGCGTCCTTTACTAGATGCAAGTCTCAGCAACAGCTCTTACCAACCTTTCCTATCAGAGCCACCTATAGCGTACTTTGAAAGCGAAGGTAGCACCAAAGTTCCTTTCCTAACTGGATACACACAAATGGAACAAATCCTGGAAATTCCCGAATTAAACAACACTCAAATTTCTTCAGAGGCTTTAAGAAGTTTATTTGTTAAACTAATGCAGCAAGAATTACCGCAAAATAATGATACAGAGTCTTCCTGTGTATACAATCCTGACCATATTATAGATGCTGTGATGTTTTTCTACGGGCCTGAGCTGGCCTCGAAAGAAACGGACGAATTTCGACAAATTGTGACGGATTTCTTGACAGAGAAAAATTTTGCTGCTCCTGCGTATCTCCAAGCTCTTCACATTAGCAAAGAAAAACCAGTTTATGTGTACAGATTTGATATGAAACCTAGCACAACATCTGCCGTAAGCCAAATTCCAGAGTGGGTTACCGTTTCACATCTTTTCGATTTAATTTATGTATGGGGGATACCCTACTGGGAAAATACTGGTCAGCAATGGGATCACAGAGATAAGAGAATTTCAGACACTATTATGTCACTTTGGACTAATTTTGCCAAGTATTCTGATCCCACAGCCAATGCCATTTTCCCAATAAAATGGCAGTCCTTTACTCAAGAAAATCCAGGCATCATGATTATAGATGGGAACTTTGATATGGGTAACTCTAACAATTTAAATTATAAAGCATTTGAGTTCTGGAACGAGTATTATCCTAAAATAAGAGATGTTGCCACTAGATGCTGTGAAATTTCAGACTCGGGTGCAACAAATCTTTCAAAGAACCTCTTATCTTTTGTTATAGTTTCACTTGTAGTTATATATTATGTTTAACTAACATAAATTGTAGACATACTTATTAAATATTATACAACACCACAAATGATAATATATTAATATTTTAAATACGTACTTGCCAAACTATTTTGCTTGAAACAGACCATTTCCTAAAAATTATATATACATTTACAATAAATATAAACTAAATTTGTACTGTTATTCGTATCAGTAATAATACATATAAGTTATTGGTACCTCTTTATTTTAATGAATAAAATTGCATAAAAAAAAATACAAGGAAATCGTTTTAATATACCGCCATCTATTGACCCCTATGTAAATTCCTGAGAATTTTCCTTGGTTCCCACTCTTAATAAACTTCAATTTTATTTTTGATATGCCATCTAGATGTTATGACCTAAACTATCATTTTAAGGTTGGCTACTTCAGCCAGTGTCATTTTTATTAAAACAAGGATATATAACCAAATTTAAAAAATGTAGGTTAATTTGTAATGGACTTTGTACCTAAATACTACGCCGCTGAACTGAAATTTTTTGCGATTGTAAAGTTGCATCCCTGTTTGTTTGTTGTTTCTAAAGTTACTCGCCTAAATTTAGAAAGTAAACGGTGCTAGAACCCTTTGAACGTAACCTTAGACGCATAACAGTGTGCTTTCAACAGGGAAATGATATCAGCAGTACAGCGTATATAATTTTTAAGTTGAGCTTTTAATGATGCCAGTTATGAGATGAGTAATAAATTCAACCACATAATAGTGGTTGAAACACGACAATAATAAAAGCCTCCAAAATAGAAGAATGTAGACACCACGAGTCATAATAATGATCAAGATGTTACAATTATTGTTTACATATAAAAATATCTCTTCATATCCAAATGCCTAAGTGATGTTTTGTTCCTTTTATGTGAATCATTAGGTGTTCCTTACTAAGTGCATAGTTATTTACCACTAACTTAGTGTTTTAGTCTTTGAAGTATTCACAAAGAAGTAGAATGAGTCACACAAGTGAACAGAATCCCCTTTCTCAACCCTTAAGGGTAGAAACTGACGACAGTGTTCATCCTGATAGCAACAATTACTTTGAGGAGGAGAAGGACAACTTCAGTCAAACAAATGATAATGATGACACTGACTCTTTAGGGCCACTTCCTGCCAAGTGGGAAAAAGCCTATACTGAAAGCGGGGAGGTGTATTTCATCGAGTAAGTACTTTTATTTAACAATTTCTCATATTGCCCCAGGATGAAGGCTACATTTTAGAAATCGACTTTAAACTTTATTAGAATCATTTTGTTTTATTAGTAAAAAATAAAATCATATTATTAGAATTGGTCTCCTGTTCATAAATAACAACATATGAGTGCAACTGAGATGTTTATACTATTCAAGTTCATTTACTATTAACCTTTTAATAATAATATAAGTAATTAATAAGTTTGTTAAATTTCAAATTATATTTTTAAGTCACTCGACTGGAACTTCACACTGGTTGGATCCGAGATTATCCAAGTTCCAGAAAAAGACTTTGGAAGACTGCATGGATGATGAATTGCCTTACGGTTGGGAAAAAATTAGTGACCCTCATTATGGCACTTATTTTATTGACCACGTCAACCGACGTACTCAGTACGAAAACCCTGTGATACAAGCCAAAAGAGCAGCTTCACAAGCCTCCGCAAGAGCCAGTAGGACTTCGTTTACTAAGGATCCGTCTGAATTATGTGGACAACGTTTTAAGACATCTCTTGTGAAATCGTCACGTGGATTAGGTTTTACAATTGTTGGAGGAGATGATGGTGTGGATGAATTCTTACAAATTAAATCGGTAGTTCCAAAAGGCCCCGCTTGGCTAGATGGTCAACTTCAAACTGGTGATGTAATCGTATACGTGAATGACACTTGCGTATTAGGATACACTCATAACCAGATAGTGAGGTTATTTCAATCGATTAGTGTAGGTTCAACCGTTTCTCTAGAAGTATGCAGAGGATATCCTTTACCTTTCGATCCAAATGATCCTAACACAGAAGTGGTAACTACAATAGCTGTCGATGGTCATTTACAACCAATATCAAATGATAAGAGGTTGTTAGATACTAATTATAATTTTTTGGACGGTGATGACCTTTCCAGAAGTGTAGAAAATGTCTTGGACCAAAACGATGAAATAGATGATTTACTGAAAGGAATAAGTAACCTTACTTTAGGAAAAGTAGAAGTAAGAGTTCGGATAGTGAAAGGAAACCTAGGTTTTGGTTTTACGATAGCAGATAGTGCCTGCGGTCAAAGAGTTAAGAAGATATTAGACCGTCAGCGGTGTAAAAATTTATTGGAAGGGGACATCCTTCTGGAAATTAATGATATTTCTCTTCAGAATATGTCCCACGACGAAGTAGTTCAAGTTCTGAAGAATTGCCCGTACAACAGCGAAGCCAATATATGTGTGCAGAGGGGTTGTCCCAACAAAACGCCAAATATTAGAAATAAGCCTAGAAAATTAGACAGCCGCTTCAGCACAAAAGATATCGGGGGAGTATACCGCAGTAAAACACCTACAGCAGATATATACAGCACACAAACTAGAGAAGTACTACCAAGCAGGCCAAAAACACCATTAGTAGACACAAGAGGTCTTTCTAAAACTCCTATTAAAGATATTAATTCAAATTCCAACCACGAATTATTTAAACGAGAGTTTTCTAGCGACAATCTTAATGCTGATAGATCTCGCTTACGTTTATCTTTAATAGGAAATCCAGAAGAGGAAGAAGATGAAATAGATATCTCGGAGAACCAAAACAAGCCTTCATACGATTTACCTCCACCTGTTGATACAAAGTTTGGATTGTACATGCCCATTCCGCATAGGTTCGACTGTTCCTGCATATATTGTGCTAACCCTCGACCTAGCGTTTCAGATGCAACAGAAAGTTACGATTCCAATAATTACAAGAAGTACAATGGGAACGATTTGTGGTACCAACCTAGGAATGTGGAATATGTTACAACAGCAGTAACATTGATCAGGCAAGAAACTGGTTTTGGATTTAGAATTGTAGGCGGAATAGAAGATAAATCTCAAGTAAGTATTAATTTCTACAAAATTGCTTTAAATTAAATTATAATTTTCGTTCATAGGTTGCAGTAGGTCATATTGTAACAGGAGGGGCAGCAGATATAGATGGCAGGATTCAATCAGGTGACGAAATAGTTAGTGTTGAAGGTTTTTCAGTATTAAAAGCATCACACCGTCAAGTGGTTCAGTTGATAAATGCCGCAGCAGCTAGGGGACAAGTCAACCTTATTTTACGAAGACGAGTATATCCGCCACCGCCTCCAATAAGTCAGGCTTATTCTATCGGAATAAACAGTTGGTCAACTGAAAACCCACCGCCAAATCTAGGACTTACCCCTTTAGTCGTGACCAGCCCACACGCTGGACCAACTTATGACGTTACAGTGCAGAGAACTGAAAATGAAGGATTTGGATTTGTTATCATATCATCTGTCAATAAAATTGGATCCACTATTGGTAAGTCACTTTTTAGTTCTTTGAATTTATTTTCATTAATTTTAAATTTATAATTTCCGCAATGTTTATCGATAATGTGTTTAAACAGGACGTTTAATCGAAGATAGTCCAGCGGAGCGATGTGGCAGACTTCGAGTTGGAGATTATATTGTAGCAGTAAATCATATAGATATAATGCACTTAAGTCATGGAGACATTGTGAATTTAATCAAAGAATCTGGTTTATCTGTAACTTTAACGATAGCTCCAAACCCAGATCTGTGATTAATTCTTCAGCTTTAATTTCAGGATATATATTATAAGAGTTCAGTATGACATTAGCGAGATAATTAAAAAGAAATTTTCAATTAGATTTCTCCTAAAATTTTATTGGTTAAAATAAAAAATATACTATTGGTGAGATACTAATTTTTTTTACAGTTCTATTGTGATATACGAATCTCACTGCCTCAAATATCAAAAATTGTTTACCTTTTTTAAATAAAAGTTAATTGTTATATTTATAAAAAGAAATTACTTGTGATTAATCGAATTTAAATTTGTTACAAATAAATAATTGCATTGTTACATTAAAAGAACTGTTAAAATTTAATGCTTAAACTATGTGGTTTTGCAAAGATGCAAACTTCAACAGTGTCTAGGTTAGCTCAATGTTTGTTCTGAAAAAACTAAACAAAATTTGATCTACCCTTCAATTTTATTTTAGTATAGAAATGGATAGGAATGTTTTTCTTTAAAAACTTCATGCAGAAGATTTTCAAAACACAAATTTTGAATAAGAAGACTACTCTTACATTTCTGCCACTAATAATATTAATTATTATTGTATAAAATTTCATAAAAGTAAAATACACATATAACAGAAAAGCCTCAAGTTTAGTATTTTTTTAGTAGGACACAGTGTCGTAGCTAAGGTCATGAGCGCCCAGGGCAAGTTTTGAATTTTGTGTCCCCCAAAACTTATTTTGTAGGAAAAGAAACAATACAATAATTTGAAAGTGTAATTTAAGTCATACATTTAAGCAGGCTGCAGGTCTGCGATTGCGCTCCCTTCAGGTACCCGGTACCCTTTACGTCCCTGGCATCCAGCCCCTAACTACGACGCTGATCAAAATACATAAAAATTATATTTTATAGTGCTCATAAATAGAGTTCGGGATTTTCGTCGGCTAGTCATAGGCGTGTTCCGCGTAAACAAATAAATAAACGGGTAGGTATAAATAAAAATAAAAGTTTTCGTACCTTATCAGCGAAACGTCGTTTTTTACCCCTTGGTGCATTCGACATTATTAGAATATTAAAACACGTACACACGAAGCAAACGTGAAGCCAGTAACTGCCGTTATTACTGGTTTCATAAGATGCACCGTAGCAAAAGGCCACGGCAACGTAATGATCATCCGATCGAGTCCCGAACTCTACTCATAAATTATGAATCTATTGTATTGGATTTTTATTGGGTTTGTAAGATTTGTCTTATAAAAAAGGACAATAGTAGAATTATAAATGAATATAACATTTTGCTATATAAAGTTATCCAGGTGTAATGGACTACTTTAAATGCCAGTGTTTGCATTAAAGAGATCTTAAATGATATAAACGTGTTATTAACTTGAATATTGAACAAATTATTTTAATATACAATAATTATAATCTGTAAAAAAAAAATGTATTAATCAGACTGAAATTAACCGACTGAATTTCTTGAAATAATCACAAGAATTATTTTAAGTGTTAAAAGGTTACACCTTTTGTGTCGCTGATGATTTTATTAAATAACAGTATATTAGAATAGCCCTGGAAATTCTCAAAACAGTAAAAGAAAAACATTTTTGTAGTAATGTGTATAATCGAATTATTTTGGTAATCTTATGTTATTTTGGAAATTCGCAAGCACCACAAAAAAAATATCATTCAATAATGTCATAATTTATATGGTTTACTGCATGTGTTTACTTGTAATTTACATTTCTAGCAACCATCTGTACTCATTACACATCATAATAATAACAATAAATGTGTTATTATTCTATGCGTATGTGCTTGCCGATGCGATTATCAACCTATTCAAGTTAGATTACCAAAATTCCTTTGCCATTTGGAATATGATTATTTATAACATCACTACATTTTAACTTTTGTTTTTCAAATATTAAATGTTATCAAACATTTATTTTTTTTGCTTAGGTTGGTGTAGCTCTGTAAATTAGCCATTAATAATTTTTACACTTATGTAACCATATTATTTATTATTAATCTCATATCTACTTATATTTCTTTGTATTATATATTATTTAATACAGTTTGACGTTACCTCTTTTTTTTTAATGTAATTAAAATATATTTATATGTATAATTAATGTAGTCTCTAATTATTGTTTTGCAATATCTTTTATGCCACATTTTGTATTATCATCAAAATAATGCCGAAAACACTCGATGCAAAAGAAAATTCAAAGTGATGTTTATGTAACACCTGCAATATACAATTTTACCAAATATAAAATTTAAAACGTTTATCATCTTCTGGTTTGCGGTACTGGTAGCTTCTTCAGGCATTACAATTATAGAATTGTATTCGAGAGGTTTCCAAGAAATATTTTTTTAAGGACTACGGACATCAAAACATATGTTGATACGTGTAATTCCGGCCAGCATTTGATGAAATTTTGCTAGACTGATTATTGTAATTTTTTTGTATATATTTATATGGATTCTTTTGCATTTTATAAATAAACAAAATTGTTTTAATACAGTCTTTCACTGAACCCCCAATATTTATTTATTTAACCAAGACAGAAGTGAGAAAAAAGGATAAAAAAAGTTTAAAATATTTAATATAAAATATAAAGATGTACAAATATACAAAATAAATATTTAACAAATTCACAAATAAAAAATAACAATTCATCAAAAAAATCCGGGATTGGTGTGTTCGATGACGCAACGTTTGCAATATTTTTTGACAGCTCTATACCCTTCTAATGAAATTTGGCAATCTTGAATATTAAGTTGCTGCAACCCCCTACAATAATAAGCGACACATTGCACTCCTCTGTCAGTAACCAAATCACAATTCCGAAGACTCAACTTTTTCAAATTCGGACAACTTTCAGCCAATGCTCTCAATCCGGCATCGCTCACATCGCACTTTCCTATATCTAAAGCACGCAGTCTCGTACAAGACCTAGCTAGAACAGTTATGGCATCGTCGGAAACTGCTTCGCACCCTCTAGCGTTCAAATACCGTAATTTGTAACATTTCCTCGCTATGACCTTTAGACCAGCGTCACTGACCTGGTCACACTTCGCTACAGATAAATAACGCAGTGTAGCACCCAGCTTGGCCAGTTCGTACAAACCGAAGTCAGTTAAATTGGAACAGTCACTTACACTTAACTCTCTTAAACCTGAACAGAAACTTGGCACAAATTTTAGACCGGCATCTGAAAATAATATTTATTAGTAAATCAGGAAAATTATATTTCTTACACAAGAAAACTATACAGAGTACATATTTCATTGATACAGCTCAATGGAAGATCTCTGGGGTCAAAGTAGGGCCATTGAGCAAGAGATGCTTTAATGAAATATCACTTCTTTACAAGTTAAAAAAAAATTAATTTTGGTGATATTTTATAAACTTTCCAACAATTAAACTGAAAATTTATGTATGCATGTTTTTTATAGTGCCAGAATGTCAAAGATGGTATTCATTTTGTGTTTACTGGTAGGGGGTGTTACTTGGCCCCAGAAATCTTTATTAAGGAATTATCAGCGAATTTTATAGATTTGGAAAGATCAGCGAATTTCTGAAATTTTCATGAACTATTTCCAAATTTGATTTATAATCGGTCTTTATTTACACAGTGCTGCCACTGAATGTCAAGTCACTGAAAAGTAAATATCTGCTTTATCAATATTATTAATTGAGCAAATATTAACTTCCATATTAAAGTTTATTAATTTGTTCAAAGAAATAAAAATTTTCTGATTTTGCATATTGTTAAGGCAATTACAATTTAGTTTAAAATTCCTCATTTATTTTTTGTAAAATAAAACCTAAAATGTCCTCTTATATATAGAATGCCCTTATTTGGTATTCAAAAAAGCAAAAATTATTAGGAGAAAAAGGTTTTTTCCAAATTTAAATAAAAATGTTTCCTATTTGGTGCAAATTTTTGGAACAATCATATTTTGTTAAATATCTACGTGAGAGATATCGGCAAAAAATTAGGAAACTGATATCAAACTTTAATATATCAGGGAAAATTAGAAATACACCGTTTGATCTTGTACTTCCAAAATTGTAACAAATTTTATCTACCTCGACTGTATAAAAACAAAATTGAACGTTAATTGAAAGTGTTACCTGTTATTTGCACACATCTACGTAAATATAAATAAGCAAGTTGTGGACAGTTTTGTACAATGATTCGAAGCCCACTGTCTTGGACTGCTACGCAATCTGTGAGGTCCAGATACTGTAATTGCAGCCGTCTTGGGGGCTCCGGTCCAGCGTTTATGTTTATACAGGATATTTTTACGCAACCTAAAATGAAATTAAAAATTTAGCGCGACTTCAGAACAAAATAAAAAATAAAAATTGTTAATTAAAAACGTTTATACCTTACCTGTGACATCCAGATGTTGCAAATTATTACATCTGGTAACGACTTCCGACAAGGCGTGGTTTGTGATATTACTACACCCTTGCAGTTGCAGATGTGTCAATTCGGGGCATCGCCTGGCTAACAACAGCAAACTCTTATCGGATAATTTGGCACCGTTCGTGACATGAACCCTCTCCACACTAGGGCAGGCCCCGGTGCGTCCCTGCCCGCACAACTGTCTCAATACACCCCTTATAGCACGATCACCACTAACTACTTCACCCTCTAGAGTTATAACACGCCACAGAGATGGTGTCCAAGCAAGGATGTCGAATCTACGACACACTTGAGCACATATGCTCAGGTCTATGCTCGTTAAGAAGGAGAAGATTTTCGTAACAAGTTCGTCTGGAAGGCGATCGAAAGAATTGTTTTTCGACTGATATTTTTTGCCTTTGTATAAGTTGCCATCGGTCCACAAGTTGGGTGTGACAGGTCCAGGGCTCGGAGATACAAGAGTGTGGTAGCCTTGGTCTAAACTGGGACTAGATTTGCCTAGTTTCGTGAAGTTGTCTAAGAGATAGTTTGTTTCTTGCATTTGGTGATTGGACGTTCTAAAATAATTCGACTGACTATTTTGGATCTTGTCATAATTCTCATGATCCCAGTAGCTCGGACCTAAAGAAAACGATGATAGGTCCAGAGAGTTTTTATTTTGGAAGGACAAGTTATTGTGGTTAAGCGGTGACTGACGTGAATTCAATTCGTATTTTGACTGATATTCTGTTCTCTCGTTTAAATAAGAATGTGGTTGGTAATAATTTTGCTAAAAGAAAATAAAAAAATAAAAAAAATAACGGGGGATGACGGTCTTGAAAACACTTACCAAATATTCTGATTCGGGTGACTGTTTTTGTAAATAACTATTGTCTATCGACAACTGCTTGTTATGGAACCTTCTGTCTGTATTATTCTCATAAGAATCGATATACTGAGACCTGTAGTTGTAATTTTCTGCGGGGTAATTACCACCCTCGGTTGAAGTAGCTGTTTCATCAGTACTTGAGCTGTGGCCTAGGCGAACTAAAGGGCATCGAGGGGAGAGACGTTCCAAGAGCCCTGAAGGCTGATTCATGTCTCAAGTGACCCCTAAAATAAGTGACAAGGTGTCCCATTTAAAAAAAAGCAAGCACGAATGAAATTAATATTTTTTATATGCGTATAGTAGCCTTCTAGATGCAACAATTAAACCGATTACAATTAAGGATTTTTTAGTTGAAGCTGTCACTACGTATGGCCTTAATCACCATTGCTTAAAACCCCGGTATCTCAGATTTCATCAATTTGTAGTGGAGAAACTTTTTATTCATGATTAATGTTTAAAATTTATGTTTTAAGTACTGATTTAGTTAATTTTCTTGGAGGCATTGTAAATGCACGAAGATACAAAATTTTCTTATAAGCAGACTATTTTCCATCAACTATATAGATATTATATAATCAGCAGTGTCAGTAATTGGTTAATTTTTCATTTGCAAGCATTTGCAAAGCCTCCTAGATTTTAAAGCTGAAACTTAATAAATAGAAAACTTTAAGCTTGCATATATTGAAATTTGAGGTAACAAGCACACCTAGATCACTATTTATATAAAAAAATCATTGGAAACATGTGCCCCAAAAATATTTTAGAGGGGTGTACTGATTTTTAATGGGCCACACTGCATATGTCGATACCAAAATATCAACCAATCCATTTTTACAATTTTCAGGTAACAAATTTGAATGAAATTTTATAATAAAACATAATTTAATGCACACAAATGTCACTTTACTCAACAGAATGAAAGAGTATAAAAAAATACTTTAAAGAAAAACGAAATTATAGACTTCAAAACTTGTACATAGGTATTTATGAAATTAATTGAAACACCTATTTGTATGTTACGAAATATTTTCATTATTATCACAATGAATCTAAAACTGGAAAATACTAAATGCAATATTAAAAAAAAAACAAAATCGCCACTTACATTAACGTTAATAAGAATTTGGAAGATTAAACGAAAATCGTGCCCTGCTGTGTTTTACTTAGGTGGATAAGTAAATTGAATTCTTACACGGTACGGTTTTTTAATAGTTTTTTTTGAGTTTCTTCATCATCTGTTATGGCAACAAATTATGTCACGATTCAAGTGAAAACTAGTCCAAAACATTACACGGCGCGTAAGAATTTAATACTCCTACTACCAAATTCTAGCCTGCATTGACAATATTTATAAACCGCAATGGAATCAATTAAATTGCGAAACTACTTCGCGGTTAAAGTAGATCTTCTTGTAAATAATACTGTTATAAGCACATGGGCATGCCAGTACAAGCTGCAGATGCGCAGATATTTATGCTCGTGCCTGTTTAATTTTGAAAAAAAAATTATAAATATTTAAGGCACAAACAATAGGAAGAATTATATTGAAGTGGTACATGGCGATTCCTAAAAATAACTTTCACATTTTCATGTGATATTGAAAGGCGACTTGTTGGCTGGCATACGCCTCTCTTTTTACCTATCTATCTATCACTGTCTGGCAAATTCTTCATAATGGAATGCAAACCTACATTATTATATTGCTTAAGTGGTGCTTTCATCTTTTAGATATGACAAATGACCAATTCGTTTATTTGGTACAAATGTCCACGCGATTTGTTGTTTTATATGTAACAATTTTCATTTTTCAAAATAGTATCAATTTTTTAATTGTACAGTAAATTATATATTTAAAAAAGATGTCTACAGGAATTGAAAATAGTATACATTATATGAACATGAACAACTAGTTAAATGTGTGTTTATGACTCAAATTTAAAATCAGTAAGATGGATTAGGCGAAACAAATGAATGCCAAAACGGTCAACAATGACCAATGTAATTTATAGAGGAAGGACAAAAGTCTTACCTATTATGTAAATTTGTTACCACCTACGTCAGATTTACTTACATTATCGCAAAAAAGATTTTTTGCGACAATATATCTTCCTACGCCTTATAAATAAATTTAAAAAAATATACACCGCATTTTTTTCTAGTTATGCATATACTTAAAAACAAAATTCAAACTCGAAAATTTTATGAAAATATTGTTTTTTACCATTAATTAATTAAGTTTGAGGAGAAAATGACAAAAACCTACTATTCAAACAAAATTTTATGAAAAATTATATTTTTAAAATATGTCCAAAAAAGCTGCAATGCTATTGAATAGTAACCATTTATTTTTTCATTAATTCTTGTGAAAATTAAAAAAAATGTTTGTTTTCTATGCGAGCATTGATGTCTCCACTAATTTGTACCTAAACAATGTATAAGTTTTACTGTTTTTAGTATCAAAGATTATATTAAAGTGTATATATGTTACGCTAAAAAACATATATTTAAGCACTAAAAGCCGAAATTTAAAAGGATGCACTTTAAGTAAATGTAAAAAGTAGCTACGGGAAAAACACAAATGTGGAATTACTTAGTAACGCGGTGTTAAAACAAACAAAATTTCAACTTTACATTTATAAGATCATAGACGGATCATCAGTGTAATACATACGAATAATATTATTTATATTAAATAAGGAATTTGCATGAACAATTGCACTAATCCTATCCATTATCGCTATACATTCCAAAACAGTCACATGATAAAAGGCTTGGCAAAATAGCTAAAATCTTTGTCTTACTTCAATTCTTCCGTGCCTAGATATCCTGGATAATTCAGGCATAGGTAACTTAATAATCAGCTACTCAAAATTTCTTCAATATTGTAATAAAATTGTTTAATAAGTAGGGTAAACGGCAAATGAAAGGTCGTCGACATTTTGACATACCTTAACCTAACATTTGGCTATTACAAGTATTTAACAGTGCACTCCAACAAATTTCTTGCAAATCCATGCTTAGATTCACAACAAGGTGCACGATTTAACACAACAGGAGGTTCCACTGGAGTTTTATAATGCACTAAGTCACTAAATGGGCCTATTTTGGTATCGAATATTGCTTTGTTACTTGCAGGAATGTCTTTTACGTACCTTCTTGCCGCTTGTCGTACTGATCGTACCACAGAAGTAATAAAAGTTCGTACTGTACACTGTACCACTGACTGTACCCGAGCGCGACGCTATTTGCTAACGGGCTGTAGTACTTCCCAGGACCAGGACCGGATTTGAGTGTTCTTCGGTACCACACATTTTTCTAACAACCAGATAACTTTTTTTTAAAACATAATTAAACAATTATTTTCAATATAAAATGAGGAGGCCAGAAAAACACTCCCACGTATCTAGTTATGGCTGGTACGGACTATTTTTAATAATAAAGCATTTAACTTTTTATATATACATGTTTTAAAATTATTTAATGGATTATTCGTAAAAAAATACAAATATTCTCGGTTGAAGTCAACGTGATTTTTTTCTTGACGTCATAATCCACCTGGAAAATTGCCCTATTGGTTAATAGATTGGCAACACCATAGTTTATAGTTTTCAGGTTGGTAACGGTGCTGTCAGTTGGTAAATGTTTTGACACGGTTTTGACGTGTAAAAAAACTGTAAATACAAATTTGTTTATAGATGTAATTAATAGTAGTCAAAAGATAACTACAAGTAGATATGTTTAATAGACTTAAGAGTGCTGTAATCGGAGCAGTTAGTGGAATAGAACCGAATGGGTACACCCTCGAAGGATCTCAGAGCAATAAACAAACATTAGCCCCAAAATTTCCTTATGGACGTCCCCATTTCCTTGGTCTGGGGGATGAGGAAGTTCAAATGTCTGCAGACCACAAACTGAGACCTATAATACACCCCAGCAAACCACTGCCATATCATACAGGTTTATTAATGTTTTATTTTGTTTACATTGTAATTTTTTCATATCTATTAAGATAAGCTATATTTGTACTGTTGTTGGATTAAAAAGATAAAAATTTTAAGTGTGAACATTATAATACTTATCATATTAAAATATATTACTTTTTAGGTTATGCTGAATGTGTGAATGCAGGGAAATCAAGATGGAACGAGGATCAAGCGGTTTACAGGCAAGGTGTGTTAACAAAAGTCGAACAAGATGAAGCTGGTGGGATTCAAAAGTTCTCGATTCCGTATACATATTACGGAATATTTGATGGGCATGCAGGAGTAGGTGCCGCTTTATGCGCTGCCAATCAACTGCATCATATTATACATGTAAATACTTTACGATTGATGTATTCTTTTTATATTTTCATTAATTTTCTAGGAGAAACTTGTAGATGCTCAAGATGACGTATGGATAGATTTTAATGAAAAACGTTCTTCTACCTCAAAACCTAGAGACTTATTGATAATAGGTGCCCTAGAAGCAGCTTTTAAAGAAATGGTATGAGTTTACAATAGTTGGGTGTATTTAAACATTAATGTGTCTTTTTAGGATCAACTGATTTCTGAGGATCGGAATAAATATCAAGCAGCAGGAGGTTGTACAGCTTTGGTAGCATTATTTATATTAGGTAAATTGTACATAGCCAACGCAGGTGATTCCCGTGCTATAATTTGTAAAGAAGATTCGTTTATATCAATGTCGATGGATTTTACACCAGAAAATGAAAGGGATAGGATAAGAAGGTTAGCGGAAGAACAACCAGCTTTATTAGGTAAAAATATTAAATTAACATTTCCTATTTCGTAACAAACTTGTTTGATTTTAAGGAAAAGAATTTACTTCTCGTGAATATATAAAACAACCTAAATCAGGTGATTTAGGGAAAACTGTGATGTTTAGAGATGCACATATGAAGGGATGGGCTTATAAAACCCTTCAACCAGACGATCTCAAAGTATCTGTTATTACTGGACAAGGAAAAAGGGTACGAGAATGAAGTTCTTCCAATAATGTAATAAGAAAGCCCGCTGTTTGCGTAATTAGGTCAACAATACTCTTCAGTGTGCAATTTTCTGTTACAGAGCCGAGTCATGGGTACAATAGGAGTTACAAGAGGATTTGGCGATCACGACTTATTAGCCATTTATCAAAAAACGCCTATTAAACCATTTCTGTCTTCGAATCCAGAAGTTCAGATAAAAAAAATTGATAGTACCGATGAAAAAGAAGTTCTAGTGATGGGTACTGATGGACTGTGGGATGTAGTCGATGGTAACAAAGCTGTTGATGTTGTTTCAAAGTCAATAAATGCTTTTATGGAAAAAGAGAGGTTAAATTTTATTTATCGTCCATCTATTCGTTTTACCAATTTGTTATTTCTAGGTATGTGAGTGCCGCAACGTGTCTGGTAGGGTCCGCACGTGGAACTCTAGTAAATGAACATTCCTGGCAGCTTAAAGATGGCAAACCGGCATCGTACGATGATGTATCAGTATTCGTTATACCACTTTTACCTTATAAATTAGAATACGATGAATTAGTCAGTCGATACCTCCAGAATTCAGAGAAGCAAAATGATAATGAATGATATATTTTCTATTCCTGTAAACTTATATTCATTTAGATGTTAATGACAAAGTGAAATGTTACGTTACTATTTTTTTAACGTTGAATGTATCGAAGCAACTTTGATGTTGTTTGACGTTTGTGTATAAATTCGTTAAATGCTAGTCCCAATGATAACGATATTAGGGTTATATTCTTGCTTCCATTCCAATATCGATAAAGTTTTACAAACATTTTTAGAAGCTTCTATTAGTTGCACAACTTCACAAATTTGTATTTACTTATTTTCATTAAAAATACCTATTTGTACTACTTACTGTAAATAAGTTTTTTATAAATAAATACCAGTAATAAAACTGTACTGTTGGTTTCAACTTGAATGTATTTTTATTTACCACGTTACAATACAAATCTTAAGCCTACTGGTTTCAATAAATTAAATAAATAAAAATAAATAAATAAAGTAAATATAAACATTAACTGGTTTTTACAAGGCTAACTTGATGCCTTGAGAAAATAATTAAAAAAAAAATACAAAAATAATGATTTCCACCGTAATTGGAGTAATAGGATCAAGTTAGCAAAAAAAAATTGTCATCTAAAATCTATCTATGTTGCCGTGTATTGGTTTTACTTTCTGCATCTTTAACTAGTGTCCTACTTTCCTCTCCAGTAATGGTATCAACTACACTATCCATGATATCATCCAACACTTCCTTGGATTCTTCTTTATGCTGCTCATTTGTAGTCTTCACAACTGGTTTTTTCGATTTCTCAGTCGACTCATCGTCATCTAAAGCATCCCCAACAGCATCTGCAATGGGATCATCCTCATCATCTTCATCTTCTTCACTACTTTCATCTGAGTCGTCGTCATCATCGTCGTCATCGTCTTCGTCTTTAGTATTAGAACTTGTTGTGGTTTGTAAGATGGTAGTGGTTTCAAGTTTGATAGTAGACTGCGAAGAACTTTCCGTGACGTCATTTTCCGAAGAGACTGTCGCATATCCACCCATTTCGCTGTCTTTCACGGCTTCTACAATGCTAGAATTTGAGGGCATTACTTCATTAATCGCCGCAGCCACAGGCATTGCCTCAGTTGACGGCATTTCTGTACTACTTGAACTGTTTTTAATCAACTTGTTTTTCAGTGTAGTGGTAGCTTTCACAGGCTTAGGCGTCACTTTCCTTAGTGGTTTCTTTTGTTGCTTGACGACGGGTTTCCTTGTTACCCTCCTCAATGGCGTTTTGGTGGTGGTGGTGACTTTTTTCTTGTCACTGCTGGGCTCAGAGTCGTCATCTTGGAAATACCCTCCAATAAAATCATCGTCCAACACGCTAAAAGACTCATAATCTGAATCTGTATCGTCATAGTCGAAGTCGTCATCGTCATCGTCATCATCGTCGTCGTCGTCGTCGTCATCGTCATTATCATCGTCATCTTCTTCTAAAACGGGTAGTGGTTGGGGTGGTTCCACCCTAAGGCCTTTTGGGCCAAAACGGAAGCACGAGACTCGCAGAGCGGCTTCAACTTCGTTTAATGCTCTCAGTTCAAGTCCCAAACAGGCATTGAACTCATTATCCTTACGTCCGATATTATAGACGCGGCCACAGAATTTTGAGACGCCTCCAGGTAAAGGCATACACACAGGTTGCGGTTTCCTTCCTGAAAAATTTTTTTTATGAACGTGTTTTCAAATTCAGCTAAAAAAAAGGTTTGTTATGCTCGTTAAATTAAGATACTGACCTGATATAGTGGTGTTGGTGAGAACTCTATCACCGAAACGCATAGAAATGGCGAGTTTGTCCCCTTTCAAGTACTGAAGCGATGCACAACCAGGACCTTTAAGGGGTACTACAGGTATATTGAAGTCTCTGCAACAGTTGCATGTTTGTGCACTGCAACTACAAAACCTATTTACTGAATTGGTTGCAGAATCTTGTCTTTTGTAGCCGACTTTATTATGCTTCTTTACCGAAGTTTTACGAGATCTTCTACGGTGACTGGATGATTCTAAAATTTTAAATTATATAGTTCCTTTTGAAACATGAACTAATTTTTAAGTTTTAAAAGTTAAATTCGGAATTCACTCACCTATAACTGCGGCAGAAGCTGCAAAAGCAATTAAAACGAATATCAACAAGAGCTCGAAAATAAACGATAATTTCATCTTCCTTAAAATGCACCTAAAAAAATTAAAAAAAATTACTTTTGCCGCTAATTGACCATCAAGGAGAAATAGTTATGTGATTATTAATATATTATTATTACCGCTGCATTTACAGTTCGCTATTTTCGTGATAAACTATATTCAATGAAAATTAGAACAAATTACAGTAACGCAAAGTATTGTTATTACAGCAAAGGAAAACTTTGAAAACGTGTTTACCCTCATATTGCTTTGGAAAAGCCTTGCCATAAAAATTATCCTTTCCAAAATTAGCGGGTATAAAGTGTATTGTAGCCAAATAAAAATAACTGCCTGAAATAACCCAGAAAATAAAGGAATTTGTGTATAAAAAAATCTATTAAAAGTTTTAAGTTTTAATGACTAGGTACCTTCACCATCCTATTTCTAATAAAAGAACATAAATTTTAGGCGTTTTTTTTAAAATAAAAGCAATGAATACGTTTCGTTTCCGGGTGCTTGTAAAGCCCCGAACTGTATTTTTTTAAACAATTCTTATTAAATTTCTACATTTTAAAGAAATAAATAAAGATTCATTTTTAAATAAAAAATATAATGGCATGGGAATACTAATTGGCTTAATTTAAATAGCAAACTATAAACATATAAACTCATTATATAAAAACTAAATACAAAAATACGAGTTAATTCAGCTTACCTGTACCGATATTCAATAATTAATTAATATATTCCGAGTAGTCTTAATTTCACACTATGCACTTACTTGAGGACTGTTTGTTTAAGTCTGTTGACTGGTTCTTCAGAATCTTCGAGCTATTCTTCGGCGGAAAGGGGGGCTAGAATGTCGGTCACATAGGTAGGTCATTCGTGTTCATCCGGTGTACTCTTTTACATCCGTAGAAAGCACTTTTTGTCGAATCAGTGACGTATGTTTAGGAGGTGAGGTAAATCGATTTATATTATTTCTGATATTTCGCCTTGGTAAAATTTTAAATGTTTAGAAAGGAAAACAATTATTTTATTATACTGCCACATAATTCGAAACAAGTAGGCTTTGACCTCTTTTAGTTTTCGTTGATATTGGCGACATTCGCCGCCGCTGGTGAACGAATTTATTCCGGCGAATTAATTAAATAAATAGAGTGAACATTTTTATACACAGAAAATATACAAAAATAAAAAAGCTAGTTCCTGTTTGACGTACATTTTGAAAAAACGTATTTAAAAGTGCTTTGGATAAAGTAATAGTTTTAACTTTGATGACTGGCCTAGATTATATCTTAGACTTATACCGAAAATTAATACAGAGAAAATATAAAATATACCTCAGCATGAAACGGTTGGAGAAAGTTTTTCAAATTATATTTAGTTTCAAGATATGCCTAGGTCACTGTGAAAATAAAGAGTTACCTATTTCCTTACAGTTTTTATTATTACCTTGCCTACATATTTTTTAATGCATCCTATACAGTTTCAAGAGAAGTGATTGTAAAATATTATTTTCCATCTTTCAAAAGGTGTATGGAGAATATATGTGTAGGTATATTCACATTTACAATGATATTTTCAGTTGAGTATCACGGATTGTATTTTTTAAGCCGCGAGGTAAAAACCGAAAAAAGAGGTTCAGCGGTAATTCTGTGCCCTTACGGTTTTAAAATTTGTTTTTTCGTAGATTCGCTTGGACAACAAATACCCCAGAACCGGGAATCGCAAAATCATCGCATTTATTTAACAAATAATGGCTTTTTGTCATCTAAATTTGATGGAGTTGCGCACCGCCGTCCAAATCCGACGCTGTCCCTTAAATTATCAGTAGGTACAGCGCGTTAGTGTCGTATAGGTGCCCGCTATGACAATTTTGTAAATTCGGCTGTTGGTCTTTGGTAAGTACACATTCATTGCAAACGTTATATGTTTTTTATTCCCTACCCGAATCCGCACCTAGCAGATTCGGATTTTTTAATAAAACCCTCACCGCCTCCTTCCTTGCAGAAGTTGAGGTTAATCAGACCTTTGCCAAATTGAACCACAATAAAAAAAAATTAAACATCTCCTAATATAATTAAATGATGATTATTGGTCGTTCTCTCAATTGACGGTTCATTGAAAGGACATATAACCAGAAGAAATAATCGATAGAGGCTAAATAATGCTTCTATTTTTGTTAATACAGATATTCCACAGCTTTACCTTCAGCATGTAGTTGGCGCAATTTTTGAAGCAGGGGCACGTCAGATTTAAATTCAAATTAAATGTATGGCCCTTGCAAAGCACGTGCTGTTACTATAAACAACCTGCCAGGGTAAAAAATTCCGACAACCTCGATTCTCGCTTCATTACATATTCCACTGTCCGAACATATCAAATATAGAGACAGGTATTAGAAATGTATTTAAACAACAATAAACAAAATGGTTTTGGCACGATAGAAAGTGCCTTGCAAATATTTTGCGTTATTGCTAAAAGGCTGGGACAATGATAGTTAGAGGTGCTCATGTCTTATGTCTAGGTATGCTCGAAATGTCCAGTTCCTAATGGTTTAAGAAATATTGCATATGATAATGCGAGTAAGACGGAATAGGGACATATAGACGGTTTGGTGAAGGTTTGGGGTTATCTATCGATATTCGACGGTGAGATTTGTTAAAATATTTTTTTTGGTTTAGGCGTGTCTGTCAGATATGCCTTAAAATGAAAGTTGCGCGACTGGGCATTTTCTGACCAGTGGTCTTAGAAGAGTGTGGGAGCATTATTGATCGTTGGCCACGCTGTATACACGGACACGCATCTAAAGCAACGCATACATACACATACACACTCACCCCACTTTCTCATTTGTGCTGTCCGTTATGTTTTCCATTCATCATTATGTTTTCTGATAGCTATGTTGCCTTATCTCGTGATCAATATTTCCCCTTCTTCCTAAAATCTGTAATTTAGTTTGTCGGGTTTTTATTTTAAATTTGTGCGTGCCTGCGGGCTTGCCCCACCGCATTTCCAAATGTAAATACAGGTGGTTTTATTACAAATTATATCTATCGCTTTTATTAAATATTACTCAAAATAAAATCAATACCTAATGTGCGCGCTTTTCTATTATCTTATTTACTGCTTTCACGTTGAAATTTATTTAAATATTAAATTATTTATACTGATTAGAGATAAAATTAATAACAAATCAATACAATGCCGCAGATAAAAGATAAATGATTATTTTTGTCATCTGAAAATTTGCCCATTTAAACCACTGAAAATGTTTTCACACACAAAGGAAATACCTATATCCGCTTTAAAGAACGCCGTTTTTTCGCGATTTACTAATATACATTAAATTTATAATTCCAAACCGGTGCAAATATATTTTCAATGTTTAACTGAGCTTTATATTCCACCGAACTAAAACATACCATATGCTGAATTCAAGAATATTATTAAGAAATATACCTATCTTGTCTTTTGTTTTATTTTTAAAAACTTTAGAAACATGAGCAACCGTGAACAAGTTCAACTTAGAAATTGGTTAAGTATATGGAAAAAGTCGATAATTTTCTCTAGTAACAAGTTCAGAACAGCCTGAAACAATTTTCATGAAACCTTTTGTTATTTTTACAAATTACTGTTTCGGTGCTCTGCATTTAAACTTATTGTTTTATTTTTAAGGGTTTCGGAGTAAGCTTCGGATATCCAGTTTTTTCTGGTATTTATTCCATAAAATGTCTGAAGGACATTTTTTTCAAATAAACATTTTGTAATGAGACAACTAATATTCTTGCGAGGCAGACATAAATGAGATATCTAATTGAGTAGACGACAATTTCAGTTCATTAGACTTATTTTCTATTTATGAGAAAATTATTTCATATTTCTTACTGAAAAAAAATTGAATGATGTATATGACAAATGTTAAAAATAAATTCTAATTAAGTAACGTATTCATAACAAGGCCGGAGGCCGGTCTATAGAGAACTTTAATTTTAGCTCGGGATTAAATTTGTCAAAATATATAAAAATGTTTACCATTCGCAAATTGGTTTTAGCTTTTTTTTTTAAACTACTTCGATTCATGTCAGGAAAAAAGAAAATTTAATCCAGGAAAAAAATAGTCTAGGATTGAACAGATTTCGTTTGGAATGGATATTTGTTTCTATGCTGAAAATTCTTCAAAGTAAAGCTGTCGCTACCGAGATTTCGCGTAATATTGATTGAAGGTGACCACACAGGACAAAGCAGTCACATGTAAGGTGGTTTAGATCTGTTTACGAAAAATATAGATATAATTCCTGGGGGAGTAGGGGTAGTTCTGAGGTGGGGGTTGATAGGTTGCTATCGCCGTGTATTAGATTCCCTAGCTCACCACTGTGTTGGAGCTCAAACCTCGAGCACGTGTCTTATTTGTATTTATTATGTGGTGGTAGTTTATTGCTGGCAGTGCTTACACCTAGGATTTTACACGAAAAAGGTATTTTTTTATGAGCCTCTTATTTTTTCTGAACATTATTCTATAACCATTTTTATTTAAGAGACAACTTTATTAAAAACAAATACAAAAACAAAAAAATTTCAAAAAGATAAAAATATATTTTTTTTTTGTTTTTTTTATATATTTGTTTTTGTTTCTTTTCTTTCGTATAATTATCTGTTACAAATATAAGAAACATTTTTTTTAGAGGAAAACAGTCACATATAATATATTTAAATGCTATATAGGTATGTAAAATATACACGAGTTAAATTAGCGGTTTTTTAATTTTTTAAAAAAAATTTTTCTCATTCCCAACAACTAAATAATACTCATTTTGGAACACTAATATTTTTTCTTGACCTTAAAAACAACAATTCCTGGTATAATTTAATTTTTTTCAATAATTTCAAAATTATTATTTTTTAATTGTTAATTACGGTAATTGTTTAATTAGTAATTTAATTCTTATACAGCGTAAAACTGTCTATTATTAATTATTCCATTTCTACGAACGATTTAGTTTTTCTTTGAAATTTATTATTTAATTGAAAAAAGCAGTAGGCCATTCCAAGGAGAGTGGATAAAGCGGTGATATTAAGTTTCGCGTTAAAAAAACATCGCTAATACAAATTTCGTAAAATCAGTCCCCAAAAATGATCTATCTCTAAGATTTATCTCGATATCCTTAATGGCTTTTACACCCAAGTAATACCTTGTATATGTTCTTATCTCAAATATTGTGTTCTCAGACAAAGCAAAAGAAATAATAAAGTAAAACAACCGTAAATATAACTGAGATTCCAGAAACTGTTTATTGCAATATACTTTAATCAAATCATTACACAGTTTTCATCAAGGACCAAGTCTGTCTTTTCTTTTTTATAAATTTAATATACCGCAAACATTCGCAACAAATAAATGGTTAAATCACGTTTTGTGGAAGATTGGCGTTTACGGAGCTAAACTTGCTATTGATTTTTCTAAAATGCAATAAAAATTGTATTAATGCGGGTGTTAATAAAGGTTTCTATTACTGGTCGCCCTCGCCCGGCATTCTGCATTTCTCTTAGAAACTCCCAAAATGCAGAGGGAGATTTCGAAATGAGGGAAACATAGCATGATTCATACTTCTTTACGATATTTACTCTCTATGCGCACAAATATTTAATGATTCCATCATCAAGACAATACTACTCGACCAGAGAACAGAACTTAATCGAAAATAATAGTAATAAAAATTAATTTTCAAAACAATAATAATATTTAGTGAATAGAATAAAGCAATTTTTACTGCATGAACTTGCAAGTAAGTATTTAAAAAATACTTACAACTCGTGAAATTTAATGTAACTAATAAGAGATACTTGTTATAAAATTAACAATGAATAGGAGTGGGTAGCGTTGCAAATTGTACTAACTTAAGCGTTGCCATTGTGTGGCAAGGTGTCAAACAATTAAGGAATGCGATAGAAATAAGCACCTGTAAACAACCATGATTTCCTTCACAAAAAGACCTTTATACAACATATTTATTTTCCCCATCTGTATTATCCAGCGGGGTGATGTGTATCAATTGAAAGGCATCAAACAAAATATTTTATTTAAAAGGCATGACATACGTATGTCAAAAGTAACAATTGGTTCCTTACTACTCTATTTTTTCGTTATAATTTGCTTATATAAAAAATACGACGTAAAAGATATACAGGAACGTCAGATACAAAATGAGTTAGTTAAAGATTTAAAAGAGACTAATATTATGTGTTTTTTGCATTGCAAATGGCTTTCGGCGACTAAAAATAAATTAAAATTTTACTCTGCCTGAAAACTGAAGCACCTATAAAATCATGCACCACCAGGTGTTTCAATATTATCTACCCTATCAGTGTTATCAGCGATAAGAAAATATTTCGTAGTCTAATATATCATCCAACCGAATAATTTTTGAGTTTTATATCATGAGCTGGCGTAATTAATAATCAAAATAATTTAAATTTAAATCTGTAGCAGATGTATTCGAGTAATTATGTTCTCTGTTTGCGTAGGGGCCTATACGATTATTGCATGTGGCCTACAAGAGAGCACGATGACCTCCGTCACAATACCCTCAAGCTCTGGTACCATACACGGAGGATACTCCTCATCCTCATCGGTGACGGAAGAAATATCAAACAGCAAAGCCGATTTTGACGCCGCACGCAAGGTGAAACGTTCGCTGAGCATCACGTCCAGCGAGTCCTGCAAGAAGCGTCGCAAGCAGTCAACTCCAATCCGAATATCCACCACCGAAGCTGAGTCAGCAACAAACTCAATAGAAGGTAAGCCTGCCGTGCCTTCTCCCGAGCCCAATCTGCGTTGCCCGATTTGTCAGCTTTGTTTCGACCATTCTGAGCAGCTCCAAAACCACATACTATGCGAGCACCCCCCGCTGGAGTGCAAGAAGGAACCGGAAGAGCACTCCACCACGCCTTCCTCCGTACCGTTTCTGGAGCATTCCGAAACATCTTTGGGAATGACCATGACCAGGCCCGACATGCAGTGGATGAACGATATCCCCAGCAAAGATTGGCTCAGTTCAACCATACCCAGCCTGTCCTTCAATCCAGCCAATCCCATGTTCATGGCCCTGCCGCAATTTGCCCAATCCGCGGAAAACCTACCCATGAAGCCCATTAGAATATTCAACCCAGACGCGTACTGCGACCTTTGCAACAAAGAGTTCTGCAACAAGTATTTCCTTAAGACACACAAAGCTAACAAACACGGTATCTACACGGATACCCCCACATCGGAACAGCTGCAAATGCAAAACCCAGTGGCAGTAACATCCCTTGCTGGTAACTCCAAACTCCCTAACTCCGTGCCAACTGTAGAATCAACTGCGATGAAAAGCGAACCCAAAACCCCAGTGAACGTAATCAACCCTTTTAGTAATATATTTTCTAACCCCTTTACCAAACAAATTGGAGCTATATCCGAAGGCGAGACGCACGACAACGTGGCGAATACGAACGGACTGTCATCTTCTAGCGAAAGTGATACGAAATTTCCCGATGATCAGCCTGCCGAAGAATACCTTAGCCCTAGTAATACACAAACCGAATCTACCTCAATAAAAAACGATCCAGACGGGATGTTTCATGATACATCGAACAAACTCTCGCCGGATCAGCAAAGCCGCGAGCTGGACTTATCATTCCGATTGAGGCGATTCGGAGTGATGAATCCCAAAGCCTTTTGCGAAATTTGTTGCAAGGAGTATTGCAACAAGTACTTCCTCAGGACCCACAAACTGAAACGACACGGAATCTACATTCCCGACGAAAAAGAGAAAGATATTAAAAGCGAAAGCTCGGTGGTTTTCCCTTTGTCTAACAATGTCCAGACCAGCCCCCTTAACCTCATCATGACGGAACAATCGAGTTCTGACCGCAAAACTACCTCACCCAGTAATATTAGTTGTGATACTTGTGGTATAAAATTCCAAAATGCCAGTTTGGCTCAGTTGCATAACGTAAGTGTCCACGGACGGATTTATTCCAAAGACCAAGAACAATCAGAAGCCTCGGGGGACGTGAAGAAGATACCGGACATGTTTAGAGCGCCAGAAAAATGCTTAAACGCTGAGGCTATTAGCGAAGACTTACAGAAACTACAAACCATGATCCTACAACTGAACGATTTAGATGTTAGTAAAGTCTCCACAAACTGCAGCATTTGTAACAAGGAGTTCGAAAACAGATTTTATTTACACGCACACATGATGACGGAACACGGCATGCTTCTAGAAGAAAGTGACGTGGAGAAGTCTGGGGAGCCCGAGAGCAACACAAACAACAACACGATGTGCGATATTTGCGGCAAGGACGTACAAAACGCCGATGAAATGGCGAAACACGTACTGGAATTTCATTCTAACAGCGCGGCTGGGGTTGAAATAACCAAGGACGATTACAACGGCTACAACGCGGGAGATAAGACAACAAACAGATTATCACTTTCCAGTGGACATATCCCAGAAAGACGTATCTCCATGAACGTCACCCCGACCAGTAGCTACTGCGAGATCTGTAATAAAGAATTGTGTAACAAATACTTCATGAAGACTCACATGCAAAGGATGCATGGCATTGAGATTGAGAACGGTGCACAAATCGGGGGGGTTGTTTGCGACATATGCAACAAAGAACTCTGTAGTAAATATTTTCTAAGGGTCCACAAACATAATACGCACGGCATCGTAGAGTACGGATCCAACCTCCTTCCCCCTCGCAAATCCGACGGCGAACCGCCCCCACCCCAACCCAGCACCGCTCCAACCGAGACCGACCCCGCATTGAAACCGACAGATTTAGCAGATTTGAGTCACAGATACTTTACGCATTTTACCGAAGTATGTTCGATTTGTAGCAGGAGATTTAGAAGCACCAAGTGGCTGAAGGCGCACTTGGTGACCGACCATGGTCAGGCAGGCGCAGAAAAATGGGCGGAACTGGAACACCAGCTACAACAGAACTTGGGTCACCCTAAGTCTTCTACCGCGATTAAGATAGAAGGAACCAGTCCAAGCTTAAAGGTTCCTAACGGTGGACAAGACGCTACACAACAAAAAGTAGGAATGGGGATACAGAACGTTATATCTAGTCTGCTGGGAATTGACGACACAAATTCGAAGATTTATCAATGTTCCTACTGCCCTTTCACCACTCCCCTGTTGCCGCTGCTGTTCGTCCACGAGCGATCGCATTCCTTAAACACTGAAGGGTTGCCCGTCAAATGCCCCGTCTGCCCACAGAGCTTCGTGGAAAGAGAGTTGCTACAGCGCCACCTATTTTCGCAACACCCGTTTCTATCATTACCTTCTATTTCCAAAGAGGAGGGGTGCGATGATGTAGATAATGATGAGCAGGAGCAAGTGAGAATGAAGGGCAAGAAACAATCACCATCACCGATGAAAATCAAACAAGTGGAATTGTCTTCGGAGATCGGACAATCACTGAAGGACGTGGCGAAGAGGATGCAATGGCCAGCGACGTACGCCATCCCGCAGGGGGGAAGCCAACCGGAGGACCAAGAGGAGTCGTCGTTCCCCTCGAAGGCTGGGCCCGGGTACGTAATGCAGGCCTTTCTGCTGGAAGAATCCACTTCCGAGCGCCGGGTAATGCCCTCAGTTGTTTTCTTACCGATGCTACAGAAACAACCCGCCCCTATCACTGTTACTTTCACACTGACCCCGGCCTAACAAATCCCACAAGTAGTTTGCATATGTGTTATATTTTTTTAAGAAACAATCGATGGCGATTCCACGACACCTGTGATTTTTTTAATTTAATTATAATTATTGTATAATCCTAAGTATATAGATATATAAGCGATTCCTACATTTGCAAGATACCTCATATATTATGAGAAGGAACATATGAGCACATATTTTTATGCAAATACGGAAAGACTGAGTGAAATTTTTATATAGTCTGTTGATTTTCACTTTAATATATCGAGATACTGATGTTTTGTACGATAAAGCTTTAGGTGATGTTTAAAGAAGTTCCTATTTTATATCTCGATATAATAATATAGTTCACAAGTATGTACGTATTCAGTTGTTAGATGTAGCTTGCTCAACAGTCAGTTAACATGTTCCGCGTACCCAGTCCATGCAACTCAGGGTTAGCTGAAACAGTACAATCAGCCTCACGCGCCTCCGGACCACCCGACCGGATCGCTTTCCTTTCTCGAGTTCCTGACTAGTAGTAATAGGAATAGGATAAGGATATATCATAAAAAAGGTCTTGTCCTTCCTTACACACTTGCCACAAAGTCACTTTCGGTTCCATTGCGACACGAAAGGACGGCAACTGGCAACCAGCCTGAACCAAAATCCAGTTACCGGCTGTCGCCTCTCTTTTTCATTATTATTTCGACGTATTATTAAACATGGCGGCGGCGGCGGCGGCGACGCACTCGGCTCATGTTCTTTCTATAACCGTTCGCCACACTCCTCAGAAGCGTTGCCTTTCTCAGGCACCGTACGGAGTGTCCAACTTTATTTCTTACAACCGTCGTTTTCATAACTAAACCACCGTAATACGATCATTTTCATTCTGTGACTCGGGCTATGAAACAAATTAATTCGGAGGCCATATTTTATTGTCAAGTAAAAAATAAATCTGCTTAAACTGACACTGGGTTTATATTTCAAAAAAATCTAGGAGGTGAGTTCCTCAAAGAAAAATAATTGGGGTAGTTCATTTAACGTTTTTCTTATTAACGTTGCGTTTCCGAGATACAGGGTGTTAAAGTTGTCACTTTATCATCTTTAAATGAATAAATATCAACGTGTCTCAAAATACTTATGAATATATTGTGCTTTATAAACACCGCAAGCTAAAAATCGGGATTGAACATTGATCGAAAATATTTTGTTTTTTGGGCAGTTTCTTGTAATTCATTTAATTTATCGTTTGTCCAAAACGTTTTTTCCTTTTCTTGCTGCAAATTAGTGCTGCTTTTTGTCTTCTCATTACTGATTAGTGCATGTGTTTCATTATCTCGGTCTTAAGTTTATTTATGCTACACTTTTCATAATTAGGTACAACTTATTGCGCGATGTACAATACTTGACAATATACGTGAGGGTGTATACAGAGCTTTAAGAAAAACGTGCAAACCGTTTTATTCCCAATGGCGGTGGCGAGGATGTGAATAGTTTATACTTACTACGACATCATCATAAAAATTAATAAAGTTTTGATATTGTGTGACAGTTAAAATTTGTGTTCTCGAATTATGCAGAATCCATAGTAACATGCTTTTTCACGTCATTATTTTAAAATTACTTCTCCGGCTTTTTGTGAGCAAAGAGCTTTACCTCAATTTTCCTTGCAAAATGGACATTCTATCGATATCCAACTACTATTCCTTTTTTTTTTTTTTTGGAGAGGGGAGATTTGCAAAGCTACTGGAAATAAAATGAAATGCACAGTGTTATACATATTTCGACGAGTGTATCTTTAGCCGATTTAAAAATAGTTAAGAAAAACTCTCGTCAAAGTAACTGTTTTAACATCTATACCTCGGAAAACGTTATACGAAATACTCAAAACTACTTTTCCAAAAAGAACTCATCCTCCAGTTTTATTTATTTGAAAGACCCTGTATTTATAAACGTGAATTTCAAGAACTGCTGTTACGAACTAAACAATACATTTTATTTAATTTAAAAATTTCAATCGACACAAAAGTACTATTTGTTTTATAGCTAGATCGCTTTGTAGGTACCTGGGTGACACAAGGGACAACAAATGACAGAATTCATAAAATAAAACCATTGTGACAAAAACATTGTCACGTAGATTCATTACCACTAAATCTGGAAACGTACGAATCTTACAAAGGATTTTGTCGATTGCGATCCCTTTTAACTGTCACAGTTTTGTTAAACCTGTTCGTATGTTGTCATTTAAACGCAACTAAAACTCAGGGACTCATATTTCCGTTATTTGTATTGGGTTAGTCACTTTTTGCACAGTAACGCGACCAAATGCCTCGTGGGATTGTCGCACATTTTTCCGCGTATTCTTAGGAAGGTGTGCGAGGTCCTTTAGCAGTTTGATTAAATTCAGGTGAGGTTTTGCATATCGCGAAGAATTAAAACTCAGGTCGAAAAATGAGGAGGCTGTGACAATAAGGATCACGTATTACATCAGATCAATAGTTCAGTTTTTACGTAATAATTTCTTTTTATCGAGTTAAGTAGAGTATAGCCCAGAATTTAATCAACCAGAGCTTTGGCTACAGTTAATGTGAAATAAAAGTCTGTCACTAGTTCTGTCAAGAATGGGACTTTTCCGCATTTTAGGGAAACCAGAGTTTAAGTATATCACGATTTCGAAAACCACAAATTATAATTTATTGCCGTATCAATAATATACAGTTTTTAAAGTGACAATATGTTGATCTGGTGGCTAAATTTACAACAGTATCTACAGTGGCTGGTGAAGTAATTTTGGTTCAAAAACGTAATATAAAAATTTCCTTTCCTATCTCCTATATTAATGAAATTTATTTATAACCTTTTTAAAAGAGCCGAAATATTCAAATTTAAAAGAAAATATAATATTTTACTTGCTACCATATACAATGTGACATCTTCAAGATTCACAGTTTTTTCTTTCTGGTGTTAAAATTGGAAAAGCCCCATTTATAGTGACTGCCATATTAAGTATTCGTTGTTAGTTATGAATTCGATCGAATGTCATCAGGAAAACATATTATTTGAATTGTTGTATAGTACAAAACTGACTTTGCTAATTACTAGTTATAATACTAAAGCTGTGTGCCTTCAGTAATTGCAAATGACCTGCTATTTCATATTATAAGAGCCTGGGTGCTATGAAATATATCTATGTTTTACATTATAGTACAAAAATGCAGATGTTTCTCTGCACGCTTGTTAGTATTCAAATTACTGAAAGCGCGTGCCACACATCACAAAGAATTATTTTAAACGATATAAATTCATATTCTCCCAATCATGCAAATCGCTTCTGATTTCTTTACAATTTTTTCTGCCATTGCCACAATAGCTCGGTCCCCGTTTCCTAAATTCTGTAAACAGCTGCTTTCACAACTCCCTCTTTTTCGACCCTACTGACCACACAAACCCTCAAACTAAAGTTTTTTAATATATGCATCTGTTCGATTACACTAGTTGGAATAAGCTACATTTTATTCGTCTGCATTACAATAGAACCGCCATATAACGAGCGATGGTGATATTCCTACCTAACCAAATAATTTTTTTAATCAAAAAAATCAATATACGTATTTCGAAAAGTTTTTCCCGGATTTTAAAGCATACCGCAATTAGGTATTGCATTTTATTTTTTTAATACAAATAGGTATAAAACAATACACAGGACTTCTCACTTGAAATGGATTAGTCTATAGCTCTGGTACTATCATCAATAATACAAAAAGGATCCCAAATAAAAATCACCAAATCATTTTCCGAGCATTTTAAACTTATTATCGATTATGCATTTCTTCCGAACGTTACCTAATTTTTTCGAATGGAACACTGCTTTAAAGTAAAAGTTATTTTTTTGTATCTATATCAAATAACACCTAAACGGTACAACTTAGATCCAATATTTGTTCATCAAAATAGGTCTTATATTCAAGGAAAAATTAAAAAATGCTACAATATACAGGGTGTTCCATTTGAAAATATCCCAATAGGTAAGGCTCCGAAGAAAATAGGAGTGTGTAAATCGACATTTTAAACTATAAAGAAATTGGTTTGTGGCAACTTTTATTTGAGATACGTTTTTATACATATAACCGATAATACCAAAGCTATGAAAGAACCCGCCTTAAGTGGGACATGTAAAAATACTTAATACATATTTTAAAATTCCACTATTATTAGCTTGAGGAAAATAAGTCCTTTAAACTCTTGTATCATTGATGTGAAAATTTTTAATTGACATTGATAGAGGCGGTTAGTTTCCTAGTTCACAAACTTAGTTACGTCTTCAGACGGTGAAACTACAGACAATGATTGACAATAATAATACTGTTATTATTACTGACATTAATAATAATTGTTTGTAGCCTTATCGCCTGAAGATGCGCCTAAGCTTATGAGTCACGTAACTTGTCCGAATTTCAATAAAAATCTTCCCTTTCGAGGACTTGCAAGTTTAAAAGCTGATATGCATGATTTGTTTGTTAACTTTTGCTTTACTTGTTTTTTTCAAACAATACTACTGCCAACTCTGTACCTGAAAATAATATAAGAACTCTCCCAGGAACTGTAAATTTAATATTTTTGTAATTTTTAATTTTTAAAATCAGTTGGATTTGAATACTAACACGAGTGCTACTAACAGTCAAGCTATACTTGTATGTGAAAGCATACACATACCACGCATGTAAGAACCCCATATAATATGAACCTTTGAAAAAAAAAACAACAAAAATGGGGAAATAACCTACTTTGGTTTGCCAAAATAATTCATATTTAACTGTATATATTATACATTTGTTTTTTGCTGCTGCCAAATAGCAGTTGCAAAAAATAAACCTACGCCATTAAAGAATATAATAAATGATCTTATAATATACAGGGTGCTAAACTAATATTTTATTATATTAAGATATTTTATTATATTGTAAATGTTAACATATTCTGACAATACTTATTCCTGTCAACTACAACAACTGTACAGAGTGGTT